GATATATATAAGGTACCTAATTGTAATTTGTCCCTTGATAATGTGCTCATCGAGCAAGGTAATTCATTAATAAGGTTTTTGCAATATAGCTGTTATCTTTTGTTGTTGTTTGGATTTTTAACGCATTTTCTTTAGAAAACAATGCGCTTATAAGTTCATGCTGGCTGGCTGGTTGTTTCGAGTGCTCAGAAGTGGAAGGAATTGAAGATTTCTAGTTTTTTGGATTAGGTTGCTGCTAGCTCGTAGGTTAATAAGTTTATTCTGCATTTATTAAATTTTAGAGTTAGACATGAATTGTTTTTGACTGGATCTTAGTTTTTTATTCCGAATATGACTTACATCCTGTAAGTGTGTGAATATGACTGGATCTATGTTTTTGACTTTAGACTTCTTTAGTAGTTCGGTTGGTCAAGCGATGGTGGGGATTGTATTAAAGTTTTGTCACACGAATTAAGCTCTATTTTGAGTTTAAATTTAAATGTTTACTCTTAAACAATCGAAAAAACTCTGTCACATAAATATCCATCAATCCTTGCATCATACTTTATCATATTCACACAGGAGAATATGTCTTAAAATCTTATAAACTCCTGCTATTTATATCAACAATGTTCTGTTTGAGATGAGATTACTGAAAATAACGCGTGATATTGGAAAATGTTATTTCAAAAGTTTTATTTTGTAGGTTGAAAGAAGCTTGATTGAATTTAAATTCTGCGAAAAACGTATTTTCATAGTTCTCGGAAGAGGACTTTTCAAGCTACAACAAAGTTATTTTGAATTCAATATTTTCAACTTTCCCAATTTTTGTATGTTTTGTGGATGAAATTTCCAATTTCAATGCTATTCAATCAAGTACTTAGTGTGGTGTTGGAGCAAAGTAGAATTTAAGGTTCTGAGCTTTATGTAAGCAAATTAGTCAGCGCAAAGGTAAGGCCTCTGTGGCCGAATACCCAAAATGTTTGTATTTTTTGAGAGAACGTGGGTTCAATTCCCACTAGACAAAGATTGTTTGTCGCTGTGTGGATATGGCTCGAAGAGCATATCTGTAGTAGATGAGCCTGAGCATAGGGCTCGCGTTGAACTGGTATATGTGTATGACGGATAGCCCAAGTGAGATAAGCAAGATAAGATTCCCATCGAATCTGGCTTGTTTTACATTATACACATATGTCAGTTAAAGCGAGATCTACAGTAAGGATTGAATGGAATTCTCATGACTTTACACTTAGCAAAACTGAATTTATTTATTAAAGAACTATATGTCTCATATCCTTAAACACCCTCGTATAAATAAAGATACAACGCACAAATTCTTTTTTCAAAATCCTGAAATTCTCACAAACTTTACACCAAAATTTAAATAATCTTATTAACTTCAAGTATTCATGACAGCAAGTTTGTTGTGTGTATGAATCTGCTACTTCTTAGAAAAACCCCTGATATGTCTACTTTAAAACAAACTTTTTGTGCGTAGGGGTACATTTTCGACTCAATTACTTTAGATGCTGTTAATTAAAACTGAATATTAAGGTTGCTAATTTAATGTATTAAAGAATGTCAAAAAAGCACAAGAGCAAAATTTGGAAGTGCTTTAGGAGAGAGGCTTGGGGTCGTTTTCAAATGACGTCAATTAAACAATTTAAATGATCTTTAATCAGGAATAATGGTTTGTTCTTAAATGACGTCACAAGTAATGATTTAGTATTTTTTGCAGAAATTCAAAAATTGCATTATTGCGCCTTTTTAACAGAATTTCAATCATTTTTCTAACTTTCAAACCATAAAACTTCAAAAGGCTCCTTTTAATCCTGAAGCAAAAAATACGCGTTGAATAAAAACTTCCTTTTAAAAATTTCCTGTTTTGATCCCTCATCATTCTTCTCAGAAGTAAAAAAAAAATATAAAAATGAAGTCGAATGGCTCCAAAAATTATTTACTTAATGCCTCAGGCAAAGTTTCGAATTTCTTCCTGTTCAAAAAGTCAAGATAATGAAATGTATCACATGTGCCTAATTTGTAAGTAATTTTCACTTTATTTCCATCACAACCTGCACTGCCAACATCTCACTTTTCACAATTTGCTCATGTATCGATGAACAATAAAAAATTGATCCTTATTAAAAAGTTCTCAATTTCAACTTTAATATAGCTTTAAAGTTTAATAAATCCAGCAACGAATTTATTCCACGTGTTTATCGTGCAACGAGCAAAACGAGACTGCAGCAACAGTCTTTTGCGAAAAGAATATCTCAAAAAAGATATTTCTCATGAGAGAGAGGATAGCAAGCATGAAAATAAGCACGTGCTTGTCAACAGCATAGGAGAAAAATCTCAGAGAAATTGAATCATTTTTCTTGGCACTTTTATTATTGTTTATTGATGGACGAAGCTTTAATAATGAAGTTTGGACATTAGGTTCCGTTAATTGGCATATTTACCCAAAACCCCTTCCCCAAAAGTAATAATTTTTATTAGAAGATTCGATCAAATAACTTTGAATCGCGACCATTCCCTTTACAGAACTGTAAACAACCCCCAATCGCTTCAAATTCTTCAAAAGATTCCTTTTAAATATCAATATTATTTTCAACCTTATTTTCTTTCTATTCTTTCGTGAAAATTCATCCATTTTTAATGAAAATTTAGCTTCTTTTTTCCATCGAATGGGGACTTTGGGATTTACGCTTTGTTGTGCTATGGAATTATGCTGAAGTGTTTGTGAAAGAAAAGAGTAAAAGCTCCTTTCGTAGAAATTTTCTTGAGAATATTCACAAATGTTGCTGATTTTGACGAATTACCTAGCTTTTTGTACAAGGTCATGTGAATTTGATCAACTGAGCTAAATTGGGATTGGTATGATTTCATGGTAATCAGTTCTTGGTAAAAGGATTAAAATTGAAAGGGTTGGGATTAAATTTGTTGTTTTTTCTTAAATATTAATAGAATTTAAAAAGAGATTTTATACAATCTTGAGTATCTGGTTGCATTTAAGATCACCTTAATAGCAAATCAGGAGGTATAATCGACCTTGGTCATGATATGACTTCATTACAAAGTTTCCAAAACACAACTTTTCATAAAATTTTTTAAAAATAAACAAATTCATTTGATTCTACCAATTTCAAGTTGAACAAAAGCTTCAACTCAAAGAAATTGTACAAATCGAAATGAAAACAGTCCAAAATCTAAAAGTCAATGAATAAATGGATCTTACCGAGATTCTTTTACTTCACACCTATTCCATTTTGTCTATGTTGGCATTTTCACTTTGAATGAATTCTCTTTTCATAAAACTTTCGTTGATGGGAGCTTTAACTGAAAATCTATTGATGTTTTCATGCACATTAGCTTTAACATGAAAGTACAAGGAACTTTTTGAATGAGATGAAATCCCAAGAAGTTATGTACAAAGTTATTTAACAAAATAATGAAAGCGTAGCATAAAATACATCACTCCGTAGCATGATTTCGTGTACTTTAACCTGTTGCTTCAAAGGAAATGAGAGCAGAGAACGAAGGCGAATGAAAAAAAAAGCACTTGAAATTGTTGGTAATGATAGATCTAAAGTATATTTAAGTTATTATTGTGGGATTTGATAAAAAATGTTAGAGATACTTATTGCTGTGTAAAGGTTTCTTATTCTCTATTGTGGAAATTTTACTTACTGCCAACGGGAGGTCTCTTATTCGTGGAGGAAGGAATGAATTTTAGTAATCCACTCAATTTCATTAAACAAAGAATTTATTAAACTCTTGAAGAATCGCTAGATAAGGTTATGGAATCTCTTAAATTTGAAATGGTTACAGGAACTGCTAGAAAAAATTACATTTTTAATTATTCTTAATAAATATTCATTAGATTTAAACTACTTTTGAACAACAGTTTAACTGTGTCAATAAAAGCAGTTCTTGTGTCACAAACTTTCTAATCTATTGTGTGGCATAAAAAGTTTGAGAGCTACGGATTTAAAGAATCAAAAACCAATTTACAATCAACTTCAATTAAAGCTTATCAAACCTCCCCAGAACATCCAGCTGCAATCTCAAACCTTGACTTTAAAATTTTCATTGTTTTATTTCTCATATCCTCAGCATGAGAAGATTTAATTCCATGTAATCGAAACAAAAGCTTGTTGTACTTAACTTTCCAAACAAAACAATTTACTAACGAGTCGCTGGTTTGTAGGAAGAAGGTTAAGAATGGATATGTTTTGATTAAGTGCTGTGGCTGAAGTAGATTAGAAAAATCAATGTTCATCTCTTCACAGTCATGAGGCAGGGTCTGTGAATTTTCTTTTGAAAATGTTTTCATCAGTGATAAATTGAACATGACATGAATTAATTGTTGATAGCTGGAAGTTATTTATATTCTGATAATTTCTAAAATAACTACATAACTTGTTGTCTAGTCATTTGTTTGGTATAGCATGAGAAGTTCCTGATGCTTTAGAGGTGCAACAGTGAATTTTCCTTAAGTTATTTAACATTTTGTGTTCCTCAAACTTATAACTTAAGTAAAGTAGGTTCGTTATAATTGCATATCTTTGTTCTGTTGAAAATTTATCTAATGCTTGAATGATTAGAAGATTAAAATTCACAATATTCATACTAATGTATAGTTAACGATTAGATGATGCACGTAGCTCAGAATCTATTCATCAAGTTCTTTATAGTTTTTAATAGTTTTGCCCAAATTGACATTTATAAAACTCACAAATCGAATTAGTTCAGCCAGATTAATGTAGATGTAAAACTGATTGAAGCATCAAAATATGTGAAAAATTGACCCAATCTAAAGAAATATAAAGAACAATGATTTAAGGAAAAAGAAAATTTGATAAAAATTTATTAGAAATGTTTTCATTTTCTTCATGATTCATCATAGACATGACCTTAATATTTCATTCTCAAAATTCATTTTAGCAAAGTCCTTCCGATAAACACAAATGAGCATTTCACATCTCATTCTCGAAGATGAAAAATTCTTTTATTTTCTTTTAGTCGAATTTTATTTGTGCATAACATTCAAGTGCACATAAGTCCATCGATTTCATCAAGTGAATGTATTTCTTCTTTGTTTCATCAACATTGAATTGTTCTGACTGCAATGCATACGAAAATTCAATACCAATCAATTGTGGAAGCAGCTGTTGTTGCTCTACTTTGGCAACAAAACAATCTTTAAGCTCATTTGTAGTTAATGTGAAGAAATCATCAAACTTATAGTTTTGGGCTAGATGGGTGGGGTTTAAGAATTTTGTGTCTGCATAGCAATTTTGAGGCTCTTCCGGTAATTTTCCATCAACAAATCCTTTATCAATAAGATATTGAATATTGCATGGTTCGATTTGGGATAAGTTCTTAATATGATGCTTACCCACGTAACCATAAGTCGACGAATGGAAGATTTTATGTATTACATCAAAATCTTCCATGTATGTTCCACATGTACATTCCATGTATCGTACATTGGACATTATGCTAATATGAAAAGGGACGATTTTTAGTCGATTTTACGTCGATTTCACGTCGATTATTTTTTTGAACCAAAATCAAATTTTTTTTGACCGTTACAATATAAAAACCGATTAACGGAAAAATTTTGAATTTTTTTTACATGAAAATATTTTTTGTTAATTATACTATAATTTGTAGACAAAATCCAAAAAAATTAATTAAGGATTTTGTCTTTGAAAAAAAGAGTCGAAGTCTACATTTAAATGATTCGCATGTAATTATTTTAATTAATTAATCACACTTTGTATGAAAATTTGGCTGTGCCTTATATAAGTGATTTCTGATTGCACTTGTGAAGTATATAGCGGCTCAAGAAAAACGAATGTAATGGATGAAAAATCGACGTCTATTGGATCATCCAAAAAATTGTACATTTAAGTCGATTTTTTCATTGACGGCGATTTTGGTTACGTGGGTATGCTCATCAAATTTCATGCTATAAAGTTCGTCACCCATGCAGATGATCCTAGCTAATTTTATCGGTACTTTCAAACTCTCTTTGAATATTGATGAGCCATTCCAGAACAAAATAAAGTTTTCAGGCTTTGTGAAGAACTTGAAGTAGTTTCGATAGACTTTGTATTCATAAAACTTTTGAAGAATGCATTTCTCGTTCCTCAATGTCATCTCACGCTCTTCCAATGGCATGTCACGTGCCGTCTCTTCTACAACTTTTTCAAAGCTTTTCAGCAATTCATGCATTGTCGATTTGCAGTCTTCTTTTGTTATATTTTGTTCACATTTATCGATATAGTGATGAACATTATTCCTTAAATCTTCATCGTTTTGATTGTCGCTTCTAACGATTGCACAAATATCCACAACATCATTTAATGGCTTGTAATTGTCACCTAATTTCAATTCATTGAAATAATCAACTGTGCAATTAAATGTTGATATTGAGAATAAAACTGGGATTAATTTAAGTGCTTCCATCAATAGCTATGCAAATACTATGCAATAATCAACAAAAAGGCTGATTTTCAGTGACTGTCATGGGTCATATGGAATTAAGATAAGAATATGTTCGTTAACGACATTATGAACATGCTCTTATTTGAAAAAGTACGCAACAAGACTAAGGAATGAAAAACTTGTTGATTGAAATTTTTTTTTTGATAATTTGAAGTTTTACGTTGACAAAAACTCACGATCAACGGTAATTCCAGATTTGAATTCGACAAAACCCTTATAATTTGAATTTCACAAAACCGTTAAAATCAACTGTCATGAAAAATTCAAATTTATTGAGCAACAAAAAAAAACAATCCACACTGAACAGTTTTTCAATAACATTGATCACTGAACATTTTCTTCAACAATATTTGTTTTACTTTAAAAGTTTGTGAATTAAGCTAATTAAGAGCTATGAATTTAGAGGATAAGATTCTGGGTGAGAAATTGCAATATTATTGCAGTAGTTCAGAGGATGAAGGTGGAGATGACGAATATGAAGGCTCTGGAAGTGGAAAAGGGCAAGGCAAATCTCAATTGTCTATTGATCCAGCACTTCCGCAAGATTCTCATCACTGGAGTGGAAATTCTGCAAATACAGGACCAAAGGGTGAGTTATACATTATAAATAGTAATATCCAGTGATTAATATGTCAATAAATATAGGTGTAATTAAGGATTGGCAGAGATTTAAGCAATTGGAAACAGAAAAGCGAGATGCACAGGAACGTGAACGTCTTGATTTATTGAAAAAGCTCAGTATTACAGCCAAAACAACAGCTGAAGATCAAAAGGCCAAAGAACAGGCTGAAATGGAAGCAGAACTTGAGGATTTATTGAATGATGACTTTCTGCTTGAATTTCAAAAGCAACGGATGCAGGAAATGCTTCAAATGTCTGGTTTACTTCCGAAATTTGGTACTTTAATTCATCTCACGTCTGGTGATGATTTCCTTAAAGCCGTTGATAATGAGAACAAGAATGTATCTGTAATCATTCATATCTACGAAGAAAAGTTCCGTGCATGCCGTACTATGAATTCATGCCTTGAAAAACTGGCACCAGAATATCCGCTCATAAAGTTCTGCAAAATATTAAGTACGGCAACACAGTTAAGCAAGCAATTTAAAAGTTCAGCACTGCCAGCATTGCTCGTCTATAAAAATGGACAGATAATTGGGAACTTTGTAAGACTTCATGACGAGCTTGGCGATGAGTTTTATCATTCGGATGTTGAAAATTTTCTAATTGAGCATTCTTTATTAACTGACAAGACACTCGTTCCGATTATATCGACCCTAAGTTCACAGCAGCAGAATAACGACGATGACGACGATTAATTAACTTTTAATTGAATTTAATCATGTATCTCATTCATCTAAATTACTATACATTTTATAACACCCTAAATCATTAAGTTAAAGCAACGTTTTTTATTTGTACGCTTTTGTGCAATCATATTTATCACAATAAACATTCTCGAGAAGAACAATTTCTTTAATTAAGGTAACATTTTGTGTTTGATTTTAACTGACTTTTCAGATTTAAATGTCAAGTTAATCGATTTTTACATAACACAAACAGAAAAATTAGTAAACAGAGCCGAAAAAATCGAATTAATTAAAATAAACGCATAAAGAGCTATAATTAAGACATGACTCTGTTGAGAATCGCTAGTAGAGCTGTTCTCACATTACATCCAACTATTAGTTTGCTGAATCGTAAGTTAATTCACTGAAAAATGAATTTTAATTATTTGCATGCTTTTAATTCCTTAAAAACTTTAATTATAGAGCAAAAAGCGAATGTAGCTCGATGGGTTCGTCCAACATTAATGGAGATTAGAGCGAGAAAGAAGAAATTAGAGATTAAGAATGGCCCACAAAAGGAATCGCCAAGATCAAATTTTATTGAATGGAATTATGATGCTGAAATTTATGCTTTTGGAATTAGACTGAAAGAGAAGTTTAATTACACATTATTGCAACAAGCATTTGTAGATCGTTCATATATCGTACAAGAAGAGATGAAGCAACGATCAGTCGGTGTTGAGAATCCATCACTTAATCTCTCAGATAATTCAGCATTAGCTAAGAAAGGCGAGGAACTGATTACAGAATTTGTCATTTCATTCTTGAATCTATCATTACCGAAATTCCCAAGAGATGGAATCAAAGCTATTTACAGACATTTAGTGTCTGATGAGGTTCTACTGAAAGTTTCGCAGTCAATTGGCACAAAAGATTTAATTTTATCATCAAATTATCCACCAATGAACGATGTTTATGTAGCAACATTAAAGGCAATAATCGGTGCCTTATTTGAGTCATCTGGAGAAGCTAGAGCCTACGAATTTATCAGAGACTTCATTTGTACGCAATTAAATCAAGTAGATGTTAATGAATTATGGAAAATTGAGAATCCAATGGAACTTTTGAAGGAAATTTGTAAGGATAAGAAGCTTGGAGAACCAGAGCCAAGATTAATTAATAATGCAGGACAAAATACAATCCTTGCTGTTCATTATGTTGGAATTTATGCAAATAAGAAGCAATTGGGCACTGGATTTGGTGAAAACATTCAAATAGCAAAGGAAGAAGCTGTAAAAGATTCATTAAGGACCTTATTCCAGACAAATAACAATATGAAGCCATTTAACTTCCGTATGCCTGTAGAAAAAGTCGCAAATTTACTTAAGAAGCCAGCACTAGCAGCAGCAAGTGTTGACAACATTTGACGACGTCGAACTTATGATTTTTCTTATTTTTTGAAGTCTGGGAGGAAGTAGCATGAACTAAATGTGTATAAAGAGCCACTTAGTCGTAGAGATATAATAACTTTTTAATTAATTAATAATAAAATTGCGAAATAAACAGTTTAATTGCTAATTGTGTCACTAACTAGATTTCCATCCTTGTCTTTCACCCTTATCCGTCCATTTGAATATCTTGTTTCCATACTGCCATCTTCATACACAATCTTTACAGTTCCATCGGGAAATTCTCTTCTCTTGTAATTTGACGTGTGAATCTCTCGCTGACCATTTGGAAATGATAAAACTTTTGTGTCATTTTTGTAGATCTTAGCATTTGTGCCGTCAGGCATTCTCCATTCTTCCTTTATATCATTTGTCCAAGTTTTATTCGTAATTCTTATTGATCCATCTGTGTAATGTATTTCTACTGTGTTATCTTTGTATCTGTGCTCTACCTCGCCACTGGAAATAATAAAATTTACAATTTTAACTAAGCTCAAATTTTTTTGGAAAATTTAACGACTTTTCTAATTTTAAATGTTTCAGAACCGTACAAATGTCAAAATTTTAGAATTTGTATGGTTTTTAAAACATTTGAGTGGTTCTCAAATCTTGAATAACCGTTAAAATCCAAATTTCAAAAACCCGTTAAATCTTCAGACAAAAACTCACCTTGGATACTCAAGAATTTCTAAACCATCGACATAAGTCGTGTGCCATGTGTTTGTATCAGCATAATAATATTTCACAGTTCCCTCGTTGATATTTGTTTCCTTAATGTCCTTATTATAGTACAGCATCCTAATCATCATTCCATCTGCTGAAATTTTCTTTAAGTTCCCATTTGGATACCAAATGTCCTTACTTCCATCAGAATTGACAATTTCTCGTTTCATTTCTGTAAGAATGTCTGATGACGACGTTGATGTACGATTTTGTATAGTGCTGGTTTTTCTAATCGGATCTGAAGACCTTGTTCTTATTAGATTTATATCTGTGCCTTGATTTTCATCATCATCGGTACTTGATTCTTCACTCGACAATATTTCCTGTATAATTTGTGGCTTTTTCTTTGGAGCTGGTTTTGAGGCAGGTTCACTTTTCCTTCGGACTTCCGTTTTCTTAATTTCTGGCTTTTTTGTTAAAACTTCAGGCTGAGATAATTTTGCGATATTTTTGTTAATTTCCTGCAGCATTTTGCTGTTTGTTTCTCTTTTGAGTCGCGCATTTTCTAGTTCCAATTTCTTGTTATCCTTTCTTTCTGCTTCTAGTTCCAATTTTAATGTTTGATTCTCTTTTTCAAGGACCTTAATTTGTGATCGATATCGTGCCTGTGATGATCCATGCCTTACTTCCTTCGATTTCATTTCCTCTTTAAGTTCCTCAATTGTTTCTTTTAATTTTGTCACTTCCTCTCGTTCCTTTTTTGTTGGATTTTTGGCATCACGCAGCATTTTGTCGAGTTTCTGCTTTTGCTGTTCAATTTTCATTTTTTCATCATGAATTTCCATTTCCATCCTGATTTTCTCGTCCTTAAGTCGTTCAAAAATGTCATCACGTTCATTCTCAAGCTGGATTTTGTCTAGTTCCAATTCACTTCTAATTTTAATTATGCTGGATTTTTCTTTTTCAATTTCTTGTAACTTCATCATTAATAATTCAGTTTTCTCTTTCAGTTCTGCTGCTTGTTGCTCCATTTGATGGTTTGCTGTGCTAGTTCCAAGCATTTTCCTTTTAAATTCCTGAAATTTGAGTCTTTCATTTGGAGTGGATGTCTGGCTTAATTCTACAGTATCCAAGTCACTCGATAAAATCGTGGAATTAGCATCATCGTTCACAAACTCGACATTTTCAGCAAACCTGACACGATGATCAATATCATCATCTGGCATGACTGTTTCTTCTTCACTCTCGCTGCTACTACTTTCATCTATAATTAGCTTCTTATTAACATCACTTGGATGTGGTTGTAGCTTTAAATTTATTGTATTTGCATTCTCATTGATTATTGGATCATTAGGTTTGAGAAATTCCTTTATAGCCTCAGAATTACTGCTCTGATCACTCTGTAATGATGACAATAGCTTAATTAAACTAGATGGTGATGAATCTAAATTTAAATTGTTAATTCTTTCTTCTAATAGCTGGAACAAGCTTGTCTCATCATGTTCATTCTCTGTTGGTGCCACAAGCTGATTTAGATTGACAGAACAGTCAGCAATGTTGTTGCACGAGAGAATTTGTGCCCATGATACGCCTTTTGGGAGTTTTGGATTTTTTGGCGTTTCCTTAATTTCTTCTGGACTTGATTTTGATAGAATTCTTTCAATTATTGGATTTGGCGGTTGTTCAATGGGCTTAGCTAGTGGTATTTTGAGATTTGCTTGCGGAACTACCAAATCTTTAGATTCTGGAATTTCAGGAACTCTTTTTATGTCATTTTTCTTAACAACTGGATCACTTTTTCTAGTTATTTTATTAACGTCATTATCCAGTGATTTTGGCTTATCTATCTTATCATTATCTAATGATTTTGGTCGTTCCTTTTTTGTTGGTTCAACATCCTTAAATTGTGGATTTTTAGTTTTTGCCAAAGTTTTCTTAATTCTATCGCTATATTTATATGGAGGAAGCTTCTTTAAGCTGAATCTATCTGGTGCCATATTAAATCGTGACGATAGCCCAGCACCTCGTCTTAGAAATGGCTTTTTTGGAACCTGTAATTCACTTCCAGTGTCTTTAAATTCCTCAACATGAAATTGTCGCTGTGCTGGAATTATGTCATCACTTTTAATTAATTCATTATTATACTTTGATGGACTTTTCTCTTGCTCAATATCTGAGTCGTCTACTGGATCTTCATAGTCATTAATTATATTAGAATAATCATCAGAATTATTGTCATTAATTTCTTCTAAATCATCATTATTTTGCATTTCTATAAAACTGGATAAGCTTATTCCTAAAATTTCATACATTTGAAGTTGTTCCTTTGTTAAAAGACTCTTTTGTGTCATCTAGAACGTGAAAATTGGAAAATTGTTGTCATAGAAAAATTGTTGTTTTGATAAACAACCGCGAAAAATTAATTTTACTCACAATCATCAAGTTTTTCTGCTCTTCTTCATACTGTTTCAGCTCATTCAGCTTATCTTGTAATTCCTTTTGTCTTGTCTCCATTTCTAATAGAGTAATTTAGCTAAAATAATTAATTTTAAGGTAATTTCAAATAAAAAAAGAATCTGTTATATTTTTTCCGTTAAATATATATTTTTTGAATTTTTTTCCCGCACCTTTATAGAATTTTTGACTCACTTTGATTTTTGTTTTGTTTACATGCGGTTGAAATTATAAAAACCTTAATTATATTAAGAATGCCGTTTGATACAAAAAGAATTAATGGTCCAGATAATACATTCTCATATAGACAATTCATAGATGCTGACAAAGATGAGAAAAATAAGAAGGAATTTACAGGAAAGCGGAATGATAATCGCGAGTTACTGGATCATAGAAAAATTGGTAAATTTACTTAATTAAACAGTTTTCATTGTAGGCACTTTAACTAATCATGTGTGTTGCTTTCCAGCTGTTCAACTAAATGCCATCACAAAAGCCAAAGGATCTTGCTACATAGAGAATGGAAATACGAAAATAATTTGTGGAGTTTTTGAATTGAGAGAAATAGCTAAAAGCAGCAGATACAACGATAAAGGACAACTCTACTGTGATTTCAAGTATGCACCGTTCTCAAGAGAAACTCGCAAGTCAGTAACTGAAAATGAGGAAAAATCCCTAGCGATGAGTATAAAATTAGCACTAGAATCGCTTGTTTGCCTTCATGAATTCCCAAACTATCAAATTGATGTCTTTATAATGGTTCTTGAAGATGATGGAGCTGTATTATCAACAGCAGTAATGGCTGCTGGAATGGCATTCGTTGATGCCAGTATTTCATGCTTTGATATCATCACATCTTCAACAATAGCCTTTATTGACGGAATTATGGTCGTAGATCCAACATCTGAGGAAGAAGACATAGCTAATTCAACGAATCCACCAGAAAATCATGGTACAATCACGATAAGTAGCTTAAACTCGATGGATCAAATATCACAAGTTATATTCAATGGCTTTATTGAGCCTCAATTGTTAAAGGATGCTAAAAAGCAGCTACTGGAAATCAATAAAGTTCATGAAATTTATTTAAAGAAAGTTGTAAGCATGAAAATCATAAAAGAGCATCGTGAAACTTGATAATAAAGTTATGAAATTTATTGCTATTTTCTCATATTACGTATTTTCATTATTTGGTAAGAATGCCATTAAGTCACCGTATAATAAGTTTATAGCAAATTTATTTATTGGAAGTGGCTGACTAAAGTTATCCTTAAATTCTTTCTTATACGACGAAAACTTCCATGGCGATGATTTTAGTACTTCTAATTGAAATTGATAAACTTCAATGTTGCTTAACGATCCATAAGACATTAAATTGAACGAAATGTTGTTAAGATCACGATGAAATCCAACAATCCACCTAAAGTATGTGTAAAGTGGCAGCATAAGCACGATCCTTTGGAGTTTCATGAGGATGTACGTTATTATGTAGATCATAAGTCTCAGCTGTAAAGGAAATGAAGATAGAAGCTTGATAAAATGTTTGAAAACTTTCCAAATGTTTATAAATCTCCTCTAAAACCATACAAATTCTTTTTTTTTATTCGATTCCCTGATTGATTCAAAATTCTTTAATTAATACTTACAATTGCAAAGACGACATAATAAATAATGATTGTTGGCAGTAAGAATAGCAATGTTGTAAAGAACAATGTTGCAAGGAATAATTGACGATTTGAATATTCTTGTGACTCGATTCTTTCTGAAAATCATAAATTTTCATTAATTAATCTACATTTCAATTAATCACTTAAAGAACTTACTCTTCAGCACATTATATCTCCGTCCAAGAACGATCCTCCAAAGAGACCTCAAACTGACTAGTTCAGTTTTGTAGAGCATAGCAGCATAAATGTAGAAACAATGAGCATGAAGTGTTATAAGTGTGATTATGTCACACAGCATAGCACATTGGAATGAAAAGCCGAGCAATCCGAATATTTTAATTGGCATAAAGAGGTAGTGAATGGCTGGTTCCAAAATGATAATGAAATTCCACCACAAGTCTACGTGATACATAAAACAGCTATGCAGGAAATTATTGAGCTGGATGTTGAGTTTAAGACCAACCGGAGAATCAGCAAGTTCATCGAGTAGCATTCTAAGCTTGTCGAGTACAAATTCTGTCACACTCATGAAATAATCTTCTGGATTGTCCAAATGCCTAATCAGCATGTACACAATAATTCCTAAAACTATATCGAACACAATTGTTCCATTTCTGAGCCTCCTTTCAGTCAGTACTTTCTTCCAAATTCTTGAATGATGATATACTGCAGTTTTGTAAAATATAAATGAAAATGGAACTAGCAGCTTAGCTAGGATTGTCGAGAAATTGTCTAATAATGTGAATAGAAGCAACGATAAGTTGAATAATCCTGAGTTTTGTTGCGACTGTAGCACAAATGGAAGATAAAGGAAGAAATGTCGATCGATTGATTCTTGCTCATAGTCATTCACATTAAATTCACTAAATGAGCTTGGATCATAAAAATATACTAGTGCTGTTCTGGATTGTCTGTCATATATCCTAATATCCTCTATTTTCTTGGTTCCATAGCTTGTAATTATGTTAAATTCTCCTTTATTAAAATTGTCACTTCCACAACATCCTAATAAACTCAAATCACCGGCATTTCCTTCGATATTTGTACATTTTGTGACGTAATATGACAGAACTTGCTGTTTATTCCTTAATTCCTTTCGTTTCTTTCCATATAAATATTTAAATTTATTATAATTGTTTGGCAAATAAATAGAAATGTCCATTTGATCTAGTTCCTTTTGTTTACTGCTGTAGAACCTGTCTAAACTGGATGTTCTTAAAATCTGAAGTTCCAGTGTGCTCACTAATACATTCAAAGAAAAAAGTAAACAAAATAAAAATCAAAATTTTTCAAAATCCAAAATTTATTTCATTAACAATGTCTATCGCATCAAGAGACCACGCAAAGCAACTATTCAATGAATCAAAGAGAAGACTGGCTGATAGAGTTGGCGTTAATGTCAATAATACAGCTAGTATTGCTCGACAAATTGTTAGAGGTAAGAAATTGTTAAAATTTTCATGACTTATTGTTGTCAACATAAATATCCATAATTAGGCTCAAAATCAAGTGACATACTAATGCAATCAGCCAAGCATTTAGCACAGCAAGAGACAGCCTTAGAGAATAGCGCATCAAACTTGATTAAAATTCAACTGATCCAACAACAATTAGGGTAAGAAATACAAAATCCAGCATGACTTGTAATCAGTGTTAACAAATAATATTAAATATGTAGATATCAGCATGCTGCAATCCGTGAAGGCTGTCATATATTAGGAAATGTTCGAGAGGCTGTTTCGAGTATGGAAAGATGAGATAAATTTGAGATGCTTAATGATTAATGGACCTTTATTAATGTTTAATTAAACTTTTGCATCAAATCATACTGTCTGATCTTATAATTGTTGATATTTAATATAATCAATTTTGTATTATCGCTGTAATAAGTAATATTGCTTATTAAGGCAATTGAATTGTTCAACAACTACGATTGATGGACTAGCTTTCTTATTAATAATCTCATGATATTCAATATCACTCTATCGTAAGCATGTGTTATAAAATTAAGGACAGAAGATTGAAAATCAGGATTAGGAAGTCGGACTGGTGTGCACAGCTGTATATCTTGACATCTATTGATCTGAAATATTCTTATAATTTAAAATCCACCTTTTTCTGATTTCACATCCTGAAACTTTATGTCCTTTAAAGAAATAAAATAATCATCTATTATAAAAATTAACTCCTAAGCACATTCTTAATTATAGTTTATTGTTCTCGCTTACAGCTTGCTTTTGGAATAGTTTGATAGCCACTTACAGTAAACAATATATTATTGGGGGCAGAAATGCATTCCAATAGAAGAAACGTGTCAAAAAAAAAAATTTAAAAACTCGGTTTTTGTCTAATATCTTATCACAGAATTGGTATTCACGTCCGTCCTCAAAAAGAAGAAGCTTAATTAATTTTGATAAATGTTAAATATTCAGTTTATACTGAAACATTAGTTCTGATCGAACTTGCTAATTTTTAAAATGGATATTCTTGATTTTTCTAAGCAACTTCCTTCGTGGCTAGATAAAGATCTATTCGACAAAGCAATTCAGACCTACGAATTCGATCCACAAGCAAAAGTCAATAGTTTTGATATCAAAGCAGCAACACAGGCAGGTGAAAATTTCTCAAGTGCAGTTTTTCGTGCTACAATTAAATTTACATCAAAATATTCAAAGAATGAGAAAGAGATGTCCGTGATTATTAAGACACAGCCAGTTGATGTAGATTCGCCAGAAATAGAAAGCATGAAGGACACAACGATGTTCGAAAATGAGATTGGAGTGTATTTGAATGTTTTGAATAACATTCAAGAACTGATCAGTTCTGTTGGATATAAAGATGTGATGTGCCCTAGGTTAGAGAACATAAGAGAAGTTTCAGATATAAAATGTTTGAATGTGTCTTTTTTTGCATGTCCACTAGTCGATAAGAGTTTTTATCCTATAACTTACTTCCTTTCTTGTCTTAATGAGCCTTAATCGGTAAATAATTAATGAATGAAAAAGAATAATTCAATCGATTTTGAAACAATGATAAAGTTTCAGGGTTTTCTTAATTTGATGAGCATTTTGGTTGACTCCAATTTACTTTATAGTGTTTAGTAGGTTCCTTGAGACAATTAATTTCTGAACTTTATAATGATTGAAAACTTGCTGAATTCCGACAATTCATTTGTGGTGACTCAAAAACTCTAATTATCGATCTCAAGCATTAACTTGTTCATTCCAGATTAATCTACCAAACAATGAAACCTAAACCAGTCATAATAATTGAAGATGTCACAATTAGTGGATTTGACACTCCAATAAAGTCAATTCATGAAGATTTTGAACTCTCAAAGATGATTGTGAAAAGATTAGCAAAGTTTCATGCAGCTAGTTTCTATTTGCATGATGAACAGGTTTGAATGATTTTCAATAGTTTTGTAAGACATTAAAAAGAATTGCTATCTGTAGAAAATTGATGCATCGCGATTTGACGCCTGCATTTTTAAAGTTGAACTGTTTGCCAATATGATTTATGGATATAGTTATGATATATTGCTGAAATTGATGTCTAATTGGGAAGGATTTGAGGAATTTATTGAGCCAATTAAGAAAATGAGGGCAAATTTACATGCAAAAGTCTGTAAAATCTTCACACCTAATGAAGGAAATGGTGCATTTAATGTTCTTAATCATGGAGATTTTCATTTTAAGAATATACTGTATAAAATGGATAAAAAATTTGGAAAAGTTGAGGATTTTGTGATGGTTTGTGGCTTTTTACTTAATTCATAATTCTTAAATTTTAATAAAATGTCATTTTTCAGTACGACTTTCAAATCTGCACGTACGCAACTCCAGCAATCGACTTGTGCTATTTTCTTTACAATTTTGTTTCTGACAAGGATCGAATCACCCGATTTAATGAAATTCTTGCAATCTACCATAAACAATTTGTGGAAGCACTTCAAAGATTTGGTTACTTAAAACAACCACCATCGTTACTTGATCTTCAGATTGAGATGCTTAAAAGTGGTCATTTACAGGTACAGTGTGCAATGCTGCTATATCCATTTATGATTGTAGATATGAGCACTTTTACTTCTGAAGATTTTGCTGCCGGTCTTAATCTTTTCAATGAAAAGACTTTTGATAATGAGAGATTCAAAAGAGTTGTTAAGGAGGAACTTAAAGTATTCATGCACAAAGGATTTCTGCCAAATTAAGGAAAAGTGGAAATAAATTTCTAGTGTCTTTTATTATTGAAAAATTGAGTTTTATTATAGGAGTCAGTTCAAATGCCTTTAATTTTTTAAATCCACTATAATTAAGACTTTCTTCCTTTATTCGTTAATATTTGAATTTTTAATTTTCAAAAATAAAAAATTCGTTATGAAATTTAACATTCTTAGCGTAATTTCATCCCTTCGCATTTTTAACTTTACAAATTTGAAATGATTTCTTTAAATAATCTTAAAAATTTCCTGCCTACATCGAATGTAGTAACAAATTGTATAAGAAACGCGAGCAAAAAGACGAGTGGAAGTACGAAGAATCCAAAAAATCCTCATGGAAGGTAAATTAAAGTGAATTTTAACATATTTTTATAATAATTCAACAAAAACAATCTTTAATTTTAGACCAAAACATCGAGGATGGAAGAGACAAGACGGAAGTACTGTAACTTATGGAACAATATTGGCAACACAAACAAAGCCTCGATTCTTTCCTGGATTAAATGTAATCAACATTGTTATTGAACATTAAATGCATATTAATTAAATTGTGTATTTACTAGGTCGGTTTTGGACGTAATGGAACTATCTTCGCAATGACAAATGGCAAGGTGTATGTGACGTGTGAGAAAGTAGATTTAAATTTCGATCATGGCTGGATTCAACGATTCTTTTCTGGCAGATCAGGACACACAATTTATAAGAAATATTTTAATGTTATTCCTGAAAAGCAGCATAACAGATTTAGACTTGTTGATGAGAATTAATCAATTGGAAGTGAAACTAATAAAGTATAATTATAGCTAATAGTATACCTAATAATTTCCAATAATATTTATCAGATGACATAGCTTAATTACAGAATAAAATTAAAAATCCAGTGAACTGGATCTACTAGCTTAATATCAAGGGGTAGCAAACTCAACAAATAATTCAGAACAGAAAAAAAACAACAAAATATTTGAGCTCCACAAAAATTAATAAATTTAATTAGAAATGGAGCTCAGAGGTGATATATTTTATCAAAAAACGATACAATGTCTAGCAAGGACCTTAGCAAAGCTTAATCCAACACCAGAAGATAAGGTAAATATGAAATAAAGTTAAAAAAAATTATGAGTCAGAAAAAAATCAATAATTGTCCTTGAAAAAATATTTTCTCTTTGAAAACATCCAGCTCCAACAATTATTCAAGCACTGTCCACAAGAAAGTTCAGCAGGCATTTTTTGTATCGATTCGAGAGCTCATGAAGCAGTTGTTGCACTTGGATTATATTTTTTGGAAAGTGAATATCAATATGAGCATTTAATTGTTCCTTACTTGATAAGACTGATAAAAGGACTTCCGAAATCGATTCATAAAGATGAAGATCAGAAGATGCTCGAGAAAAGAACTGACAGTAAGTCTTATAGTAATATGTGTTAATGCTATGTTTTCATTTATTTCTTATTTTTAGAATTGCCATCAACTGAAAAGTTCTCGTTCTGTCTTAATACTTTGTTGTCGGATATAAGCGTTTGTTGTCCAGATCGTCGTGAAGAAATAATACAGACACAAGTTGAGGTGTTTGCATCATTAACAAATATGATTATTTCCAAGCAGAATTCGTCATCATCAGTGTTGTGTAAAGATACAGTTCCAATATTGTTAGGATTATCACGAGCAATTGGAAGGTATACAATTAAAGATCCACTAATTAGTAGAATGTATCCACCACCAGAAAAACCAGTTGTTAAAGCTACAAATCCAGATCAATTGATGTTAAATGATCGTCAAAAGTTTTCTCCTAATTTTCGTCCAATTATTCCACGATCTATGTCCGGATCTTTAAATATTGAGGCAATGGAAGCTAAGACAGGGATAACACCAACAGCATCTCCAAGAAAAAGTGAACCAATAACAAATAAAAAATTATTTAGCTATTATTCAGTTCCTTACGATCCAACACGTTATTTCTTTACAAAATTCGGTTCAAGTTTCAATCAGTTTCCAAATATGAGATCATTTGAGCAAGACAGTGATTTAGAAACACAACTTAAGCGTGAAAAAATTCAATTTCCAATCAGTCATTTACAGCAGATTTTTGCATTTTCAAAGAAACTTTTGGCTAAAGAGATTTTAGAGTATTTGGATGAAAGAGCTGAAGACATTTTTGGATTACTTCAAAATAACACTTATGGATATAAAAGCTTCTCAGAAACTATTAATCTTGTAATTGTGACATTATTAAGAGAACTATTACAGAATCAAACTGAATTGTCTACTCCATTTACAAAAGATATCCAAGAATTTGTTAAGCAATTGTTCCTTAATGGCCAAACTGAAATAAACAATAAACAGCATGAGGATCATAAAAGGAATGAAAATGAATATAATGTCGTTAATAAATACAAGATAAATGTGATGGCAAATGCAGCATGTGTTGATCTTTTGGTTTGGGCTATTCGTGATGAAACTGGTAAGAAACATTTGTTACTTAATATAACTTGATGTATAATTTAGACCAAAAACAAATATGATGAATTTATTGCAGTTGGCGACACATTCGATATTATTCAATTTCATCAAGATCTTTATAAGCTCCTCCATTTAGGTAGATCTTGAGTGATCGAGTTGATTTCTTAGATTTTAAACTTTTTGACCATCGCTTTTCCTTAATTTTCATATTTAAGCAAATGACATACTTTTGCGGTTTGAGTTTCTATCCATTAAACTTAACCCATGAAAACGTCATTTTAGCATCGACGTGTGTTCTGCTTTCAATTTTTGACCTTACATTGAACTTTATACACTAATAGTATCTTAATTATTTTAGAGGCTGATAAATTGTGCATGCGATTACATCAGAAATTGGACACAAATATCGGACATAAGATTATGCTAGATCACATGCCATTATTAATGGTTTGTCTTGAAGGATTAGGAAAATTAGCCAAGAAATTTCCTGGCATCTCTGGAACATCAATTTCATATCTACGAGACTTTTTGGTTGATCCTAGTCCAATTTTAGCTAAACTTCATGGGCAGGCTGTTATTCATCAAAAGAAGGAAAAGGAAATTACTCCGTACAGAATCGTTGGTAAGTCCTGTGTTTTAATAATCATCGAAATCCCAACCTCTATATTTAAAGATACACGACCTCTTTAATTCCAACAGTTTTAAGTAGCTTGTTTAAACCTGACTTAAATTCAATATTTTGTATGAAATTACATACTTCGCAAACGCAATCAGAAATGACTTTCTGCATGACAAAGATGAATTTTCATCCACAATTCGTTAACTTCAAACATTTAAAATTCATTTAAATAATTTATCTCAATCTTATTTCCAGTTCAAAGTCCTGAACATCAAATTTCGGATATTCAACATAGGCCTGGATTAACCAAATCTCCCGTCACAGCATTTGAAGCTTTAAGAGAAGCAGCTATTGAAAATTTAAGCATTGCTCTTCGTGCAGCACATCCAACCGATCAGTATTGTGTTCCAGCATTAATTGCTAACGTATCAAATCGTTTGTTTATAGCTGAAAAGAATGAAAATGAATCAAATTTGGTGTCTTTAAATATAATCGTAATGTTGGGACATGTAGCTGTTGCATTAAAAGACACACCAAAAACTACTCAAAATATTTTGCAATTTTTCATTCAGCGTTTCTGTAAAGTGGCTAATGAACAGAATGTTTTAATTGTCGATCAACTTGGATGCATGATTATCAGTAAGTGTGAAGCTGATATTTTTGATGAAATTATGAAAATGTTTTCGAGAGTAATTGTGCAATCAGCGTCATTAGCTTATAGTTCAGATCCAGATAAAAGGAGACAATATCAGCATGTTTCAGATGCTGTAATTAATGCAATGGGAAATATAGCTGCAAATATTCAAGGAGAAGCTGAAACCTTAGAATTGTTAATTAAATTAATGGAAATTTTTGTTCAAATTGGACTTGAAGGTGAGAGAAGTTACGATAATTCTCAAGGTGCACAGAAGGCATCAAGTAGTGCTGGAAATTTAGGAATGTTAATACCTGTTATTGCTACGACAGTTCGAAGACTTCCTCCAATTAGATCACCAAAAACGAGACTCCATAAATTATTTAAAGACTTTTGGATGTATTGTGTTGTTATGGGATTCACAAATGCACGATTATGGCCAAGTGACTGGATTCAAGGCGTGCAAGAAATTGCTGCAAAATCTCCACTTTTAATCTCACAAACTCCACATAAATCAGAAATGAGAGAACTCAATTATTCATCAGCAATTCGATCAGACTCTGTAAGCTTGAATGAGCTTAGAAGTCAAATTATTCTATTACTTGATCATCCACCAGCTGAAGTAACTGCTTATATCCATAAACTTTCTTTTGCTCAATGTACTTACTTATTAAGTGTTTATTGGCTTGAAACATTAAGAGTTGAAAATGCAGAAGAGCCTAGTTTAGATCCAATTCTATCATATTTATGTGATCCTGTTCTTCAAAAGGACAAATGTGGAATGTGGCAATGCGTTAAATGCATTGGTGATCAAGTTTTTGAAAAGTTTCGTACAGTCTTAGTTGATCATGATTTGAAACGTGAAAAGGTATTGGAATCACAAGCTAGAATGTTACTTGTCTATTTTAATCACATCCATAAGCAAATTCAGTTAGTAGCTGATCAATATTTATCACAATTGGTCGATAAATTTCCTCATTTATTATGGAGTAGAAGTTTACTATGGAGCATGTTGGATATCCTTCAATTACTAGCTTACTCATTGAGTCTTGATCCAAATCTTCCAATTCCAATTGTTCAAGTTCCAATGACTTCATATACATTACAATTTATGGACAATATGCCAGCACGTGAGAATCGTTTTAAAGACTTTAGTGACCGTTGTCAAGGAATATTCAATGAAGCTATGAAATGGGCTCCAAATTATACAAGAAGTCACTTACAGCAGTATCAAAGTCAAAGTCATATATTTTCCAACTTTAGTAATCGTGAAGAAGCATTAGCATTTGATTCTGTAATTCGATCATGGCTGACTGATTGTGTCTCAAGTGTTAAGTTAAAGAGCACAAATAGTGGAAGTCGTGGAACATCTAAATTTGTATCAGTTTTATGTCTCAGAAGTAAGTGCACAGGAGAAATTGCAGGTTTAATCTCAGTATTGGACGAAGAAAGCAAAAGAGGTCTTTGTGAACGATTAACTCAATCAATTTGGGATGCTACTCGAGAAAAAAATGAGACAAAGTATAAAGGTGCATTATGGCGTGGAACTGCTTACTTGATATCATATTCGACTTACGATCAGAATGTAGGAAAACTCCTTCATGCAATTTCATCGTCACATGTTGAAATATTTACAGAAAAAACTGTAGAAACAGCTGTTGAATGTTGGCAGTGGATATTAACAGCTAGGGAAGATTTGGAATTAAGTTTCATCCGTGAAATGGTGTCAGCATGGCAAATTACATTTGACAAAAAGATTGGATTATTCTCAGAAGAATTTGAAGTCACAAGTCCATTAGCTGCTTATGATGGATGCAAATTAGTTCCACAGCCAATAAATGTCAGACCACACATGATTTGGCTTGATTTAATATCCGAAATGGTAGATACAGCAAAATATTGTAATCGAGATAAAGTTGAGATGCTTTGCATGCTTGTCCATAGATGTCTACCAATTGATAAGCATTCAAAACAAACGAGACACATTTCAACAGTTGGATGTCGTTTTAAGCTTCTTCAATGTGGATTGAGCTTATTACAAGGAAATACAATCCCAAAGAGTTTATCAAGGAACATTTTACGTGAACGAATCTACTTTTATGCTTTAGATTATTTTTGTGCAGCTCCACAATGCCCATCTCAGTCACGTGAAATACTTTTTGATGATATTACAATTTTAATGACATTTTGGCAAACGATGAGATCAGAAAAGAAGCATTTAATGACATCAGAATTGAGTGACTATGAGCTTAATGGAAATACAACAACAACGACAAATTTAACTGTTGGAAAGTCATATGGTGATTCAATTTCAATGGCTGGAAATGATGTGTCAAGGTCAACAAGTGGAACTGCTGGATGGTATAACACGATTCCTCATTCTACGTCAACATTGTCGAGAAAAACGACAAGACCAAAACGTGGAATTGGACAAAAGGATTCATATGATAAAGACTATATGAAGAAAAGAAATTTAATATTGGAACTTTTGGCTGTAGAAATTGATTTTCTCGTAACTTGGTATAATCCATTAGCTAATCCTGAAATGCAAGTTAATCCAAAAACTGAGGAAGCATTAACAACATGGCGAACTAGGCCAATTAAAATTAATTTATGGAAAGATAATGTTCAACTTGCTTGGGTCTATAATCCATCACTTGCTGTATTTCTCTCACAAAGAATTAATAATGTTGAAATTATTGACGATGAAGTCTCAAAGTTGGTCTTAGCTGATCCTATGGCTGCAATGCATATTCCTGATGCATTAAAATATTTGGTGACAACTAAAACTTTACTTGCTGACTCTTCACAATTAAACTATATGCTGACTTGGGCTAAAGTAACTCCAATTCAAGCTCTTTCATATTTCTCTCGTCAATATCCAACTCATCCACTTACAGCTCAATATGCTGTTAAAACATTACTTTCATGTCCAGCTGAAGCAGTTCTACCATACATTCCACAGCTCGTTCAAGCTCTTCGTCATGACACTATGGGATATGTTACGGAATTTATTAAACAAATTGCAAAGAAGTCACAGATTGTTGCTCATCAATTGGTTTGGAATATGAGAACTAATATGTATATGGACGAAGATATGCATCAGAGAGATCCAGTTCTATTTGATGTTCTTGAATCGCTTGTTAATTCGATCATTTCACAATTGTCAGGTCCAGCAAAAAGATTTTATGAACGTGAATTTGACTTTTTTGGTAAGATTACTGCTGTGTCGGGTGAAATTCGTGGATTTGCTAAAGGACAGCCACGGAAAAAAGCATGTTTGGATGCTCTTCGTAAGATTGACGTTCAAAGTGGCTGTTATCTTCCATCAAATCCTGAAGCTATGGTTCTTGATATTGATTATAATAGTGGAACGCCCATGCAAAGTGCTGCAAAAGCTCCATACTTGGCTAGATTTAAAGTTAGACGATGTGGAATAACAGAACTCGAACAATTAGCTATGGAAGTATCAGGTGGAAGTACAACAACGTCACCAACTAAGCAATCATTATCTTTGCATGTTGAAGGATGGCAAGCAGCTATTTTCAAAGTCGGTGATGATGTTCGACAGGATATGCTTGCCCTTCAAGTTATATCCATTTTTAAAAATATCTTTCGTCAAGTTGGTCTTGATTTATTCTTATTTCCATATCGTGTTGTTGCTACATCTCCTGGATGTGGAGTTATTGAATGTGTCCCAAATGCTAAATCGAGAGATCAACTTGGACGACAAACTGATACTGGATTATATGAATACTTTTTACATAATTATGGCGACGAAACAAACAAGGAATTTCAAATGGCAAGAAGCAACTTTGTTAAATCAATGGCTGCATATTCAGTTATTGGATACCTCTTGCAAATCAAGGATCGACATAATGGAAATATCATGATTGATACAGAAGGTCATATAATACATATTGGTAAGAAACCAACATTCTTATTCCTTTATTCCTATTAAAATAATTTTTAATTCTTTCCAAAACAGACTTTGGCTTTATGTTTGAAAGCAGTCCTGGAGGAAATATTGGTTTCGAACCAGACATGAAGCTAACAGATGAAATGATAATGATCATGGGCGGAAAAATGGAAGCAGCTCCATTCAAATGGTTTTGTGAGTTGTGTGTTCAAGCCTTTCTAGCAATTCGTCCGTATCAAGATGCTATCGTGTCACTAGTAAGTCTCATGCTTGATACGGGACTTCCATGCTTCCGAGGACAAACAATTGCATTATTAAAGCAAAGATTTGTGTCTAACAAGAACAGCAAGGAAGCTGCAGCACATATGCTTGGAATTATTAAGAATTCGTATCAAAACTTTAGAACAAGAACATACGACTTGATTCAGTACTATCAAAATGCTATTCCTTATTAAATTATTGTAACGTTTTCTTTATGTATTTGGACGAGATTCATACTAAATTATCTGGTGATTTAAAACATTTATTTTATTGTTGAAGGTATTAGTAACTTATAGTAGATAATCGATATTAAAGTTGGCAAAGTAATAAAAATGTTATTAAACTAAGTTCTTACCGTCTTCTTCAATGCTTACAGTCTATTTTTGAATTATAGAAGTTATGTCTAATTTCGCTGTATAATAAAAGAAAAATTTGACGGATTTTTAAGTTTTGAAAAATTGAACGGTTTTTATTATTTGGATTTTTAAACCCTCGGATTAATTTTTAACCTCAGGATTGAAATGTTTAAACCCAGCCTTCTGATTATTACAGGGATTATAATCTACAGCTCAAACTTTCCTTGCAATCCAGGACCTTTCTTGAACTTCTTTTTCTTCTTTTTGTTGTCTTTAAATTTATCGCTTTCTTGATCAGCCTTTTGACTTATTTCTAGTAAATCTCTTACACTATTCTCTAAAGGATATGACCAAAGTCGTTCCTCATTCAAAAATACATTTAAATTCCTCTTAACAAACTCAAATTCCTTTGTTGTAACTTCATCCAGTAAGTCTAAATTCTTTTCGAGGAATGTCAATGAAATTTTGAGTATTTCCTTCCAATTTTTGTCTGGATCAGTTCTTTTAATCTTATTTAATACTATATAGATATCATCTGGGAAGTTAACTAGGAAGTCCATAAATAGGCAAGCATTTTCAATGAACAGAATCGTTTCTTTTGGAACTTTCTCTGTATTTTTAGCCTCTTTCGGTTCCTTATTCTCAATTATGAGATCAAATGCCTTACTTAGTCCAATAGTCATCAACTGGAATCTATGCTCGTACTTTTGATTATTTGCTACCATTTTAAGCAATTGGAAATGTTCCTGAAAGTAAAGACATTAATCTTGTGCCTTAATAATTTTTTTTTTGACTCAAAACTTACTTCCCGTCGCCTTGCAAGCAACTTTTTGGGGAAGGTCTTTAACTTGTCATCAATTTCCTCAACATTTGCTGATGTTATAGACAGCATAACAATAAATATTGATATTCTCAACCACGTGTTCATGACTTAATCTATTTAGTTCAAGAAGAAAGTGAAAATTCCACGTAATTTAGTAAATCTTTCCGTACTACAATAAAAAAATAATAAACAAAGAATAATCAGAGCTGCAATGAGGAATCATTTAAAGTCAGGGCAGGTATTTATACTTCGCTACATGCTTATTTATTTATTTTGGAATTACATTTTAATCAGTTAAGATTTAATCTTTTTAGAATTAGGTTTTATTAAGATTTTGGAATTAGGATGCTTTGGAACTGGAAATTGATGGAGATTCGTACATAACTCAAAACAATATGATACTCAAATTCTAGGTCTGAAAAGATCCAATAAACCTCAATCAACTTCCAATTTCCAAAAAGTGGATTTTCTGTGCTTCAAAGCGAGATCTCGCAGTGATGAGTCGAACAATCTTAGTCAATAAATTCGGGTAATTCAGAAAAATATTTATCAAAAAACCAGCTATAATAAACATAGTCGAAAATCGTAATTGACGAAAGGGAAGCTTAATAAGGACATAAAACATGTCACATAACAATTTATAATTTCAAACGATCAGCTAAAGAGCAGCTCAATCCTGTGCCGTCGGGTTCAACATTCAATTCCTTAATGATTCCATTTTCAATCACCATTGAGTAGCGCTTTGACCTTAAGCCACCTGTAACGTTAATGGAAAATGAATTAATTAACATTCTTTAAATCGACTGATTCGTAGGAATTGGAACTGATAAATTAAGTTTTTATCAATTTAACATCCAAAACAGATGATAATACTGACCTAATGGAGGCAATTCTATTGAGAGATCAACAGCCTTAGTAAAGTTTGCCAATGGATCGGCTAACATGCGAATCTTGCCTTTTGTATTGAACTGATTAGCCCAAGCACTCATTACGAATGGATCATTAACACTAGATAAAAATATTGGATATTAATTATTTATGCTGTATATTTCTACAATGTTCTAGAACTTTTTCGTACCTGACACAAACGATTTCACTAACTCCACTAGCTTTAATCTCAGATTCTCGCTGTAAGTACGATGGCAAGTGAGTCTTACTACATCCAGGGGTAAAAGCACCTAAGATACAGAGACAAAGCCATTTAATAACAATAATTAATTATTTATAAGCTGCAAAACTGACCTGGAACTGCAAACAGAATGATTTTTTTATTTGCACATAAATCAGCAACATTAATCTTATTAGCCGGTGAATCCTCAAAGAGATCAATCGATGGAACCTTATCGCCTTCCTATTGATTGAAAAAAAAAATTTACATCATCAAGTCTGTGGATTATGAAATATCATCAACATAATTCCTGAATATTTTTGAAAATGGAAATTATGCAATCTTGAATTTTCTCACCTTAATTTGAACCATTTTCGTTGTTGATATAGAGCGAGTAATATTTAGAACTGATTTCCACAAGTTAGAGTTATTATTCAACTTAATTAAAGTATTCATTTATAGAAATAAGAAAATTTGTAGAACAAAAAAATAAGACCTTGAAAATTTAATGCAAGAAAGCTACGTGTTTCTATTGTTTGGCTTAAGTTTGCTTGATTTCCTGATTTACAACGCATTTTCCGGCTTTTTTGTTTTGTGACATGATCTTTATAGCTAAATATATCTTATGGCATTTAATAGGTTTGAAATCAAGTGAATTCAATGCAAATATTTCAATGTAAACAGTTTAAAATTTTAAAAATTACCGAACTTTTGAGATTTGAATTTTATCCTGATTATTTTTATAGAATTTTCCCTGCAAATATGGAAAGTAAACAAAAGAATCAGTAACACAAAATACTTTAATAAACCTTTATTAAACGACAGCTAGACATAATAACAATATATAATGCAAGTCACAACAAACAGCTCGCAAGAAATGTAAACAATACAAGCATGCTGAGAAAGTCATTTCAGTTTTCTGCTATTTATTTTCGTAATTACGGAAGAAGTTCATTTATACGTGCAAAATCAGAGACATTAGATAAGGTACTTGTAGATAAACCAAATAAGATAAAATGGGACACAATAAGGAATGAGATACAACTGAATGAGAAGACAGTAAATGAATTTAATATTGACTCGCTGATTCTATCAAAATGTTTCAATGGAGCACAGCTGGATGTTGCTTTATCCTATATAAATTTCCTTCAGTCAAAGTCATTGGAAATAAATGATGCATCGGTGAGCAAATTAATTAGACTCTATTACAAGCATTTCACTGCTAAACGAGAAGAATTCACAAAAAGTCAGGAAGACGAAATTCTCAAATGGTGCAAAATAATAATTGACAGGCATGAGACCCTCGATGCATCTACAGCTGAAAATATCGTGCATGGCCTGTCATTAACACATCGTTGGAAAGATGCATTCAAATATTTTGATCATATAAAAATGTCTGGGAAGGAACTGTCTGATTCGGTCTATAGCTGCATATTATCAAAAGCCATTGAAAATGATTCCTACAGTATAATTTGGGACCTACTTAATGAGATGTCTGAAAATCAAGTCGTACCAAGAAGCTATGTGTTTATTCAATGGTTTAACAAGCATATTAATGATGAGGATAAAGTCAATGAAATGCTTGAGTACATCAGTGACAATCACATTCTTCTTCCTGAAATAGACATACAGAACTTTTCAGATGCTCTTAAACCGAAATACACATGCTCATTTGTATCCATCAATCGAAATGGACGATGTCCATCATGTTTACAGAAACTTCCAGGAGTAAAACTATTAGAAACAGAATTTAATAAAATAGCAGCTCAGTTCCTTGAAGACATTTTCATCCGTAATGATGTGTGGCTGAAAACTAATCCCAGTGAAATAAAGCGATTCAAGGAATTTATAGACAAGACAAAACCTTACGATTCAGTCATAGATGGCCTTAATGTAGCATATTCACAAGGCGACAAACTATCACCAAAAGTTTATTCAAAAATTCTAGCTCAAGTTGTCAAGTACTTTGTGGATAAGAAAGAGAAATGCTTAGTTATTGGAAGAAAGCATATGAAATTCTGGCCAAAAAAGGAGATGAGCTATGTTAGAGAGAACTCCATGCTGTTCCTGACTGAAGATTTGTAAGTGTTTGATTTTTAATCTTTGGGATTTAATTTTAATCCAAAGCTGATGCTAAATCCTTCAATTTCCTCTAAATTCATAGATCCAACGACGATCTCTTCCTGCTGTATGCAGCCCTAAAAAGTGGACCGAAGACAAACATATTCTCAAGAGACTTAATGCGTCAACATTCACATCTTTTAAGTCCAAAAATGAAGAAAGTCTTTAGGAGATGGCAGCAAGAGCATCAGTATCATTTAATTACAGCACAACAGAAAGTCATTGTAAGGGAACCAATAACATTTGAGCTACGAGCACATCGAGTGAATTCTATATGGCATTTACCATTTACAAATGAGAATATTAAAAATACTGTAGATACTTTCATTTTACCGGCGTGCTGGCTATGCCTTAAGCGTACATAAAAGCAGTTTAATTGTAATGTAGAATAAAGAAATTGAATTAAAATGTACTATTTAATCTTAAAATTGTTTAACATAAATCGACATAAAGTTCAAGGATGATGTTATTGGCAAAATCTCCGCTTCTGCTTCATGCTCTATGCTGTCTTTTATCCACAAGAAATCCTACAAGATGAACAAATTTTAATAAAAATTGCAATGTCATGGATGTTAAAGTGACTTACTTGATACTTTGACTCATTGCTGAGATGACGATAGGCTTTTTCCTTTGTATGCAACAATATTTTGAACTTATATGATCGTGAAAATTTCCTTAAAGCTTTACATTTCGTCTCCAGTTCATAAATCGACTTTCTAAAGTCTTCGTGGATTGACATCAAGTATTTATCACTGTCTGATATTTTAAAGTCTTTCAGCTTGTCGATCATAAAGGATTCTTTGTGATTTTCATTATATATAAGGACTTCCACCGTCTCTAAATCACCTTTGTTGATAAGTTCCTCGATTGCTTTTATTGATTCCTTTAAATACTCATTTAATGGTGGATATATTGAGCAATACACAGGTAATCCATATGCTTTATGCTTCCTAAAGATTTGTCGTGGATAGATGGACCTCAGATATAGTATTTGAGTGATGTAAATCTCAATAAACTCTGTTAATATGCTTATTTGTGACATTTTTCGTTATGATTTTTTTAATATTTTGAATTATTTCGTTAAATTCTTTCGTCAAGAGTCACGTGTTCAGAACATTCTTAACGGTTATAATTCAAATTTTTAATCTTTTTGAATTCCTTAATTACAGCACAACACAATAATAACGATTCTCGCAGTTACAAAACACATCTCATTGAATTTAACATTTTCAAATTAGTTAAACACCAACACAAAAGCTGAAATTACTTAATTTAGTATATCATGCCTTAATCTACACATTTTCATCCCAAGACCAAATAATAATTATCATAATAAAGACTTTTCAGGCGTGGTGCTAAAAGACATTATTTCACATTTGCAAACCTTTTATTTTTGCTATTGTATCAACAAATTTATGACTGCTGTCTATCTGCGAGGATAAATGAGAGAAACATTAGGTCATTAATTCAAAGAAATTATGATAATCGAAATTAAAGTGTTGGAAAATGTAAAATAGGTACCTTCAAAGTGGTAATGTCGATAAAGTTTGGGATTCGAGTTTTAACAGTTTTTTAAAAATTTGAATTTTATGTTAAGAAATCTGAAATCTATCTCATTGAATTTTCAGCTATTTACCGAGTAATTCTTGACTTTTATTGATGCAACATATCACGCAATTCATTAGGTATGTATTGAGCTACACTATGCTTAATACTGAGTGATATCAAATAAGTTGTTCATGGTTCTTTAATTTCAGAAATTTTTCATTGTTTGTAAACAAATTTTGAAATCTCAAAAACTGTTTAATTTTTTAATAAAATTATTCATCATGAATACTGACTATTTTGTCCAGAAATGCCAAATTTTTGCAAATAGTAAACAGTTCTCTGAATATCAAGTCATGACTTCATCAACAATAAGTGCGAATTCACGATCATGCCATACTACACATAATATGCTTCCACATAGCATGAATACATGAAATGAATATAAAAAGATATTATTTTACAATTCAATATTAAATGCCATTGACCAGACTAGCACTTTGTCCCTCACCATAACCTTTTGCATGGATATTAAAATATGAGCAAAATAATAAATATGACGTGGTTCTCAGACTCGTTACATATAACCTTGACTTAATAAATCATAATAACAATAAAAAATAATATTTTCATTTCTTTCCTTCACGTGTGTTTACATCTGCTGCCTGCTTTTTTACCTTCTCTGCTGTTTTTACCACACTCATTGACTGTGATCTGATGTCAATATATTTTGGTATTGCTTGTAAAATTTTTAATGTGGGATGCTGATGAATTCTGTCAATGACTTTACGACTATGACTTTCCCATTCTTAATCGAATTTACTACCTAATAAAGTTAATTAATTTATCATTTTTTACTTCTCTCGTGATGCCAGAGGTTTCAATTGTTTACAGTCTGATAATCAACTCTAGAATCCCACCCCATTATTAAAATCATCAAAGACCTTGAAAAGGTTGTGATTAACAATTTGAACTTCTTTTTTCTGCCTCATATTAAGTTCCTCATTAGTAATTTTGACCAAAACTATTAAGTCAAGATCAAAATAAGTACTTTCCAATGAATAAGGAAGGAGTGCTTGACCCTCCATAATCCAAAAATTCAACCCTACTCAGCATGATTTCGACCTTGACTAATTTGTTCTTCAAGCACGCAACTCTAAAACTTCCTAGAACACTCCAAGAAGTGTGAAAAATAACCCTGCAGAATCTCTGTCTCAACATGCAATGTGTGGGGCTCAATATTTATGCAGCATAAGCACTAAAAAATTACAAATTACTTATTCACAGATTATTATATTTAAATAAATAAATTAACTTTTTATATTCTTCTCATTCGCTATAGTTGCTCCTATTGTCTACGTAATATAAAAATCAATTCATTATTTACATGCAAAATGCTCATGTATGTACGGACGGCGTTGTGATAATTTCAACGAAAAAAAAAAGACAAGAAAGAAGAAATGAGAGAAATATGGACAAGGACAAATGAAAAGTGTAACAACAAGAAAAAATGCTTTAAATGCAATAAATATAAAATGAAATGAAAATAAAAGCTATATGCTTGACATAACTTTCAATATACTAACAAAGAGGCTTTCTTTACGCAATTCTTTGTGCATGCCTTTTGTTTCTTCTTTTTAAAATCAACGAGATGAAAATATAAAATTAATAAGTGCTTAAAATGACATGTCGTGGCACCTAGGAATGTTTTTTGAAAACCAAATTTGGCATTAATTAATTATTGCAAGATAATCTGTTTAACGGATTTTCATCGGTCAAATTTATTTTTTTTTGAAATTTAAAAACTGAAAATTTTGAATTTTTTATTACTGTTAAAAATTGAACTGTAATTTATTTTGAGGCTTAAAAGTTTATATTCTCACCGCTTTACACATTATTCACAGCACAGACAAATTGATGACATTATTAAAGAATTTATGATGTCCACAACACAATGAAAATGCGATAAAAAGGCATCCACAAGATCGTGGAAGTGATGAAAGGAAAGAGGTAGTTACGACTGCATTCATAAATAGATCATTTATATTAATTTCATATGGCCTATACCCGAGAGCAACATAATATTGTGAAACAGCTTTAAGGACACATTCTTGATGCACTTTAATGCCATCATTATTGTTGCTTAATTGTCTTATTTTCTGTAAACAGAACACGCATGTCGAATTATTTAAGGATTAATTTGTTATTTTTTAATGGGTTCCTGTCATGTCGCACAGTTGACCTGTGCAAGTTCTTGTCATGGTATAAAAAGAGACTTTTTAATCAGAAATGCTTGAATAATTTATGAGATGAAAGAATTGGCTTGTTTCTCGCTGTGTTATGAAACCGATGGCTCAGTTCTGCATAAAATATGAAGTTCAACCTTTGATCTATGAATTGTAAATAGTCGAACAGCAATTGAGTTCTTAAATTCCCGGAAAGGTCTATTAACTTAAAATTTGTTGCAATTTATCTCTGACTTGATCAAAAATTGTACAAATTGCAACATTTTAATTCATCCACAGCACGCTCAAGATTTCTGCAAACATTAATTCATAATCCACAGATAAATCCATCAAAGTCAATTAGCAACTCCTGTAAGATTAAGTAACAATTCATAAATCAAGCAATCGAACCAAAAAAACCCATTATCGCATGTAATATCCTTTCACAGCACTAACATTTGGCAACATGTGTGTACATACATACTGCTGAACTTGTTGCATTCATTTTAATTTCGTGAACATGCAGATTTCATTAAAAATTCACAAAACAAGATTTGAAATGTTTGGCCCTAAGAAGAAATCATTGACTGTCTGATTTTGGAGTTGAGTGAGAGTAAATGAACAAAAAAAAATCAATTTAGATATATTAAGCAGATAACTTCATCTACAGCTACTGCAAAAAGATTTATCGATGTGATTATTCGCAATGTAACAGCGCATTTTTTTGTAAAAAATTCAATTTAATGTTCCTTAAAAGTTTTAAAATCAAGTTTTGAAAAACCTTTAATCATAATTAGCCAGACCAAGCAAAAATGCCAATCTCTTCTATCTGAAAAAGCAGCTAAAAAGTTAATAGAAAAATTGTCATCTTATTGCCAATCGTGATCATTCAACTTGATTTATTTTAATTTTCGCAAAACTAATTTACTATTTCAATGAAACATAAACTCAGATTTTTCAAGATCTCATTAATGAATGAATGAACGAGTGTGTCAATTAATCCATTGAATCAACCATAAAAGCAGCTAAACAGTCAGTTATAGAGAAATAAAACAATCAACCGAAATCTTCTTATAGCCAATTTTTTTTGCAAGCTAATTATACAGTTGTTAAATAATAGCATGACTGTGATTTAAATAAAATCAAAAAAATTAGACATAAAAGGCTGGATGTCAAAAAATTATGATTTAAAATAAGGCAAAGCGAAAATGAGAAATGGAACTATAACCTTTTCAAAATATGTTGTCCAAGTTCATTTTTAATTGTGTCATAATCTCCAATGTGGGTTGATTTAATTAAGCATGCTCTTAATTAATGACTTTTTAAGACTCTTTTGAGATTTGGAAGCAGATTTACAGTACCGTTCAAAACTGTTTCCATGTTTCATGAAAATTTTTCTTTCCAACATATTTCTTATAAAACGTAATATTTTCCCAACATGTTATATATCGTTTTAAAGCTTGTTTAATAAGCTATTTAAAAATGATAAGCAACTTTGCAAAATATTTAATTAAAGTAGATTTTTTGCTTAAAATATACACTGTCACATGGAAACACTTTTGAGCTCATAATTGTTTTTCCAAATTTTGATGCATAGCAGAACTAATTGATTAAAATTTGTTTATTATAGTAAAAAGCAAGTAAAATATTAGATAAAAGCACATAAATTAAGTTGCTAGACATAGTTAAAATATTTAAATAAGAATGTCAAATCACATGATAAATTTTCATATAATTTTGCAAAAAATTACTGAATTAAAGCCAAATGTTGTGACGTTTGCATCCATACAAATGTATTTTAGCTTATTAAATCTGAAAAACAGTTTTTAATTGTAAATAGATTCAATTGAATGCAAAAAAATTGATAAGATTTCATGGAAACACTTAAATTTTCTTACTTGCAAACACAAACATTCAAAATTTTTTATTCCTTCCTCCACTTCAAAGAACTTTAATCGCTTTTTCTGATAGATTTATGTTAAAAAAGATAATCATATATGATTTATGTAGTCATTGTGAGAGTAAAAGGATGTTTTTTACAATTTTGTTGGTCAATGACAGCCATATTCAAAATTTTTTATAAGCATTTACAAAAATTCAATTTTTTTACGTAAATATCGACTTAAGACAACACAAAATGATTAAAATAATTAAAATATCCAATTCATAATAATAAATTATCATATTTGACTATCAAAATTTAAGCAAAAAATCTACTTTAATTAAATATTTTCCAAAGTTGCTTATCATTTTTAAATAGCTTATTAAACAAGCTTTAAAACGATATATAACATGTTGGGAAAATATTACGTTTTATAAGAAATATGTTGGAAAGAAAAATTTTCATGAAACATGGAAACAGTTTTGAACGGTACTGTACATAAGTGTGAAATCGTTGGTGTTCTATTTTGACAACTCTCTTAGTTAAATCAACTCGATAATTCAAGGAATGTCAAGCTACATTAGACTATTGTGAGCTGAGAATGATAATTTCAAGTACGTTCAAATGATTTTCAGATCTATTCGGAAAATACATCTATTGTGATGAATTCTATTTCCCAACTCATCTGAAACTTCATACTTAAATTCAAATTATAGCTCTAAAGTCAACTTGGAACCTGAACATCATTTGATTTTTTGGTTTAATTCAGTTAAGAATTTCAAATAAAATCAATTCAAGAAGATTTATTTATACCCAATCAATGAATTCAATCTCTCATCGCTAAAGATTAGCAATGATCTTAAGTTCTAAGTTTAAAAAATCCTCGAACTATTTCTTCGATCAACTTAAGATAATATAAAAACTTAAGGAAACTCTAATTTGCAACAATATCAATCTTTTGAAATTTAACTCAGCTTATATTTGTAACAACTCAATTTGCATTTGATGGAAATACTTCGTTAGCAAAATTAACACGAATTCATAAATGTTATTGTTTGTGAACTTTGTTTTAGATCCGTATTGTTATTTTGAGTAACCAAAATATTGATATTCATTTTTGAACATTGGTTTCTCTTGAATCTTTTCAAAATAGAAGTTTTCAATAGTTTCCTGATTCAACTTGTATCCAGTAAACCTAGGAGGGGAAACATTTGATTCAGTTTAAACTTTAAATGACAACATCAATAGCTATGGTTTTAAATATTCATTGTATTTTCATTTCATTTTCTTCTCAATAAATAAATACTAATTTGACAGTCTAGCATTTCTTAACATTCACAATGAGTGAATCAAACAACCAAACAAAAGAATCTTGATGGATAGGTGTAAGATGATGATGATGATGATTTTTGGATTATATACAGTTTTCAAAATGATCCTTAATATCACTTTTTCAGCACTTGATGCACTCATGATGATTTAAACTCGAAGAAAGTTTCTTAATGATGATAGTAAGCTGGGGCAGCGTGGACAACTGGAGCATGATGAGCAATGACTGGAGCTGAGTGGACAGTCTTTACGAGTGCTGGTTGGACAGTCTTGACGATTGTTGGTTGAGCAACAACTGTTTTGTGACCAAGTGGTTCTCTTTGGACTTGAGCGTTGAATCCATGGACTGGATCAGCTGTGTAGTGAACTGTACGCTTGAAACCGTCTGAATCAACAAGTGAGTAGTGTCCTTCAACAACATCTCCGTTTCTTGTTTCGTGTTGAGACTTGCTATCTCCGGTCAAACTGTCTTGAACATCATAAGCGAATGAGTATTGTGGATTGTGGTCGTAGTCTTCAGCAACTTTGTGAACGACTGGTTGAGCGACCTTTGTGATGACTTGTGGGGCAACATATGCTTGTTTGATATAAGCTGGTTGAGCTACGACTGCAGGGGCAACGGTTTTAACAACTAATTCATATATTTTATCATTAATAAATCATCACGAATCCTTTTGAAAATATTTAAATGATCTAGGGATATGACAATTTACTTACCTGGAGAAACATGATGGACAGCTGGGGCAGCATGTGAGTATGTTGTGTAAGCTGGTTGGTGTACAACTGGAGCTGCATGTGAGTAAGTATAAGCTGGTTGGTCATAGACAACTCCGCAGCTTGCGACGGCAACGAGAGCAAAGAATGAGAAGAACTAGAAATAAAAGATTTATTTGGGTAAGGAAGATCAATAAAATTCTAAATATGAGTAGAACTTACTTTGAATGCCATTTTGTATGATATTGCTTGATCAATGTAATGCACTGAACTGACTTATAATCAAACATTACAGTTCGTTTTATAGTCAAAGGACTCGCGTCTCAAATGCATTGTGCGAATGCCTCCCTCCAGTATTTTTTTCCAAACCGAACATTTTTCTCAATGCGAATCTATAGCAGCAGCAATCATTAAAACATACCATTGAAATCGAAATAGCTCCAGCATAAAAGAGATGAAAATAAGAAGAAGCACGAAAAATAATACAAAAAGCTTTTTTTCTCTTCAAGCCGGGTCGCCCTACCTGCAATATGTTGTGTATACTATTTCTCTCACGATCACGCTCAACAGGTTCTGCTGCTGACTGATTGTCTACTTAATGTTGTTGCTTCGTTAAAAGAACAATTGTTTGCATTGAGACAACTTTTCTTTATCATTTTTTATTTACATTGAATCGGGTACAACATCGCGTACGGTGAGAAAGAGGAAGGAAAGGCATAAAAGTCAAGAGAAAAATGCCCGACGAGAATTAAAAGATTCTATGAACCATGCTTCCTGGAATTTCTTCTATGTTTCACTTTCATTACTATTTTAATTAATTTTAGTCGTGTACCTAGACATTGCTCATCATGCTCAATTAAAAATGTTTTTTTTTTTTATTTGTGGGAATTTAATTATTCATTAGTCATCAATCAACGCGTCGTTTCTTCCTCATTTGAAGGTTTTTCTCTTCACACACACGTTTGGCTTGGAATTTTGATATTTGCAGACCACGCATGTGATAATATTTATTACATTTTGCATTCAAATTATTACAGGTTTTGTGCCATTTCATTCGAACTCATTCATGCAATTGTAGTGCAAACGTGAATTGAATATTCAACTGACTGACCAAAACTGCCTGAAAGTGTCATAAGAGACATTTCGTTGACGAAAATGAAAATTATTTAATAAAATAAATGTATAACATTGACATATTATTGTTATTGCTTTCGCTCTGTTTTAAAAAATTTTAGTTTTATTTTAATTTAATTTAAAAGGAATCATGAACTGGGTATTGGGTTATGACATTTTGTTTTACATGATGTTTATTAAATGTTGAACTAGTTTAATGATAAGAGCGGTGTGAGAGGTAATGAGAGGTAAGCATAATGTGTTTAATATTTGTAAACTTAATCATAGTCATAATGACTAGTAAGTGCTAAAATCAATATATTGATTATAAACATTTTTTTATAAACTTTCAATTTTTAAGTAAGTGTGGACAACAATGTTGGTAATTCATATACTTAAAGATTGTAACAATGATTTTTAAAATCAAGTGATGATAATGACGAACTTAATTGATTCAGGGACGGCTTCTTACTTTCAGATAATGATGCAAGATTCTAGGTTATTAAACAACGAAGAAAATTGGTCTCTTCATCCAATTCTTTCCTTGTCTCACAATCTTATAAATAAACCCCTAAAACACAAACTTAACTATATTATAATCAATAGGAAGAAAATAAGCACATAAAACTGACCTTACTTTATTTAATTTGACAGTCTGCATATTTGGCTACAAAGGTCAGATCAAATAAGGGTTTAAAGATACGTTTTGCAAAATATTTTAAGGGGCCGTTCACTTATTACGTTCGCATTTTGGGGGGGAAGGAGGTTTGAAAAATTGTAACAAAATGTAACATCGGGGGGGGGGGGGGATGTCAAGAAGTATGTAACGTTCTAACTGTCGTCTGTCTTTTAAAAAAAGTTCACGAAAAAAATTTACAGCATTTACAGCCGCTAACCCACAACTTTCAAAGCAGAATGTTCAAAATAATTGCAATTTGTTTTGGAACTACCTATAAAAAATTATCAAAATAAAATAAATTATGAACGTTCAAGGGGGGGGGGGGGGGTTGTGAGTTGTAACATAACTTGTAACAAGGGGGGAGGGGTGTGAACCAAGTCGTTTTTTTGCGTAACGTAATAAGTGAACGGCCCCTAAGAGAAATATTGAGACAAAAATTTTTATTAATATATTTATTCAATCTTTTAATTTGGATATTCAAAACCGATTTAACTTTTTATGTGATAGAAATCGTTCATGTCATAAATTCAAAATCCAGTAAATATTATCTATGAATGATTTGCCCATGTCAGAATAAATTCTCTAATGAAATTTGAAATAGCTTTTCGCGCCATTTAAGGAAGGTCAAAGATCACAATTGATCTGTTGTGTTAACAGTAAAAGTAAGCAACTAAGTAAAGACTCTAATAGTTTGTTTTTAATAATAGAGAATCTCATTCAAGACCAAAAAGAAGTAAATGATCATAAATATTAAGTAAATGATAAACCTATAAACCACAATCAATAGTCGCTGAGTTCGTAGCTTATCCAAAAATCTCAAAACAAGCCTTCCAATAAAAGAAAAGTTAATTGAGCTATTATTGCTTAATTATTTTTTATGACATGTCATGAGACGATCATAAAAAACCAATTAACACTCATGTTCGAAATTTGCAATAAAAAAAGTAAACCTAAAATTTAACAATTGTTACGAGTTTATTAAAGCCTGTGCCAAATAATAGTCTTAAACTCCATACATAAAAAAAAATCTGCAAAAAATAATGAGATGGAAGTTCAATGTTAAATGTTTGCAATGAATCATAATTGTAAGGCGCTTTTAAAGTAAGGGAGGACTAAAATTATGCTATGTAATGAAATCGTTAAACTAATCATTCACATTTTGACTTTTTTTCATACCTTTTAATTTATCTGTGAACGGAGGTGCAACTGATTGTGAATGTTGATTTGCTGTAGGTTTTCAGCACTATGCAATTTACTCTTTACTCTTTGACGAGAATTAAAATGACAGATATATGATAATCGCTATGATTTTTATCGATGGAAGGATTTTACAATCGCAAAAGACCTGAAGACATGAACAAGGAACGATCGTAAACAAATTGCATTCATGCACATTCTCATAAAATCAACATATTTATTTTGCATGCACATTCGCAAGATTTAAATGACTTAATAATGCATAATGAAGTAATTTTCATCTCGTATATCTTTTGCCCAAAATTCGCTTACTAGTAACAAGGTCAATGATGCAATGAATGAATGAACAAAATATAAAATGATATGACAGCACTTCAGCAATGTTAAATTGAATGTAAAAAAGCTATGAACCTTTAGGGGGGGTCATGAATATCTCTCATAGAAATCAATTTATTATAGTAAACACCGATCAACATAATTTGGAATAAAGCCATTATTCGGACACGTATCTGACTTATACTTTATACCGAGGTACTTCAAATTACAATCAAACCGATGTTGACAATGTTCAAGTACGATACAGCACCATGATCGCAGCAATTTTGTTGATCGGGATCATCAGCATGTCTATTTGTCTAATAAAATGATATATTCATGAATTTATAAAGGTACCATTCAAAAATTACGTCTATAGGAATTTGAGACCTTTAAATACAATTTTTCGTACCAATTTTAATTGAATGAATTGTTGAACTCCTCTAAATACGAACTTAGACATCATTTACAAATGACCCCAAAAGCTATAATTCGCACCAGTAAATCAATTCCATTATACGTCATTTATATCTCTCAACTCGATCGATCAATCAACTTTTCTTCAAATCACATACAGTTACCTGGATATTTACCTACCTCAGTTACTTATTTTCGGCAACACTCAACCTTGAATTTCTTTTTCGCGACCGACCCACCACATGACATCGCATGAAAGAGAGTGCGAAAAACCGCATTGATCTTTTTTTTTTGTTTTTAATTTCGTGAACCGGACAATATTACGTAATAATAATCACAATGGTTTATTGACTGAACCAGTTTTTGCAGCAATGGGGTTTAATTGGGATTGTAGAATGCACTGAAATATTTTTCTTAAGCTTCAATAAGCAGGAATGAGTGTCAGAGGTAACATTCTGTCAATCAGCAGACCAATATTGTACTGCAGGATTTGCAAAGTTCCAATTTATGCTGACTCAGGCATAAAACTATAGATTTGAGTTGCAGGAGCTTGTCTGAACGTTTCCGTATAGAATTGAGTATGGTTTCTAAGCATAAACATTTTCAATCAATATCATAACCGCCTTACCTTATAAATCATTAATTATCCAATGTCTAGGCTATGTCTAGTCAAAATTCCCAAATGTGGTTTGGAATATTCAAGGCACTGCTCGAATGTTTAACATTTCTCCAAAAAAATATCCATTGCATAAAATTTTACTCGTAGACAAACGTTCAAATTCATTTCTCTACCAAAGGTATGCAAACCCAATGCATAGTAAAGTGGAAAACATTGGAAAATATCTGGGGGGAGATGTTTGGATGATGCATCAGTGACACGAGTCCTTTTACTATAAAACGATCAGCATTATTTGATTTGAATTCAGTTCAGTCTTAACATTGATCAAACAATATCATAAAAATGGCATTCAAAGTAAGTCTTAGTTAATTTGGAAAGCCATTAAATTGTGAAGTTCAAAAAATAATTGGAATAAAAAATAAAAGATTTTAAAAAATGAAAAAAAAAAATTAAAGTGAATAATAATCATGTGAAGTTAATAAAAAATATTTATTCGAATTTTCCAGTTCATCTCACTCTTCGCCTTCCTTGCCGTCGCAAGCTGCGGTGTTGTATATGAACAACCAGCTTATACATACTCACATGGTGCTCCAGTCGTTCACCAACCAGCCTATACAACATACTCACATGCTGCTCCAGTTGTTCAACAACCAGCTTACACAACATACTCACATGCTGCCCCAGCTGTCCATCATGTTTCTCCAGGTAAGTAAATTGTCATATCCCTAGATCATTTAAATATTTTCAAAAGGATTCGTGATGATTTATTAATGATAAAATATATGAATTAGTTGTTAAAACCGTTGCCCCTGCAGTCGTAGCTCAACCAGCTTATATCAAGCAAGCATATGTTGCCCCACAAGTCATCACAAAGATCGCTCAACCAGTCGTTCACAAAGTTGCTGAAGACTACGACCACAATCCACAATACTCTTTCGCTTATGATGTCCAAGACAGTTTGACCGGAGATAGCAAGTCACAACACGAAACAAGAAACGGAGATGTTGTTGAAGGACACTACTCACTCGTTGATGCTGATGGCTACAAACGTACAGTTCACTACACAGCTGATCCAGTCCATGGATTCAACGCTCAAGTCCAAAGAGAACCACTCACCCACAAAACAATTGTTGCTCAACCAACAATCGTCAAAACTATCCAACCAGCACTCGTCAAGACTGTCCACTCAGCTCCAGCTTACTACCATCATTAAGAATATCAAGCTTTATACTTAATACCTGAACCATGATAGAATTAAATGCTGAGTAGTAATATTAAGAATAGGAAACTGTGATTTTTAAATTCAGCTTTTGGTTTCATTCATTGTGAATGTTAAGACTCCCAAATGTGTTTTTTTATTTATTAAGAACAAAATAAATGAAAGAAAAAATTTGAAATTAAAAGATCAACTTTTCTTACTTCTAATGTTAACATCTAAATTACAGCTAATCTAGCAAAATTAATGATTCTTAAAATCGATAGCAATTTCTAGCAGAAGACTAGTCGCAATTTCAATAACATATAAAAGGTAACAAAGTCAGTTATAAAAGACAAATTGTGTTTTACAATATATTTCAACGATTTTTTCGCCAATCTTAATAAACTGATTTTAATTTTCAAACTCAACTTGAAAATTTTTATGAATGATTTCCATCAATTCTAAAGCTATTTAAAAACAATTTAATAATAATTCAATACCTACAAGAGTAGATTTTCATTTGTGGAAATCAAGGATGCAGAAAAGAACAAAAAGATTTTTTGTCAATTTTGATAATCTTTGATTTGCTTAAAAAAATATACTTTCATAAAATTGAATTAACTTGATCATTTAAAATTCTGTAAAATCTTTTAAAATACACATCGACTTCTAGCTTTCATTTAAGAAAAAACCAACTTCATGTTTAAAAATTAAAAATAAATTTTTTGGAAGTAAAAGTAAATTTGGTCAAATTTTGGAAATTTAAATTGAATCGCAGACAATTGTTATGGATTAGAACTGATTAATTTTGTTCAATTTTTTAACTTTTTTGTCAACTTATCTTGGTAAGTTTATTTGATTTCTGATCTATTTGAGAAACTATAAAATTTTTTGGTCAATTAAACTGTAAGATTTGAATTAAATTTACAAAAATATTCTAGAATTTGTTTTAAGCTACAATATTCTCTAGTAATTTCTTTTCAATGTCAATGCTCCATTTTCGAATCAAAACTTGTTGTTGTAGATATCAATCATAAGCAATGACCATTTATTCCTCTTAAAAATTTTCAATGTCTAGGTCAAACTTAATATGTAAACAGGAATCAAAATTTGCTCAAAAAAGTTATTTCAGTAAATAAGCAGACATAATATTTTCAGGCTATATGCTTGTGGATAGAAAAAGTATGTAAAGAGATACAAAAACAAAACAATGAAACGAAAGAGTAAAAAATGGAGGGAGTTGTTTACGCTTATTATTTTCTCTTTGGGTCCTTTTGGTATAAAATGATCTGCAGCGAATGATTACAAGTCAGTTCAGTGCATTACATTGATCAAACAACATTACTAAAAATGGCATTCAAAGTAAGTTTTCTATAACTTAAAAATAATTTTCGAGCCTTAATTTTATGACACAATTTATTTCCCTTTTGCAGTTCTTCTCATTCTTTGCCCTTCTCGCCGTTGCCAACTGTGGAGTAGTTCCAGTAGCTTATGAACAACCAGCTTACACAACATACTCTCATGCTGCCCCAGTTGTTCATCATGCCCCAATTGTTCATGCTCCAGGTAAGTAAATTGTCACTTCCCTAGATCATTTAAACATTTTCAAAAGGATTCGTGATGATTTATTAATGATAAAATATATGAATTAGTTGTTAAAACCGTTGCCCCTACAGTCGTAGCTCAACCAGCTTATATCAAACAAGCATATGTTGCCCCACAAGTCATCACAAAGATCGCTCAACCAGTCGTTCACAAAGTTGCTGAAGACTACGACCACAATCCACAATACTCATTCGCTTATGATGTCCAAGACAGTTTGACCGGAGATAGCAAGTCACAACACGAATCAAGAAACGGAGATGTTGTTGAAGGACACTACTCACTCGTTGACTCAGACGGATTCAAGCGTACAGTTCACTACAAAGCTGACCCAGTCAATGGATTCAACGCTCAAGTCGAAAGAGAACCACTTGCTCACAAAACAGTTGTTGCTCAACCAACCATCGTCAAGACTGTACAACCAGCACTCGTCAAGACTGTTCACTCAGCTCCAGTCATTGCCCACCACGCTCCAGTCGTCCATGCTGCTCCAGCTTACTACCACCACTAAGAGTCCTAACCTGAGTTCGATTCACCACGAATAATTCCAATGCTCAAAAGTGATACACAGAATCCTTTACAACTTGTACATATCCATTTTAAATTCGAGATTCTTGTGATTCGGTAATTTAGTTTATTGGTGGTGAATGTTAAGAATGCTAGAATATCAAAAAGTTTTTATTTTTTGAGAAGAAAATAAATGAAAAAAATTAAATCACTTAAATCAAATGAATTTTAATTTTGAAACTTCCAACAGCTCTTTAAATATAACAAAATAAAATCTATTGTTTGTTTTCTTTAAAGTTTCTAATCAACTTTTCGCAACAAATACAAATTTTTCTATTAATTTTTCCAGTTCTTAAATCTAAGTTACAAAAACAAAAAATTTCAAGCTTAGATTTAAATTTTTGTGGATTAAGGTGACGTTAAATCATCCGAAAAATCTCGAAAAAACTGGAAAAAACTTTCGAATAATCCCTTCTGTGACGCAAAATTAAAATTAAAAGAGTAATTAATTTATTCTGTGATTAATATTGTTAAAATTTAATTTTAATCATTTTTAACCTTTCTCTTTAAGAAAAAACCTTTACCTATTCAGATCAATAGTGATCCAGAGGTGCGCTAGGGCGTTTCGCAGCTAATGGAGGTTTAACGAGTGAGGATGCGCCAAACCACTGCACCTTTCTCTTTATCACATTTAAATGTTAAATAGTTAATTTTTCAACATAAAGCAGGATCTTTTATTTTTATGATCCTTCAAGAGGGATACTCTTGATGACTTGTACATTTACTCGTAGTTCTTATTGTTCTAGCTTCTTTTTCAATCTCAAATTGTAGACAAAAACCTTTATTATGTTTTTTTTTTTAAAAAAAAAACTGCAGTCATGACTCATGAGTGCAGGAAAAAATTTTTGAGTACGAAACAATTCACTCATTACGTTCGGAAACATTTTTTAAAAATTAAAAGAATTCTTAAAAAAAATCTATTGTTAAATCTCCTTAACCCTTGAACGGAAAAATGAAAGAAAAATGATAAAAAGCTTTTATCCCAAACAATTTTAATCGGGGTAATTGAGCAAATTGTTGAATTCAGTTTTTTCCTCTCCACAAAAATGAGAGTTTTTACGTATCTCTTTTTGTACCATTGAAAAAAGGTTTTGGAGGGAGTTGCTTAGAAATAGCTTTCTTAGTGATTTCGCTCTTACTCCTTATACTATATAATAATATGCAATTTTTGAATAAAAATCAGTTCAGTTCAATTCATTGATCAAACAACATTACAAAAAATGGCATTTAAAGTAAGAGTTTGATAATTTATTGTGAATATTAGAGCCAATATTAAATTTTCAACATTTCTAGTTCTTCTCATTCTTTGCCCTCGTTGCCGTCGCAAGCTGCGGAGTTGTCTATGACCAACCAGCTTATACTTACTCACATGCAGCTCCAGTTGTACACCAACCAGCTTATACAACATACTCACATGCTGCCCCAGCTGTCCATCATGTTTCTCCAGGTAAGTAAATTGTCATATCCCTAGATCATTTAAATATTTTCAAAAGGATTCTTGATGATTTTATTAATGATAAAATATATGAATTAGTTGTTAAAACCGTTGCCTCTGCAGTCGTAGCTCAACCAGCTTATATCAAGCAAGCATATGTTGCCCCACAAGTCATCACAAAGATCGCTCAACCAGTCGTTCACAAAGTTACTGAAGACTACGACCACAATCCACAATACTCTTTCGCTTATGATGTCCAAGACAGTTTGACCGGAGATAGCAAGTCACAACACGAATCAAGAAACGGAGATGTTGTTGAAGGACACTACTCACTCGTTGATGCTGATGGTTTCAAGCGTACAGTTCACTACAAAGCTGATCCAATCAATGGATTCAATGCTCAAGTCGAAAGAGAACCACTCACCCACAAAACAGTTGTTGCTCAACCAACAATCGTCAAAACTATCCAACCAGCACTCGTCAAGACTGTCCACTCAGCTCCAGCTTACTACCATCATTAAGAAACTTTCTTCGAATTCAAACCATCATTAGTGATTATATTCAAAAAGTGATATGAAAGCTCAAAATTATAAGTTTTCAATTTAACATTTAATTTCATTCATAATGAATGCTAAAATTGTTAAACTTTCAAAAGAAATAAATCAAAGCTAAAGAATGCAAAATTTAAACACAACTGACTTATTTATTTTTATTTAGAAATAGCTCATTAAGTCATGTATCACAATAGATCCTGACACAGATGCAGTTCCATAAACAATAATAGATCTATCGGCCTATTTCACTAAAGTAGATTTTCCTCGATTTCGGATTATCCACTTCAGTTTTTTGTAAATATCTTAAACTTTATTAGAGGTGTGGTATTTCTAATTTTGGATTATAATAGAGTGAAATATGCCTGAAATTTCTGTATACTTTAAACTTTTGCTTTTCGTTAAGAAGTATTAATTATTCAGTTTTGTAGCCAAATCTAGTAGATTAACTTCGATTTTTTCTATAATTCTCAAACTAATGAAGATATAAAAATTCTAAGCATATGTTAATTTAAGTAGCAAAGGACTCTAACTTGATCACACATTAGATCTCTTAATAACCTTAAGCGTCTGGAGATATATCCAAAAAACCGAAGTGGATAATCCGAAATCTAGGATAATCCACTTTAGTGAAACATGCCGTATGATTTACAAGTACAATAGTTTCTTCCAAGTTTCTTCTTCGATTTAATTTTGAAAATAAAAATGTTTAAAAATATATTCACAAAAGTTAAATTTAAAAATAAGAAAAACGTGGTAATATTGCGTTGTATTAAATTGTTACTAAAATAAAAAGTATCAATAAAATATTAATTTATCATATGACTATTATGTGTATATAATTTGAAATAGGATAATGATCTTTATGGATATCTTTGCAGTATTTACTCATCCAATAACGTAGCAAAAGAGTTTCAGAGTTATCCCATTGCTACATCAGTGTATCCATCGTGATAAAAAAAGTTCTAGATTATAGCATGCTCGCAATATAAAAACTTATTTCGTTAAACGTAAGAAATTGAACCAACAAAGTGCTATGATAAGTTTACTCATTAAAGTGGACATTTTTATGAAAGTTGGGGGGTGATTTCTAGGAGTATCAAGTTTGGATGAATTTTGTGTTGAACTTTTTTCCACCATACCTGCAAATACTTAACATTTGGAAATTTTTAACTTCCTTTACCAAATAGAATCACTGTCATTTAAGCACCTTTAGTTTAATGTTTGATTTACCAAAAATAATATTATGAAAAATCTTCAGGGAAATTACTGAAAATTATTTGTTTCATAGCGAAAATAGCTAGTTTTACAAAAAAAACTTCTCCTCAATGTCAAGGTTAACAATTAAAGAAAAATGATCTATGCAATATTTAAACCTGAATATCACATGCAATGTATTGAGGACCAGAGTTGAAGTCATTCAATTTCTCTTCTTTTTCATCTCTTTTTACCTCTCTTTACGTATGCTTCTCTCAGTACGTACAGCATTGGAGAAAGATATTTGGAGGGAGTTGCTTAAGCAATGTATTTCTCTTTAGATCCTTTGACTATAAAACGATCAGCAATGTTTAATTAAAAATCAGTTCAGTTCAATTCATTGATCAAACAACATTACTAAAAATGGCATTCAAAGTAAGATTTTGATAATTTATTTTGAATATTAGAGCCAATATTAAATTTTCAACATTTCTAGTTCTTCTCATTCTTTGCCCTCGTTGCCGTCGCAAGTTGCGGAGTTGTCTATGACCAACCAGCTTATACTTACTCACATGCTGCTCCAGTTGTTCAACAACCAGCTTACACAACATACTCACATGCTGCCCCAGCTGTCCATCATGTTTCTCCAGGTAAGTAAATTGTCATATCCCTAGATCATTTAAATATTTTCAAAAGGATTCTTGATGATTTATTAATGATAAAATATATGAATTAGTTGTTAAAACCGTTGCCCCTGCAGTCGTAGCTCAACCAGCTTATATCAAGCAAGCATATGTTGCCCCACAAGTCATCACAAAGATCGCTCAACCAGTCGTTCACAAAGTTGCTGAAGACTACGACCACAATCCACAATACTCATTCGCTTATGATGTCCAAGACAGTTTGACCGGAGATAGCAAGTCACAACACGAATCAAGAAATGGAGATGTTGTTGAAGGACACTACTCACTCGTTGATGCAGATGGTTTCAAGCGTACAGTTCACTATAAAGCTGATCCAATCAATGGATTCAATGCTCAAGTCGAAAGAGAACCACTCACCCACAAAACAGTTGTTGCACAACCAACAATCGTCAAGACTGTTCAACCAGCACTCGTCAAGACTGTCCACTCAGCTCCAGTCATTGCTCATCACGCTGCCACAGCTTACTATCATCACTAAGAAACCTAACCTACAAATTTGAGTTATCATGAGTGATGAAAAAAACTATAAGGAAATCGCAGCTATTAAATTCATTCATGAGGATTGCTAGAATGTCAAATACTAGTTTTTATTTATTAAACAAAAAATAAAAGAAAAACAATATGAAAATTAAATTAAGAATTTTAAATTTTTAAAAAACTAAACTGAAGAATCAACTGATAAATATTGATTAAACTCTTATAATGCCTACATATTTCATTCAATTAACATTCAAAAGTTAAGCGTGTAATTTTTGTAAATTAAAAGATTAATTGAAACTTTTGTTCTTTAAAAAAATTATTTTCTACTAAGCCTTAGCCATCAAGAGGAATCATACCAGATAATACAAGGTATGTAACCATTTAAAATTCGATTAGTGCTAGTAACATGAAACGAGAACTTCAGATATTTGATGCAAAAGTCTTATGATTCAGTTAAAGCTCATTAGAAACAATTAATTAAAATTCACATTATAGAATCATGAAAATCCAATGTGACGTAAGCTCAAGGTCAAAAAAATGCGGTGCATTACGTTGTATTGGGCATAGTGCATTCATATCAAGCATTAGAATTAGACAAAAGCGCATCTATATTTAATTGGATTAAGGAACAAAGTCACTAAAATCCTATAGAATCATAATAAAATAAAATTTTCTGCTAACATTTATCCATAATTTACAATTATTCTAATAATTAAAAGTTCTTTATTACTTATGATCGATAAGTTTTTGAAATATTTAAGCATCGACAGGCAGACATTGAAGCTTAAAGTTCTATTCGAGTAGATTTTAGAATTAAAAAAAAAAACACACAAACGCTGATGAAATGAAATCTGCTCATTTCTCATCTTTCAAGTGAGCTGATAAGTCATCAAGTGCAAAATTATTCTATTCCTGTACTGAACTTAATTAATATCGAATTATGCCTCTTTTTGGTAAATATTGCATAGAAATTACTTTCAATACAAATTAATTTAATTTCTTAATTCCTTCAAAATTAGATGCAATCGGAAAAGTGTTTGAAGAAGCTGGAAAAGCTACTGTATCTATGTCAAAAACAGTCGGAAATACTATGACTAGTGCAGTAGATAACATTGTCATCAAACCAGCTAAAGTAGTTGGCAAAACTTCATATTCTGTTGTGGATAATGTTATCTTGAAGCCTACAACCTCCATTTATAATTCTGCAATGGGAAATTCAGATAAATAAATGTATCTGTGCTTTTCTGAATAAATATTAAATTTTTTAACTGAAGCAAAATCTCTCAATTTCTGTTTAATTTTAAGTCGTTTTCAGTTGCAAGCTATCTCAAGTTTCATTGCATTCAAAAATCATGGAACGTAGATTTGACACATATTAATTTTACATAATGGAATAATATTCAATGTCTAGGCTATGTCTAGGTTAACAATTTTTTTTGTGTGGCTGGGAATCAAAATTGCAAAATCATTTTGTAACTTGAATTTCGCATGCAATATATTATAGGACCAATCTTTAAGTCTTTCATTTCTCTTCTTTTTCGTCTATTTACCACTCTCTAAGTATGTTTCTCTCAGTACGTACAGCATTGGAGAATGATATTTGGAGGGAGTTGTTTAAGCAATGTATTTCTCTTTAGATCCTTTGACTATAAAACGATCAGCAATGTTTAATTAAAAATCAGTTCAGTTCAATTCATTGATCAAACAACATTACTAAAAATGGCATTCAAAGTAAGATTTTGATAATTTATTTTGAATATTAGAGCCAATATTAACTTTCAATATTTCTAGTTCTTCTCATTCTTTGCCCTCGTTGCCGTCGCAAGCTGCGGAGTTGTCTATGACCAACCAGCTTATACTTACTCACATGCAGCTCCAGTTGTTCACCAACCAGCTTATACAACATACTCACATGCTGCCCCAGCTGTCCATCATGTTTCTCCAGGTAAGTAAATTGTCATATCCCTAGATCATTTAAATATTTTCAAAAGGATTCTTGATGATTTATTAATGATAAAATATATGAATTAGTTGTTAAAACCGTTGCTACTGCAGTCGTAGCTCAACCAGCTTATATCAAGCAAGCATATGTTGCCCCACAAGTCATCACAAAGGTCGCTCAACCAGTCGTTCACAAAGTTGCTGAAGACTACGACCACAATCCACAATACTCATTTGCTTATGATGTCCAAGACAGTTTGACCGGAGATAGCAAGTCACAACACGAATCAAGAAACGGAGATGTTGTTGAAGGACACTACTCACTCGTTGATGCTGATGGTTTCAAGCGTACAGTTCACTATAAAGCTGATCCAATCAATGGATTCAATGCTCAAGTCGAAAGAGAACCACTTACCCACAAAACAGTTGTTGCACAACCAACAATCGTCAAGACTGTTCAACCAGCACTCGTCAAGACTGTCCATGCTGCTCCAGTTGTTGCTCACGCTCCAGCTTACTATCATCACTAAGTATTATCCTAATTATTTGAGACACCATGAATTCATTTAAGTGCTGAAAATGTGATATTAAAAATCAATTGATTTGATTTTTGACTCAGTGATAGTGTTCATGAAAAGTCACAAAGGGTAGTTTGTCAAAAAATTATTTTCTGTTAAAAGAAATAAATGAAAGTCTTGAAAGTTTAAATTTGAATTTTTATATTCACACCGTTTTCACGTGTGAATCTATTGGTTTTGTTCAGATTGAAAAATGAGTTTTTTGAATTTTGTGAGGATATGGAGCAAGATAGCTTAAAATGTTCAGAGATGAAAAGTAAGTGCCTTGAATTTCACATCTTTTGCAAAAAAACAGATTTCAAATTGGTTACGGCATTGCTGAGAAAATCGCAAAATATGCTTTCTGTAAGCAAGCAAACAAGCAAGTTAATCAGCAAGAAATCTCAATAACGAGACATCGTAGAAACTTCTAGTTTTTTACATTTGATCCGTGCTGCTCTAAAGAAGAGCTGTATTGTTTTTAGGCAAGGTAGGAACAGCCGTTGCTTCAGAAAAAGCAAAAAACTTTCCTTACTTACGAATTTTTCAAATTAAAAGTTCACTGTGACTTTTTTTTAAATTAAACTTTGGATGAAAAAAATTTTTTTGAGCGAAGAACCAAGAAGGAAATACATTTTCAATTTTGGATTAAGGGCGACCCTAGTCAAAATCAATTTTGTCACTTTTTTCTTCGAGGGTTTATCCAAATGGATTGAAACTTTGCATAAATATTCTAGTGCTTTCCACAAATACAAATAAAACATCCTAAAATTTTTTTGAGCAAAGAACCAATTAGAAAAAACATTTTCAATTTTGGACTAGGGGCGACCCTAGTCAAAATCAACTTTCTCACTTTTTTCTTCGAGGGTTTATCCAAATGGATTGAAACTTTGCATAAATGTTAAGTGCTTAAAACAAATACAAATAAAACATCCTAAAATTTTTTTGAGCAAAGAACCAAGAAGGAAATACATTTTCAATTTTGGATTAAGGGCGACCCTAGTCAAAATCAATTTTGTCACTTTTTTCTTCGAGGGTTTATCCAAATGGATTGAAACTTTGCATAAATATTCTAGTGCTTTCCACAAATACAAATAAAACATCCTAAAATTTTTTTGAGCAAAGAACCAATTAGAAAAAACATTTTCAATTTTGGACTAGGGGCGACCCTAGTCAAAATCAACTTTCTCACTTTTTTCTTCGAGGGTTTATCCAAATGGATTGAAACTTTGCATAAATGTTAAGTGCTTAAAACAAATACAAATAAAACATCCTTAAAATTTTTTTGAGCAAAAAACCAAGTAGGAACTACATTTTCAATTTTGGACTAGGGGCGACCCTAGTCAACATCAATTTTGTCACTTTTTTCTTCGAGGGTTTATTCAAGTGGATTGAAACTTTGCATAAATATTTTAGTGCTAAAAACAAATACAAATAAAACATTTTAAAATTTTTTTGAGCAAAGAACCAAGTAGGAAATACATTTTCAATTTTGGACTAGGGGCGACCCTAGTCAAATGGATTGAAACTTTGCATAGATATTCTAGTGCTTAAAAAAAATACAAATAAAACATCTTAAAATTTTTTTGAGCAAAGAACCAATTAGAAAATACATTTTCAATTTTGGACTAGGGGCGACCCTAGTCAAAATCAATTTGTCACTTTTTTCTTCGAGGGTTTATCCAAATGGATTGAAACTTTGCATAAATAGTCTAATGCTTAAAAGGATTACAATTAAAACATCGAAAATTTTTTTTGAGCAAAGAACCAAGTAGGAACTACATTTTCTAGTCAACATCAATTTTGTCACTTTTTTCTTCGAGGGTTTATCCACATGGATTGAAACTTTGCATAAATAGTCTAATGCTTAAAAGGATTACAATTAAAACATCGAAAATTTTTTTTGAGCAAAGAACCAAGTAGGAACTACATTTTCTAGTCAACATCAATTTTGTCACTTTTTTCTTCGAGGGTTTATCCAAATGGATTGAAACTTTGCATAAATAGTCTAATGCTTAAAAGGATTACAATTAAAACATCGAAAATTTTTTTTGAGCAAAGAACCAAGTAGGAACTACATTTTCTAGTCAACATCAATTTTGTCACTTTTTTCTTCGAGGGTTTATTCAAGTGGATTGAAACTTTGCATAAATATTTTAGTGCTAAAAACAAATACAAATAAAACATTTTAAAATTTTTTTGAGCAAAGAACCAAGTAGGAAATACATTTTCAATTTTAAACCATTTTAAACCAGGGGCGACCCTAGTCAAAATCAATTTTGTCACTTTTTTCTTCGAGGGTTTATCCAAATGGATTGAAACTTTGCATAAATATTCTAATGCTTAAAACAAATACAAATAAAACATTCTAAAATTTTTTTGAGCAAAGAACCAAGAAGGAAATACATTTTCAATTTTGGACTAGGGGCGACCCTAGTCAAATGGATTGAAACTTTGCATAGATATTCTAGTGCTTAAAAAAAATACAAATAAAACATCTTAAAATTTTTTTGAGCAAAGAACCAATTAGAAAATACATTTTCAATTTTGGACTAGGGGCGACCCTAGTCAAAATCAATTTGTCACTTTTTTCTTCGAGGGTTTATCCAAATGGATTGAAACTTTGCATAAATAGTCTAATGCTTAAAAGGATTACAATTAAAACATCGAAAATTTTTTTTGAGCAAAGAACCAAGTAGGAACTACATTTTCTAGTCAACATCAATTTTGTCACTTTTTTCTTCGAGGGTTTATCCACATGGATTGAAACTTTGCATAAATATTTAAGTGCTTAAAAAAATACAAATAAATCATCTTAAAATTTTTTTGAGCAAAGAACCAATTAGGAAATACATTTTCAATTTTAAACCAGGGGCGACCCTAGTCAAAATCAATTTTGTCACTTTTTTCTTCGAGGGTTTATCCAAATGGATTGAAACTTTGCATAAATATTTAAGTGCTTAAAAAAATACAAATAAATCATCTTAAAATTTTTTTGAGCAAAGAACCAATTAGAAAATACATTTTCAATTTTGGACTAGGGGTGACCCTACACAAAATCATTTTGTCACTTTTTTCTTCGAGGGTTTATCCAAATGGATTGAAACTTTGCATAAATATTCTAGTGCTTAAAACAAATACAAATAAAACATTCTAAAATTTTTTTGAGCATAGAACCAAGTAGGAAATACATTTTCAATTTTGGACTAGGGGCGACCCGAGTCAAAAATGTATTTCCTACTTGGTTCTATGCTCAAAAAAATTTTAGAATGTTTTATTTGTATTTGTTTTAAGCACTAGAATATTTATGCAAAGTTTCAATCCATTTGGATAAACCCTCGAAGAAAAAAGTGACAAAATTGATTTTGACTAGGGTCGCCCCTGGTTTAAAATGGTTTAAAATTGAAAATGTATTTCCTACTTGGTTCTTTGCTCAAAAAAATTTTAGGATGTTTTATTTGTATTTGTTTCAAGCACTTGTATACTTATGCAAAGTTTCAATCCATTTTTATAAACCCTCGAAGAAAAAAGTGAGAAAATTGATTTTGACTAGGGTCGCCCCTAGTCCAAAATTGAATTCTTTTGGATAAACCCTCAAAGAAAAAAGTGACAAAATTGATTTTGACTAGGGTCGCCCCTAGTCCAAAATTGAAAATTGATTTTCTATGGTGTACTTTTGTCAAAAAATTGTTTTGGATATTTTATTTGAATTGACATAATTCTGACATAAATCACATACTAATATTCCTTTTTGTAATGCATAGCTTAAAAAAAATCGAAATCTAAAATTTCGATTACCCCATCTGAATTTTGTTCATACTCTTCACTGTGGAAACCAAAAAACAAATTCTTAATCTTAAAACACTTGACAAAATAGCGACATAATTCAGGATTAATTCCTTTTTAATAATATTTTAACATTTACGAGAAAATGTGGTTCAAATAAGTGTGGAGTATGGCCGAGATTTGGGCTAAAATCAGCTATACTGGTTCATTTTGTTCCCGAGAGTGACAAAATACAAACTAAGTGTTTTTGTATAAATTGGGTATAACTTTTGAATTGTGTCGATATGGGTCTCGACCGTACTTCACGCCCACGCTTTAAACTTATGCTGAGGAAATCTTGGTCTATCCATAAGACTTTTGATTTTTTTATTATTTACCTCTTCTCCTTAAAACCAGCTTATTAAGTTACAAAAAATGCAATAAGTATAACTTCAATGTTATCACGTTTAAGTTTTGGTGCTGACAAACAGTCATGTTTAGACAATAATCAACTGATTAAAGTGTGTGTTGTTTATGCTGGGTATCTATTAATTGAAGCGATCACTCTTAAAGTAAAAATAAATCAGACTTGGAAAATAATCATGCTTTTTTTTTCGAATGCCTATAAAAAGATGAAATAAATTAAGCAAATATTAATGATCTTTTAATTTAGGTAAAATCGGAGAAGTTATCAAGAGACTCAGAAATACAGGAGAATTTGTATCGGGAATCGCTGATGTTAGCCGAAGAACCCTAAAACCTTTAGGAAGCGGCGTATAGAAATTTGGATTCAGCAAAAACTTTAAAAGGAGCGTAAAATAATTTTATTAGTACTTATTAAAATAGCTTTTTCCTTAAAAGTTTCACGTAGCTCTAAAATCACAAAATGGCTTTCATCCCATTTAATCCATAATCTACGTTAATTACACATTACTTCCAATAAAAAATTAAATTTGCAAATACAACTAAATATCAATCAGCTTGCCAATGTGTGCGTTACCAAAATATTTATGTTATCGTCTATCACTTGAGAAAGCTATAAATATTTTTCAAATACTTTGTTCTGCTTCATTTAATTTCTCAATTTTTGTTTAATCGGTTTATTCTTTTTGTGCTGCATTTTTATTTATTTTCATTTAATACAAGATTATGCCTTTTTTTGGTGAGTATACATGTTGAAACATTGTCTATTAATAGGAAAAATCTCTAGAATTTCATCATTTAATGGGCTGTACATTTATTGAGCAAAGCAAAAGTTGCACCCCCCCCCCCCACCCCCACAGTCTTAAAATTTTAAACCCTGTCACGAATTCATTTGTCTTTAGATTCCATTTCTGAGGCTATAGATACCATCGTGGTCAAGCCAATAGAAGTTGTGGGAAAAACTACAGTTTCATTAACTGAAACAGTAGCAGAAACTGTGGAACAATCAGTAGACAACCTTATTATAAGACCTGTACAGGCAGTTGGAAAGGCGTCATTTGTAGTTGCTGAGACGTCAGAGCTTATCATCGATAATGTTATCATTAAACCGGTTGAAAAATTAGGAGAGGCAACGATTGTAGTCGTAAATACCTGTAGTAATGTTATAGGCAGCATTACAAACTAATATAACAATGTTATGCTCAATAAAATGAAAGTATGCAAAGCGTGGAAGTTTTTAATGCAACGGTTTTTAAAATTTTGAATTTTTTGTTGATTTCGCTGAATAAAAGCTGAATTAAAAGATAAAGTGGACGAGATCAGAGAGAACAAATCAAAACTAAAACAATAATTGTGAAATTTAAATAGTTTAACTCATTAAACATGGCATTAAAAGTGATTGTTGGCCAAAGTAAGTTAATATCTATTCGAGTGATATGAATTTATCAATGAATTTGGACAAATAAGAAAGTTCACTGTGAATTGTTAAAATCGGAATTAAAAATCAATTAAAATGAAAAATAAAGAATAACAATCGTCAGTTTCTAATGATTCTCGTTATTCAAGTGACATTTAATGTAATGTGACATAACTAATTAGTTAATATTGTGTCATTTAATGAAATAAGTGGTTCTAGAGTTCTTATAAAATTATTGATTTTTCATCAACACACAATTTTCTTGAATACATGCGCAATGCAAAAGTGACGTCATATTTTGTGTCTGTTCTATGTTATCATTCACAAATATTTTGGATAAACAATGCTTGACATTTATTATTGTTTTAGTCAAAATCACTTCTATGACTAATAGTCTTCAACATGTCTATATTTCAGAAATTATGAATGAGGTCATCAAATACAAAGGGCCTCAAAAGAAAGCAGCACCCGGAAAAGCAGCAGCAGCAAATGTTGAATGGCGCGTACTCGTTGTTGATAAGCTTTCCATGCGAATGGTTTCTGCATGCACTAAAATGCATGACCTTAGTGCTGAAGGCATAACATGTATGTGTGATAAGTACAATGAAATCATCACAATTGACAATGCATGACTCACTGACATAATATTTCATTAATTGTACTTTTATAATTTACAGTGGTTGAAGATATCAATAAGAAACGAGAACCTTTACAAACGATGGAAGCTGTATATTTGATCACACCATCAGAGGATTCCGTACGTCATGTGATTCGTGATTTTGAGTCACCTACTCGTCCTTTATATAAAGCTGCCCACGTATTTTTCACCGAAGGTGAGCTTTTTGGTGCCTTATTCTTATCATTTCTCCTTCCGCCTACATCGAACATTCTTGAACAAACTTTTTTTTGGAACCATTTCAAAAAGTATTATGCAAATTTTATTAGAGTGGGTGCATGCAGAACTCCAGAAAATTCTAATTGACATTATGCTGGTGAATTAGAAGTCAAACGTTAGAAATTGATTTTATGTGACTTGAAAGTTGGGATTAAATTAAATCATTGGATTTAAAATGGGATTACAATAAATCGCAAGATTTAAGATTTGTTCTTAGCTAAAGTTTTAGAGCTTAAAATGCAGACTTTATTTCCTGACTACAACCCTAGCCTACAATGACTATAAAAACCAACCCACTCTAATGAAGCTGCTCAAAGTTCATTTAATTATGATTACTTTTTATTTATAATTTATTTAATTATTTTTGTAGCCATACCAGATTCATTATTTGAACTCATGAAAGGACAAGAAATTGTCAAACATTTGAAAGCATGCAAAGAAATTAATATTTCATTTATTCCGTACGAAGAGCAGGTGATTATGTTTATTATTTGTTTTATTTTCTATTATTTATGTTTCTGGTGTTTTCTGTTCATTAAAAATGGTTCCGCATAGACATCGCCTCATTATACACCCAATTATCTATCTATTTTCCACAATATAACTTTATTAACACACTAAAAAATTTCCATATTTAAAAATACATAACACATAATGGTTCGTTTTCAGTTTGCCCAGACGAATTGTTTAACGAAATTTGTAAATCGATGGCAGCACGTAGAGTTAAGACATTGAAAGAAATCAACATTGCTTTTCTTCCATACGAATGCCAGGTGTGTTAGGTTTGGTTCCATCAAGGATTTGACCTTTTTTGTTCTATTCGCTCCTCTATTACTCGCTCATAAACTATTAAAAATTATACTTTTAGTACACTGATCCTTGGAACTAAATATTTGTGTTGACGTTTATATTTTGTTTTATGGTTTCTTTCTTTTTTTTTTTTTGAATCGCATCCTCCACACACTTATTTTTGGAATTAAAACACACCACCTTTACTTTATTCTATTTATATACACTGACCCTTAATAACTTTGTTCTTTTACAATTCATCTTTACCTCAAACCTTCCAACTTTCCCTGTTTTTATCTTGTAAGATTTTTTGCAACAAGTTCTTTTATATCCACAACACATATCAAATTTATCTTTTTCTTTTGTCATACAAGTTTGTTGTGTTTAGCGCATTTTCCTTGATTGGAAAGGATGTTACTGTTTGAATTGTTGTCTGTCTGTTTAACTCTCACTCTTTTAGACTATCTCGAATGACATAAAAGCAATAAAACATAATAGGGTTGATTTAGTGCCAATTTGGCTTCAGATTTAAGTTTGATGGTGTTAAGCTAGTGGATTGCCGGCTCTATGTCAAATTAATCACTTTGTGTCGAGCATTTTGATGCAGTTCCTACTCAAAATGTGTATCAGGTCAATGATTTGAATGTGAGTTGATTTTTCTGACTAGTCTTTTTAAGTAAGCCTACCACATGCTCATGAGTCAAAAATTTGAGTCTGTTTACTATTAATCCATCGTCTTGAAAAATGCGCTCTCATCGGTCCACAAATGACCACGTCCTAGTTTGTTTTTTGATGTGATATCACCAATAATATTTTTTAACTTCTCAAATTTAAAAAAAAGAATATTTAAAAACACAGTGAATGATAAAACAAAAAAAAATATGAAGAAAAATCTTCTTAACTAAGTGAAAAATTAATTAAACCAAACTAATTGCATGTTTTTCTAGCCTTATATATTGATTGATTCTCACACAGATCGTTATTGAGTTGATTGTATAATAATATTGATTATTGTGGCACTTATGAGTGTGTTTTTGTTTCTAATCAACATGGGTATTATGTGAATTATTCATTTTTGACATAACTGAAGGATGATCGTGAAGCTGACTAAGAAAAAATGAAAAAGAGAAAATGAAAAATTCAGCAATTTTTTATATCTATCTATATCTTGTGTGTTCGTGTCTATATTTATATAATTTTTTTTAAATGATAAGGAAAGATGAAAAATTAAAGATTCGAGAAGATTATGTTTTTTTTGTATTTTTGGCTAATGTTGATTGCTGTTCCTGAATTTCCTTTATTTATGATTTTTATGAGGACTAACTTAGTTTTGGGGATGTTGTTTTCAATGTAAATATGAATTAGGTTCAGTGCTGAATTTCAAGCAATTTCTTTAATCTGGGTTAGAAAATCACGTTGCCAAAAATTATGTCGAAAAGATGCTGTCACTATTAGCTTCAAAACAGATTGCTGCTGACATTAACAGCGTCTGGCAACTGCAGTTTTCATGTCCTAGATTTGTTACAATTTGTTTTATTAATTTTATCACTCAAAAACTTTTTATCGGTTTTTAACTGAATTCAAGAATTTAATTGCTCGAAAGCATACAAATTCTAACGGTCAATTTGAATTTATAGGGTTTTTAAAGACAAAATCTCTGGTTTAACCGAAAAATTTGAATTTTCTTGTGAAAACCTCACAATTGTTTTGTAAAACCATACAAATTTTCAAATTTGTGGAAATTTGTAAGGTTTTGAAACATTTAAATCATAAAATTTCGTTATTATTGAATCACATAATTATCACGTCAAAGATCAAAATCTGAATCAATCAATAGAACCAGACAACATTCCCTAACCATCCTTTAGTCCTCAAAACTTTGAAATTTGGTAAATCAAGCTCATGTAAATGAATTTTTTCCCTTTTTGAAAAAAAATCTCAACTTTTGGTAATGTAAATTATTTTATTAATCTTAGCTCGCTATTACTCTATATTATATATTATTATCTTTCTCTTTTCGTGTGTTTTTCTTCTTTCTCTTTTTCCACCTGTGAATGTAAATTTTTTTAACCATAAATTTGATAATTTGATAAGAAAATTGGAATCATTTCCTGTTTATTCCAACATCAAAAATATGTTTTCTTCTTTTGTTCCTCTTTTTTTACTATAAAATTTTTCTCTTTTTCTTTCTCTTTCTTTTCCTCGACGCAACAATTCTCATAACTACGAAAAATTATTTAAAAAAATTCAGATTTTTTCACTGGATTCGCCCGATACATTCCAATGTAGCTATTCGCCAAGCTTGAGATCCGCTCGAGTTGGTAATATGGAGCGTATAGCCGAACAGGTTGCTACGCTTTGTGCCACTTTGGGCGAATATCCTTCCATACGTTATCGCAGTGATTGGGAACGTAATGTTGAATTGGCCCAATTAATCCAACAAAAATTGGACGCTTACAAAGCCGATGAACCAACAATGGGTGAAGGACCAGAAAAGGCCAAATCAACGTTGTTGATTCTGGATCGTGGCTTTGATTGCGTTTCTCCATTACTGCATGAACTAACGTTACAAGCAATGGCATATGATTTGCTACCTATTTCAAATGATGTCTACAAATATGAGAATCAAGGTGCCGAGAAGGAGGTCTTGTTAGACGAGAATGACGAACTTTGGTGTGACTTGCGTCATCAGCATATTGCGGTCGTGTCTCAAAAAGTCACAGGACAATTGAAGAACTTTACAGAATCAAAACGAATGTCAGCAACTGACAAGGCATCAATGAGAGACTTGTCCCAGATGATTAAGAAAATGCCGCAATATCAGAAGGAACTGTCAAAATATGCAACACATTTGCATTTGGCTGAGGATTGTATGAAGGTTTATCAAGTAAGTTGTCAAGCTGTTGCATGTAATTTATTTACTTGTTGCTTCTCTCGTACCTGCGCAAATTTACTAAACTTTCTTTTTCATTTCTCTAGGGCTACATTGATAAGCTGTGTCGCGTTGAACAAGATTTAGCAATGGGTACAGACGCTGAGGGCGAGAAGATTAAGGATCATATGCGCAATATTGTACCAATCCTTCTTGACACAACTGTCTCAAATTATGACAAAGTTCGTATCATTGCTCTTTATGTGATGATTAAAAATGGAATTTCAGAGGAGAATTTCACAAAATTGGCAACACATGCTGGCATTGAACAGCGGGAACGAGAAATGATTCTAAATTTGACTCATTTGGGTGTAAATGTTATATCTGACGTAAGTTGACTCAATTACTCGTAACTTAATGTAATCAATTAACCTTTTTATGCTTTAATAAATACAGGGAAGTCGACGCAAGCAATATACAATACCACGTAAGGAACGTATTACAGAGCAAACGTATCAAATGTCTCGTTGGACTCCAGTAATTAAGGACATCATGGAGGATTCAATTGACGAGAAATTGGATCAGAAGCACTTCCCATATTTGGCAAATCGCTCAGGACAAACATCATATAGCGTCCCAACAAGTGCACGTTATGGACACTGGCACAAAGAGAAGTCAGCACCAGTCATCAGAAATGTACCAAGATTAATCTGCTTTGTTGTTGGCGGTATGAGTTACTCAGAAATGCGATGTGCATATGAAGTCACAAATGCATACAAGAATTGGGAAGTTATTGTCGGATCATCACACATTTTAACGCCTGAAGGATTCCTTAGTGATTTGGGAGCCATTTCTAAGGATGATTAAAGTTAATAAGTTAATATTGCAATAATTTTTTTTCTCTCTATCTATTCCCTCATAATGAAAAATTTTCTTGGCTTATCAATGTGATTTTTCCTCTAAACTGTAATTGAATGATGAGAAGAAAAGATATTTAACAATATTTAATAACGTGAAAAAAGTTATAAAAATTTTAAAGTTTAAAAGCTTCTGTACTAAGCATTGTGAAGACAAAGAAGTTCACATGCTATGAAATTTTCATTTTTTCATCAACTTAATGAATTTCGTTATTTATTTCGGAGAAATATTTAAATTATTTTAAAAGCAGTGGCAATCAAGCCTGTCTCGATACCAAATGAAGTATTTAAAGTCTCTTTTTTTATTGCGCTATGTTGGCACTTGGTATTATTCTCATTATCGCCATTTATTGCTAATTCCAAGTGTTTAATTTTGTAGGTGGAAGTGGAATGCGAATGGAATTTTTTGGGGCGCTGTGGGAATGCTTTGGAAATGAAAAGTTTACAAAAATTTGGAATTGCGATAAATAAAAGCTTTGAAATTTGTATGAGAAACTCTCATATGATCCGGAACCATACAAATGTTCTAAAACTATAAAGAACAATACACATGTTTTTGAATCCACAACTAAACCATACAACAGCCTGAAATTTGATAAAAACATTCGAATTGAACAAAAAACGTCAAAATTCCCGAAATGTTATAAAACCCTTCAAATTCCATTCAAACCCTCAAAATCTGCAATTTATAAATTTATTTAAATCTTTGTTTCAAAAACCTGATTATTGACGATTAATTGCTTTAAATGTTTTAAAAGACAATATTTTAGTTTAGGATTGAATCATTATATTCTACAAGCCTAGAAGAATAGAAAAGTTTACCTATTTAACAGTTTATTATGTTTATGTTCTTTAAATGAAATTTTTGAATGAAGAAATGTTAATGCAATTTGCATTTTTTGCTACTTAGCATTTGAATAGTAGAATGAATTTTTTTCAAGGATTCAGCAGAATAAGGAAAAGTTTTTTAAAAGGGAAATATTCTATATAATTAAAATGAAGCTCTAGATAGTTCTAGTGCATGTCTTTCTTTACTCAAGAATTATTAAAATAGTAGATTTTTGCATATAGTTGCATGTGAACAATGTGCTGACTTATTTGAAAGTATTAAGTCTCTATACTCTTGTAACTAGACACACTTATATAATATTTTGAGACCTTTGATGAAGATCAAATTAGTAGCTATAATTAATTAGATGCTTTAGCTCAGTTACCAAGATTTGTCGCCATTTCAAATTCACATTCAAATTATATGCCAATAATCTCCAAATTAACTATATATTTACCGAAAAAAATCAAATCAAATCAAACAAATCAATAAACTAACATAAATGAATATCAGAATGAGTACATCCGTTTTAAAAGCAAAACTTCTATATATCATCATATACATGGATAATAACAATCTCTTTCTTAAATATTAACATTAAAAATTGATTCCTTTATTAGGTAGAATAATAATGAACAAAATGAAAAGTAATAAAAGTAAATGAATATTTATTGAGCAGATTTAGCTATGGGGAAGGTCAATTTGGGGGTAGATTATTAAGGTTCTAGAAGATTGAGAAATTTTGAACATCTTTTTAAAATGTTTTAACACAGATTAAGTCAAGATAATAATTAAGACATGAAATTACATCAAGTGTCTGTCAAATGAAAAGCTTGGTCTTGGAGTCATAAAGGGTAGGCTTGACTAATTATTAACTTACAGAAAAATGTGATCCTGAAGCGTGTCGAAAAACTGAAATCACTTAATAACAAGCTTCATAGCTCCCAAAACCTCACCTATAACTAGATTTGCTCCTATTCAGTGATCCCAAACGATAACTTACCTATCAAATTTCAACAATTTAAATGAAATTTTGAAAAAAAAAACAATGGGAGACATGCAGCCTCCACTTAAAAAAATTTGGAAGTTTAACAAAAAAAAAAGCTTAAAGTCAATTTTTAATCTTAGAGAAACTCATTTTTCAACATTTAATAAACATTTGATGACAAACTATATACCTTAAAATGTAGCACGAATCATTAACAAGAATGACAGTTCATAGTTTAAAGTATTTAATGATTATTGTTGGATTGAACACCAAATGATTCGCATAGAACTGGACTTCCATTTCTCAATTGGAGCAGTTCATAAAGAAAGTAAGAAACTCTTGCCTCATTTTACGTGATGCACGTGTGCATTAAAAAATCTAATCAATAAAGTAATAAAAATCTTCAAAGTATTTATATCAATAAGCTAAGCTTAAAAAAATTGAAATTCAGTGAGTTGGCCAAGTCAACAAAATAAATTGGAAATTAATGCACAGAGGATGTTTCTTACTCCTGCATTAAAAATAAAATATTTTTTAAAATTTACTTCCATGTGCTTCGCGTGGAAGTTGAAGATACATAAAAAATGGGAATTTTGAAAAATAATAAAAATGATACCTAACTATTGGAAGCATTTTATCACTTGTAAAATCATAAGCATTAACATTTAAAACTGCAAGGATAATATATATTGCAAAAAGTTCAAAAAGTATGAAACTTACCAAGCTTTGTGTCTTATTTTTGATGAATTTTCTAGTTTTCAGATTTTACAGGTGAAACTTGATGTCAATGAAGGCTTTTAGATGCTTTTGAATTCAACATGATCTGTAAAAAAGTTTTAATCACTTCCTAATTCCATCCTACACAGTCAAGACGATAGAATTAATTATAATCTTCTGATTAAACCACATTAGAAGAAACTTAATCGCTGAATAATTAATGATGCTCATGATAAACAATTTCCCGACCTTCGTGAATAATAAAAAATGATTTGTTTTTTTATTTTAAAGCATTATCTTTAAAGATATCCTTTTTATTTTCATTTAACAAAATTCATCGTACAAAAAAGGAATTTTAAAGTAAAAGTTATGAAAAGCTTGTTTAAAACCATCCATAAAATATAACAATGTCGATTTTTCATTCTCATAGTTATTTTATGTCTTAAAATTGATAAAATATTTACACAATTGAATATGGAACATCCTGCATCTTAATTTTAAAATTTAATTTATTAAAATGAAATGTGATTCAGGTCGAATTTCCAAATTTTGAATATTAATGTTCATAAAATATTTGAAATTTACAAAATTTTCGAACTTTTCTGATTCCAAGAAAACCGTTACAAACTTACTTAATCGGTTAAAACCTTGAAGTCTAAAATCCTGATCCTATATACACCCCCTGGATCGTCCAATCAAACAAAAGGATACTCAATCAAATAGTGCTGATAATATTGAAGATTTATCACATTAGAATGTCCATTAAATTCCACTAGAAACGCTATCATGCAGAAAAGCCGTCAGTATTTCCAAAATATCAAAAGCACTCCCTCAGTCGCAAAATTTTTCAGTCCTTTTGTTTCACCACATTTGAATGCTGATTAAATTACACAGTTAATTTACTTACACAAACTTATTTTTTTTTTGTTGATAACTTTTTGTTGCTTGATTCACATTATGTACACAAAGTTTAGTAATTTCCATTATTATACGATCGATTAGGTAGTCTTTGTTGGTTATATTGCTGTTGTTGCTGTTGTTGTTGGCCAGGACGACTATGAAAAATATTTTAGAAACACGAAAATAATAATAGAGGAAAAATTAAAATCAGGAAAGTGAGAAAATAATAGAAAAAAGGAGGGAAAAGAACATAAAATGAAGTTATGGAAGTTGAGGGAAATTAAAGTACAAAATTCAAACTTTATAAGTAAAACAAAACGTGTAAAATGTAATAAATTGCATTAAAAATCAATTCGTGCCAAATTGGCTGTTAAGTATTTTAAAAGCAGCAGCAGATATCATTCAAAGGTTAAAAAACTTTCGAATAAATCATTTTTTTGACTGAGTAAGAAAAGGTCAAAAATATTCCATTAATAAGCTTGTTTATTTCAACGTTTAAAGGTCTTTTAAGAGGATTTTGGCATAAAAGATTTAATTCAAATTATTAGCTTTTGTAAGGTTTTAGTAACAATATTGAAGCTGTTGTGCGGTTTCATTAGCAATTTTGCTTTTGTAAGGTTTCATCAACAAATTTAAAGTTGTAATGTTTCGAGAAATTGATCAATTTATTTCGAATTGTACGGTTCTAGCATAAGACATTTTTGAATTTGTAGGGTTTTCAATTGTCATTTTAAATTTGTGCTGCTTTCAAAAAAACGTTATATTTTAATTTTGGAAAACAGTTGAAAATTAATTTCTTGTTTTTGAGGCTAAAACCAGAGATTTTATAGACTAAACTAGAGTTATATGCCTATAACGAAAGAATTCAACACAAAACATCAATAATTATCTCATAGCAATTAAAATGACTCATTTTACACGTTTCAATTATTTTTTGAATGAAAGCAATACAAACAAAAACAAAACAAAAAATAAATCACACTACTTCAAACTATAAGCAATGCTTAGTAACCACAACCAGATGATATGCAGTAAATTTATCAGTTCAATTCATCATTCGTGTTAGATACTTTGTGCTGAAAAAAGGTTAGAAGTTTCTAAAAGTTTTGATTAGTTTCAAACTAGAAAGTAATATAATCAAACAGAAAAGTAGAATTTACATAAAATAGGAACTAAAATAAAGTTAAAAATTAGAGCACATATCAGTTTTTTTCTTCTTTTTTCAATAATCATATTCCCCTTTATTTCTTATCTTTTTCAATTTTGTTTTTAATTGTATATATACGATTCATATATTCCATTTTTTGTTTTTTCTTTATTTCATTATATATAATAACTTTTATCTCATTTTTTTGTGATTCTTTTGTAATGTCACTTGAAATCATACTAAAATTACTTCCTTTACTTCAGTTGGAATGTTTTTTGTTTTTAAATATTTTAATTAAGTTTCAATTTTTTTGTGATTAAATTTCGATAGAATAGGAATATCCACAATCAATAGATTAAGTTCCTCTGTATTGCTTCATACATTTTGTCTACTCAAACAATAATTAAAAGAAAGCTAGAAATTAACTCAATTTTCACTCCAACTGATTCACTTTGCGCATTACTGTCGTAGAAATAAAAACGATGAATAATCAATGAATTTTTTTTTTGTTGACGGGGAGGACGTTAGGTAAAGTTTATATCTTGTGGTTATGTTTTGCTTGGTTTTTCTACTATTTTCACGCCATTTAAGATATTTTTTCATTATTTTTCGTGTTACTTTCATTAGAATTAAGAAGAAAACTTTCAATTAATTGAATTTTCATCAAGGAAGTTACTTGTGAGTTTTTCATTTTTATGGGAGTTTGGGAAGTGTTCAACTTAAAGTCAAAGTTTGAAAAGTCTGAAGTCAAGACTGAAAAGATTCCAGCCAAAACCCAAGAAATTTCCAATAAAACTCTAAATTGATAACTTTTAATTTTAAATTTAAACACTTAATCATCAAATAAATCAAATCCAGTACCCAAAACCAATCCAGTAGATTGATGGTGCTAAAGATGACCAGCTTTCTCTAAACACTATCATTTCTGGACTTAACTCTATAAAATTTTGGTCTTCTGCTGAAAAATATGTCAAAAATTATCATTGAGCATTAATCCATATTTAAGCGATTCCAGTTCCCCAAGTTTAGTCTCATTATACCGAATCATGCGATCTTAAGCTTAGAGATTCATATAATTGGACATAACTCACCCAAATCAACAAAGAACTGGATCCGAGTATGATAATATCAAGCCAAGATCTAAAACTTTGTGGACTAAGGTTGCATGCATGCAGTTGAGAGATTTCTTTGAATCATTCAATTGAAAGTTTCCTCTATTAATTGTCATGAATTAGAGTCTATTGTATGCTGGCTTTTACGCATTAATACTTATTTGACTTTATTACATTTATATGCAAACTATACTAGCGCAAAATGCCACACACAGCAAAAAATAGTCCTTCAATATTTTTTAACAAATGCATTTTAACAAAAATTTACAAAATATCGTTCTAAATGACTTCCTGTTCTTTATCAGAACTTAATTTTTTTTTGTTTGTTGTTGTCACATTTTTATTATTTTATCATAATTGAAATTGTTGTTAATTTTTCCATCAGCTATAGTAAAATATATTATTAAGTGGGATAATCCATTATCAATATCATCGAAAAAAGATGTCATATTTATATGTGTGTGGAATCAATAAACTTCATTACTTTAAATATACTTTTTTTTCCTCATTTATATTTTATATTATGTATATATATAATTTTTTATCCTTTTTTTTGTTTCATAATTTATCATAATTTGTTTTTTTTTTTAAAGAGAAGAACGATTCGCAAATTTATTTCACTTAATTCCTCTGATTAATTAATTAATAAGTATAACAATGATTAGGTAAATCTTCATATCTTGCGCTATCATCTCTCTTGTATGAACCTAATATGAATAAATGCGCGATTATTTTGGGGTGGGTTGGGATTTGTTTCGTCTTATCGTCTTTCAATTTTGTGTGATGTAATGCCTTTGAAGTTAATTTGGAATGTTTAAGAATTAATTGATTGAGTTTTTTTAAGTTTTTTAAGAAATTATTTCTAAGACTGCTGTTGACAGCTTTACAGCATTAAACTACTGAAATATTCATGTTTTAATCAAAATATTTTCAAAATTTAATGTTAAGCAGTCAAAATAAATTTGAATTTAACTTAATAATTTCAAGTTGACAGCCCCTCTCAAAATTTTGAATTTCAACTGTCAAATCAAATTTTAGAATTTTAAAAAACCGTTACATATTTAATAATCTTTTAATCTTGATTTTGAGCCTGAATCAATCTCAAAAAGCATCACATCCTCCCAGGTATCCATTTAAAGAATCACGAAAATTCCCAAAACTTTAAATAAATTCCATATCCACAAAATGAGCAGAGTCAAAGACGAGGAAATTCTTTCCAAATTCTATCACGAACTATGCAATAAATGTTTCCGAATTTGCCTAAAACGAGTGGAACGAATACTATATAAGATCAAAAATAACAACAAGAATCAACGAGAAATTCCTGTGAACACAAGCTATCATAAGTTCCACGTCGTCGACATAATTTCTATACGAATTTTTCAAAGAACTTCTAAGGTTAATAATTTTGTAGGAATTTAATAGCAATTTGAGAGAGATAGACGAAGATTTTTTTACAATTACAACAGCAATAGAATTATTCTCAATTTTTAAAAATACCTATTCGAAGGATAAACTGAGAATTGAAGTCGACGAACGAAACTAAAGTGATAAACTTAAAGTCTCGATAAAAAGTGGTGCAAATGTTCATTCTGGACATTGAGAGTTTTTTTTTGCGAGAAGCACGCAGCTACATTTATAAAACGCCAACTACAATACTTGTTTATATTACACTCATGTGCAAATACCGAAATGAGATTGTAAATTGACTTCCTATCCTGCAAAGCATGTAACAGCAATGAGGTGGGAAAAGGAATTGGAACCGAATAACTTTGAAATAAACCAAAATTATAATTTAAAAAAAAAATATGTACTTAAAAATGTTTCCATTCTTTATAAATACTTTTAAGTAAGATTAATATCCTTTTTTTTTTTATTTTACGATGAAATACCTAAATATAGTCAACAAGGCTTCTATATATAGCTACATATTCAATGAAATGCTTCTATACTTTATATAATAAATTTATTCATGAATGACTTTTTTCTTCTTCTTTTTCTGATTTTCATAGCTGTTCTGTTTAGAGAATTTATTGATTGTTGCTTGTTCAAGGAGTGGATCTTGGTTATTATTTATTTTAATTTTTTAACAATTGATTCGTTGTTTATTGTTGCTGAAAATTAGTAACTGTTGTATGGTTTTCAATGGAATTACTTTAACTGTTGTAAGGTTTCAGAATGTCATAAGCTTTTTAATACTTCGGTAGTTATTTAACTGTTGTATGGTTTTTAAAATTTTAAAACTGTTGGAAGGTTTTGGAATACATTAAAGCTTTTGAAAGGTTTTAAAGCATTTTGAAGCTATTGAAGGGTTTCATAACAAAGCTTTACTTTAGCTCAAGTGTCCACTCCTTAAACTCTTCTCATTCATTTATGGAATATTTGATAAAATAGACATTTAAATGTGTTTCATCAGAATCAAGAATTTTTAGCTCATGTATGCTTGCGTATGTTTGTCTGAGATTAAATTCTATATTTCCATCTCTTTTTTTTCCTCGATTTATTGCTACGGGTTTTTCATGTTTTAATGATTATTCGTTCTCTAAAATAACTTATTATTCGATCTATGCTTATTACTGTAAAACGCCTTTCGATTTTTGTCTCGCAATTACTTAATATTTATAATTTTTTTTTGCTGTCACCAGTTATCAAAGTTTCTTCTCTATGTATATCTTTACTTTTTTTTGGTTATTCTTTATGATTCACATTGAAAGCTTTCTTAAAGCTTTTTTAAAATAAAAGGGATTATCCTGAGCTGCACACTATTGTACCCTAAATCAGACATATCGCATGCTTAGTCAGAAATCATAGTGAGCTCATGAGCAAGCATGCTCCATGTCTGTCAAGAGTAATTGCAATATTGGTACCATTTTATTATCTTATTGTAGACAACTTTGGTGCCAATACATCAATTCTGTGCAGCTCAAGAGTTTTTAAGATGGAGAAGCATAGATGATAGAATGACAGATGAAGAATATAAACAAAAATTTGTGCTTATAAATTTGGAAATAGCAAATAATCGACTCATTTGTGGCCTCGTGACTTTATATCATGCTTTATGGCTCAGGGCAGTGTCTTAATTATCCATAATTCATTCTGATGATTCAGCAAGACTAAAGTCCACAATCTTTAGTAATTTATGTCAAAATATTGTACCAACATCGACTTTATACCCTAAGGCTTGCCAATTTAATACAAATCTTCTTCGCAATAAGCAACATAAAGCCATGCGAGATCAAATTATGCCATAACTAGCATAAGATTTTTCTCATTTTATAAAACAGCACATCAAAGTTGATGACTTGATTAATTTATACAAAGAATAGCTGAATAAGACTTTAAAAGTTGTAGCATGAAGAAATAGACTTCTGAAAGGTCAGAGAATCAGCTTCTAGGTGAATGTTTCTTAAATTTTAGCCTAGATTGACAATTTTATTGTTGTCTTCATACACAGAATTGTATCCAAAACATAGATTTTGAATCTGTTTAATAATTTGACAGGCTTGCTGCTTAATTTATCAAAATTCTGTCAATTCTACAACTAATCTTGATCAATAAACCTTTAAATCTGTCCACAACTAACCACAAAAGGCCATTAGCTACTTGCCATTTCCAATAAAGTACGCAAACGACTATCCAATCAATCAAAAATCATAGTTTTGTTGGCAGGAAGAGTAAAGAAATTTTGAATTAATTGACATTAAAAATTTACAACATGATTTTTTATAATACACATTCAGCTATGCAACAAGAACCAAAGAAACTAGGTCAATTTTAGTCATAAATCAATGCAATCAAGAGAAAAGCACTTTTTATGTCAAACACATAATGCGATATGTCTATATGCTGTATATTAAGTCCAACTCCATTCTTTAATTAATTTTTTTCATTACACAATGCAATTTTTTTGTTAAATGATGTGAGTGACTTTATGAGGTGAGTTAAAGATTAATTAATTTAATTTAATTTGAGAATGTGTGAAATGCAATGAGATTATTAAGTATATAATATTTATGTGTGTGTGTGTGATTGGGAGGATCTCTGAGGATATTTCTATAACTTCATATATATAACTTTTATCATTCTATAGAGATAGAGATATGACACATAGAACTTGTTTAATTCATTTAAATTTAAAGTTTTTAAAATGAGTCTTAATTCGTTTTACTTGAATTTACTGGCGAAGACATTTGACAATTCATTCATTGCTGCATTCGTGACCACTTGTCCGATTTGTTGATTGATCTGCTGACGCATTTGTTGTGGGATCATGTTCTGTAAGTTTCCCGTACTGCCTCCTCCACCCGGTCGACTGTATTAATTATTTTTGGTTTAATTAACGCATTTTTAATCGAGATTTGGTATTTTTATTGAAAAATTAGAGAACGACTTAAGCAATCAAATGTTCTTTTTATGTATTTGTTAGCTAATTATTATGTTTTTTTCACATCTTTTTATGTCATCATAATCATTTAAATTTGTTTAATTATCTTTATCTCAAAAATTTTATTTTCTTTGTATCATAAATTGTTTTTTTTTATCATTAAGTTCCCTATTTTGAAGTTTCTTTTGAGAGCATTTTCGTTATTTTTGGTTGATGGAAAGCTTGAGAATGTTCATTCAAGTTTTCCAAACAACTCTGATCAGTTTGATTAACTTAAAGTTCTTTTTGAGATTCTTGAAAATTTAATCGAATGTTTTAAGAACCATACAACAGTTTGTAATGCAGACCATACAAATGTTTTAATGGAAATCCACACAAATGTTTAGAAATGCTCGAAAACAGTACAAATGTTTGCAATAACTGTTATGTGGTTCTTTGAAATTCCAAAAATCAAAAACCATACAAGTGTTTTATTAACTGTTGTATGGTTTTCAAAATTTCGACATTCTCAAAGTTAATCATGAGATTCAGTAATTTTTCTCTTCTTAATCCCTGCCTTAGCATAATAACTTAACATTTCATCATCTAATATTTTCCATGAAATGCACTCAAAATAATTAATAATTTCATGTGTGTTTCTTGTTATATCAATAATATCTTATAGTCATAACGTATGAATGTGAGATTTGAAAATGAAAAACAGATTTAACGTCGACTGGTAGGGAAAAAAGAAGCAAAATAGAAAAATATTCATTATTTAATGAGAATTGTGTTGCGACTAATATGAATGCTGAAGTTTAACTGTTCAGCTCATATCTTATTTTAATCAATTAGAAAAGCAAAATTTAGTGTTGTTGATTTTTGAACATGGAAATGTCGATGATACATCAATATGTCATCCATTTACATTAAGTATCACATTTATATGGGGTAATTAAACAAATTTAAGGCAATAGTAATAGGATTTCGAAATATTTACACAATTTAAGCTAATTAAATTGAGCAAATATTCCGAATTTCACCATTTTTAATTTTGAATCACTATCGATTTCCAATTGAATCTCTTTATTTTTAATGATTAGTCGTGTTAGTAGCATTATCGATAAGTGCAAAGCATCCAAAAAGTGCAATAATAACTTGAAAACGTTTTACTTACGATGGAATGAGTGGAGCTGGTAAAGCTTGTCCCGTTGGTCGACTTCCAGGAACTGGAGGTGCTGCACCGCCACCTTAATAAACACAATTCAAGTCATCAAATAATGTATATACTTAAAATGAGTAGATCTAGTTAATATAGTAACCTGGTCGATTAGGAATTGCTGGTGCTGGTCGATTTCCAGCAGGTGGAGGTGGTCCACGACTGGTTGGTCCGCCTATCGAACCGAGTGAGCCCTGAGAGGTTGAAAAATTAGACTGCTGTGGCTCTATACAAAACAAAAGAAAGAAAATTTACTTGTTGGACAGGAGCATTCTTCCTATTGCCACCGGGACTTGGTGGCGAAAGTCTTGGATTTTCACCTGTTGGTAGCCAATCATTTTTAACTGGAGCTGGTATTGGAGTTGAGAAAGTTGCCATAGTAACGTCACCTATAGTAATATAATTAAGCATTATTTGCTTGTTTAATTCAATTATTAAGTACAAAAGTCGTACCGATGATTCGGAGAGCTTCTTTGCAAGCATGATACATCCTGAGCATTTCTTCACGTTTCGATGCTGCTTCTGGACTTTCTTCCATCATTTGGTTCTATCAAAATCCATTGTTAATAAGTCACAAATCACACAAGACAAAGCTTATTTAATCACCTGATCACCACTTGCATATAAATGAGCCAATAACTCTCCATTGATAAAGTCTTTGGCATTATTGACAATCAAATACATGATACATTTAGGTACCATATCTCGTGTTGTTTTCGTGACAATTCTCATATATGAATCAACCAAATTTCTAATTGTCTCAACTTGACGTTCCAACTGTGGATCGAGTGAACTTGTTTGTGTCTCGCCAGATTCCTGTAAATCATTCAAAATCTATGTAATCAACTAATAACTCAACAAACTACTCAAACTAGTTTTAAAAAATAGTTAGGAATAAAAAACACAAACGAAAAAGTTCTTTTTTTTATCCTATCGACTTTTTTTTTTCTTGGGATGTAAGTAAGAACTAAATGAAAAAATTTACATCGTTTTCATTATAATTATGAATCTTCTACGTTGGTGGTATTTTTGATCGTGATTTAAAAAGTATTTACAAAAAATTTCAAAAGACCATGCCCTATAAATGTGCTGAAATTTTTTCTTTAAAATGTGGTTTCAACGAGGATTAGAATGATTTTAAAACCCTATAACAGTGATATTTTGTTTAAAACCTTACAACAGTTAGATATTGAGATAAAAGCTTTCAAATGTTTATTTAAATCCATACAACAGCTTGTTTAAGAGTCTCATGTACCAAAACTGTTCAACAGTTGACATTATTGATAGTGTTTCAGAACTATACAAAAGCTTCAAAACCTTTCAAAAGTTTATGTTTTGGTAATGTCAATTTTTCTAGTTTCAAAAATTACTTTTTTTAAATTAATGCTTTCAAGCTTAAAATACTTCGAGAACTTTAAAAATGTTTTAGGTTTTGCGAATTATTGGAAATTTAAAGTACTACAATTTACAGGAAATAGGTAAACTTTCTAAACTCAATACAGAGCTCAAAGTCGAGCCTCCTCGGTTTCGAGTCTTTTTGAACCGTATCGCCTTCAAGCTCTGCTTAAAACTAATTATTAACATAGATTTGTCAGTTACAGAGCTATGAATTTTAAATTTTAATTAAAAACTCATCTATTCAATAAAATGTTCTTTATGTAATTTAAAACTACTCTCAACTTTTTTAACTACAAGTGAATGAGTCATGGAATGTATGGATTCTATGTGACTATACTAAATGATATTTTATTCAAAATGAACTGTTTTATGGAACAACGGATAGATAAAGTTTTAAATTAACATTTTGTCATAAGAACGGACCACGTTAAATCATTTTTTCGAACAATTTGAGGCAAATAAATTTTAATCAAGCAAAAAATTCAAAAATATGAAATAGAATAGAAATTTATGAAAAATGATGAAAAAATGGATCAAAAATTGTCAAACAAGCCAAAAATAGTTATGAAACAAAGAATAAAGTCAAATATTTGTGCATAGAATGAAATCGTGCTTAAAAGTTAAAATTAGATGAATAATAAAAAGCAAACGAAAGTAAAATAATTGTCTTATCTTATTCATACATTAGAACCAACCTCTGCTCCTTCCTTCTGATTTTAACAACAGTTTTGAAATTTAAAGTGGGACATTTTTTATATAAATCGAAGTTTTTTTTTTTTTTTGTTGAAGAGAAAGAATTGAAAAGAAGTTTTTATGAGAAATCTTTTGTTGTATCAATCAAAAAAATTTGTGAAAAATAATTTTAAAAAAACAAATTTTTTCTTGTTAATTCAATTTAAAAAAAACCTTGGAGTTATAAACTCAAAAACTGTGCACATCTTCTGAATTTTACTTCATTAAATCAGTGTAAGTGGTTTTGTAATTAAATTAAAAGTTAAAAGTGGTGAGAGACAAGAGTTTTTAAAAATTGAATAAATTAAACTTACGTCTTCTCCATTCGGTGCTGCTTCTTTTTCAGGATAAACGCCGGCTCGAAGGAATGAAGCTTTCCATGAATCAACATCGTCTGTGCTTTCACACGACAACTCGAGTGTCTTTAAATCCTATATAATCAGCATTTATTCAACAATGTATGTATGGAAGAGAGAAGATAAATATATCAAGAGATTGCTTAAGTAATGGTTGACATTTTAATGTTAAAGCACTTCAATATTGGAATAAAATTTAACGACCCTTTCATTAAAGCCGTATTCAGGCTGGTGTCAAAATAAGACTCAAAGAAATGTAACTTAAACTACAATAATTCCAAATTTGAAATAAAGAAAGGTTGAAATTTTTTCATTAACCCAGTTTAACCACACCATAAAAAAAATTAACAACCCTTTCAAATTTGAACGGACTTAAATTTTAAAATTACGTTAAAATCTGAATTGCATACCTTGTAAACGTTTCTTCCTTCTGGATTGAATAAAGCGAATGTATGACGTCGTGACATGAAACCTTGTTCAATATCACGTAATTTAAGTCCGTCTAATGGTAGCATGAATTTCTTTTCCTTCTCATCTTCATCTTTATACCATGAAATGCTTTCGGATGTCAGCACGAACCAGTATGGTCTTGAGCTTCCTGTTTTGATGATATTAAAATAAAACGTTAATCATTATTGAGCCAAATGAAGATAATTTTTTCGACAAAACAAAGATTGGTTGAGTTAGTAGAGATTAATAAATGTGGCGAGCATAATTTCTGTTCAAGCACCAAGAACATTATGGATGAAGAAAGTATATCGGTACATGATATAAGCAAAACATGAATAGAACATGAAGGAAGATTTCTAATCATTTTATTATATTTATATAAAAATGGGTCTGAAATTTTGCGGAATCAATACACACCAATTATAATCAGTAGAAACATCTTGAATGCTTGCATTATTTCCAACAACAATATTATGAGTGTGTGTGAGTGAGTGTTGGTTTTAAATTTGATTTTTGTTCGAATATTCAGCATGTGAAATTATAATGAGGGGCAAGTGAAATAATAAAAGTAAAATCAAAAAATCATAAAAGTTTAAAATAATTAATTAATAGAGCATGAATGGCTTACCTTTCATAATTCCCAAGTTTTGAATGCACATATGACCTTTTCTGATCACCTGATTACCCAAACTTCTTGTTCCTGTCTTTGTAGCATTCTCGGTCTTATTTTGAGCATTAGCAAATCCAATAAAGTCCTCGTGATTCGTATTCATATATGCTAATTCATAATCTATCATTAAGATCAATTGCTCCTTGCACTTTTGCTCGCACTGTCTAATGTGTGTCGTTATAATTCTCTCAGCTTCCTCACGCAATCGTGGATAACGATTCATTTTCTCAGCACAATATCTGACGACATTTGATAACTCAATAACAACCAAGTCAACACATTTCAAGACGGGCTCTTTAAGTTGAGAAATTTGACGCTTTGTGATTGCTTCAAATGCCATGTCGGGCGTGAAAAGACCAACTCGAATACCGTGGATATTACGAATTGCGAATGAAATTTCACGGCGAAGTTCCTTCTCATCACATGACATTTTAACGATTTCAAAGCGTAATCTGGAAGTTTTGAGGAGAAAAAAATATAAAACAGATTTGATAAGTTACTTAGGAACGGAATGTGTTAATTGAAAAACATTACTCGTGATTCAAAGCATGTCAAAAGATAGGCAGTACTTCTGTTTTTGATCATAAGCAAGTTTGCTTAATTAAGAAATGTACTAGTGGATATTGGAATCGTTGTTAAATGATGTAGTTTCAACCAGTTTCAACCGTTATTTTTCAAATAATTTTTGGCCCAATCAATTTTTAAATATCTCGTGACAGTTATTTTTCAAATACAATTAAGGTTATTTTCAAACATAAGAAGCCCAACATCATTTGTGAACGACTCCAAAATTTGTAGCAAGAGCATATGCATACCTTTCATGGAAAATGCGGTTAATTTTAGCACCACCCGATAGCTCATTTGTGTTGACTAATGCAGAACCAGAACCTTCAATTGTTCGTTCAAAATCGGATTGAAGTTGTTGAATCATCCTGTAATTAAGGTTTAAAGTTAAACAAATGTCATGCCAATTACTAAAGAGTTGTAGACACATACTGTAACATAGCTTTGGTTTTAATACTGGGATCGTCTGGACGAAAATGCTTAAATTGCTCAACATCCTTCTCCAATGTCAACATTTGTTTCTGCATTTTATCTCTTAGTGCTGGTAATGTGTCGCGAATATGATTAGTAAGTTGTTGATTAAGAGTTTTCTGTAAATATGGAGTTCCCATTTTGTCAGCCATGTGTCGATATGATGGATGACTTAAGAAAAACTTTCGTTCCGATTGCATTGCCAATGTAATGTCTTTACGTCCTTCAATATCCTTTTGCGAACGATTAACGACACCAATGTATCCTCGTCTCAACGGTAAAAGACGATTCTCGAGAACATCACGTGCATCAGTTCCTTCGTCCATCAAATCTAATTTTGTTATTACACCAATCGTACGAATACCTTGAGGATCAACCTCTTTTGCTAGTTTAAGAGCATCTGAATTTGCCAAATCAGTGTTGGCAGGCGTTACAGCCAGAATCAAGCAAGTCTCTTTCTTAATAAATTGGAAAATCATTGATTTAATTTGCTGCTCAATGTCTACGGGCTGGTCACCAATTGGAACTTTCGTGAGACCAGGCAAATCGATTAATGTCAAGTTGAGTACTGTAAAGATGAAAAGTGGAACGTAATTAAATTTAATATGTCAGATTTAAATTAATTTTTTGTGATTTTACCGTGAGGTGAATATACTCGAAGATTGATAGGTATATTTGAGATACCCTTGTTACTTCCCGTAACTCGATCAGTTTCATCTTCAATCTCTTTTCGTATCTCGGCAAAATCCATAAACTTCTTGCCTTTGCAATGTAAAAATTCACCGAACTCGACATTGCCATTCATAAGCTGTAGAATTAATGGACGTCGAGTAACAATGCCAGAACCTCGCGGCAAGAAATCCCTGTGTGCGTGCAAATAAAAATAAGAAGAAAGAAATTTTATTATTATCAATTACATATTTCAGTCAAAAACAGGTTTTTTGCCGCGCTTCTTATGTATCGATGGATGAATGGTGTGTCTTGCTCGAAAAAGAATGTCAAGGTCAATAGAAAGAATTCTTTCCTCTCTTTAGCTATTTCATCACATTTTCATGATTCTCAGTTATGTTATATAAACACATAAATGAATGTCGAGTGATTGAAGATGCGAACTTTTATGTGAGAGTAAACTCGCTTGTCTTCTTTCTGTACGAAACGAAAACAATGAAAAAGCATTTTCCTTATAAATGACTCATATATCGCGCAATTTACACATGGTCTGTAAAGATCGTGAGATTTAAAATCCACATCTGATGCTTGGTGCTTCCATTAAAAAAATAAATCTCTCGCTAAACGGTCCATAAATATTATTTCTCTTGATATTTTTTTTCAAATTGTTGCGCGTTTTTTCAAAAGCATTTTATTATGATTTATAATTTGATTAAAGATTCACTTTGTTTTCAATCAAAATTAAATAAACGGATTTTAAAAATTTGAATTTTATCATGAAAACCTTACAAATGTTCAAAAATAATTTATAGGGTTTTGAAACATTTAAAAACATTTGTATGGTTCTGTACCATTTGAAGTTGTTTAAAAATTTAAAATATGAAAAACTGTTATTTTTGACAAGTTTTAATAATTTTTAAATTGTATTAAGCCGATTTAATCTAAAGTAGAATGAAAATTTGAAAAAGGCGCCTCAGCCTCAAGAGTTTAAAGCTATAACGCTGACAAAAACACTACTTCATAATGAAAACAAGCACAAAATAACTTTGTATAAAATTAATGAATTATTAATTCAAAGCTGGTTATTAAAAATCTATGCTGGATCATATTCAAGGGAGTTCACTGATGATAAAAAATGAATTTTAACAGAATCACAAAACCCTTTGTAATCATGCTTGATAAGGATAAATGAAGTACATAAACTATTGTCTGAGTAGCTAGTAATATTACATATAAAAAACACGAACTCATGTGCTGCTTCAAATTAGCGAACAACCTGATTCATAATCAGTATTATAAAATAATTTTCACTTTCGTGTGTATAACAAGTTAATTTATTTGTAAAAACAATGCAATTGACTACATAAACAGAAGTAAATGATAAATCAAAAATTAGTAAATATGGGGCGAGTGAGTAACAAGTGGATTTTCTTAATTTCCTGCCATTCGATACCTCAAGTTCATGTTTTTCTTAAAGATACAAAAAAAACATATTTCAAGAGGTTTTCAAGTCTGACGCAATCAAATACAATTAGCACTTGACCGATAGCTTAGTTAATTAATTTTAGTGTAGTGGTTTTTTGGAAAGCGAATTATTGAAGAATGCCTAAGATATCTAGTAAAGGAGACAACATCGCGCATGAGCATCAAAATCCATTGATTTCTTAAATTGGTATATTTGAGACGTCTTATAGAATTTTTTTCTCATTCTATCTTCCCGACTATTGTTAATAAGAATATGAAGATGTCTTTTTTGCAGCTACATTGACGTCTAAAATTACAATCGAAGAGTGATGAACAATGAATGGCATGACATCATGTATTTTTGTGCCTTAATGATAAAAAAAATCTCGACTGACTCGTATACAGGCACACAAGTATTTTAAATTTAATTCTTTTCAGTACCTAATTTTAGTGTTTTTGATTGCTATGCGAACATAAAAGAAGTAAATTGATCGTTGTAAGACGAGAATAATGTCAATTAAATTGCTGAGTCTTAAAGTCTGTCTCTATGAATCATTTGGCTTTAACATTGTTTTAAAACAACACACAAATATGATTAAATTCTAGGCTTTTTAGATAACAGAAATGCCACTGACGATAAATAATGCTTTACAAGTCCCGCATGTCTTTAATCTTATCACAAACAAAAGAAACTGAATCATAATAAATTAATTCGTGGATGATTCATTTGTCGACTATTTAACATCCACCTACGAATTAATAGATGGATATATCAAGTTATACAATAGTGGGGTCTTTTTTTTTTTGACTAAACTGTGTCCTTTACACAATTTCTCGTTGAAAAATGAAAATCAATATTTGAGTACGAGATAATTCAATGGAAATGACACCTTTAATAGCTATTATGCTTGTCTAGCATGAATTAGTTGACGAATTGCTTTGAAATTACGTCAATATCGTAACATTTAAGTTTCCCCATATTCACTCATTCAACAAGACTTCAATTGTTTTTATTATCACTGGAACTTTTTTTTCATGGGCGTAGAGAGGCGCTTTATGTAGTCAGTCATTTTTTTGTTGTGAAAAACTATGTACAAAGATACTTTTTTAATTCAATGAATTGAATAATAGACACACTGCGTATTTATATATGCGAAATTTTCCACTCATGTTTTGAATCCTTGTCCTTCAACCGTCACTGGATCTTTTTCTCACTTTATATTTTTGCTCGCTTGTATCGCGTAATGTACTTTACGAACACATATTAAGGCACCATCATCGATTTTTTCACATTCAATTTTTTAAGTCATTTTTCACTGACTGGATCTTGATTTTTCGTTTGGAATATACTTACTTGCCAACAAAGTTCTCCAATACAGATGATTTTCCTGCAGATTGACCACCGACGACAGCAATTTGAGGCAAATCAATTTGCATATGAACACCTAAACTTGTGAATGCATCTTGTAGCTTATTAATGATGGGAATTAAGCTTTCCATTCCCACGTTTCCCGACATGGCTGGTCGGAGTCTGTTTTATACACAATTCACGTGAAAAAAGACTTTAAAAACCCAATTTTTCCGAAATTTTTCTCGATTTTCAAATTCTTTTTTGATTTTTTTAAAATCAATATTTCTTTGCAAGTTGGAAACAATTGCGATTATAAGTGCGATTTTCTCAAATTGAGTACGGTTTTCTCAAAAGTTCAAATTTATTTTACTCGTTACACTATCTCGAACATAGAAGCAGTTATTGGGCTCAACTTAAAGCTAGTAAAGTTATAGTTATACTCAACTTAATTACAGGTAAATTGGCTAAATTGAGTAGTTAAAATTCGAATGAAAAACAATTGTTTTTTAAATTGAAAAAATCCGTTAAATACTGTTAATTACATTTTTCAGATATGGTCTTTATTTTTGAGCTGTATAATAATAATATAACTTACAAAATGGGATTATGCGACAAAGAATTTACAAAAAATATGGTGTAATTCGTTGGGGTGGAACAACTCTTTCAGTATCAGGAACGGCATTAAATATCTTACAGTTTCTTTGTTTGCTGGTATCAAATGACAAGATTGAAGCTACATTTCCACAACGATAGCAATAATTAGGTGCACTCCAAACAGTCACAAGCTTCTCTTGAAACATATATTTGATTCCTTCATGAACTAATTGATGCGCTCGACAGATTAGTTCCAATGCATTACGTTCCATAAAGTCTTCAGTTACAAGAGATCCAAATAACCATCCAGCACCTCTCGGTGATTCAGCCCAAGTATCTAATCAATAAATTCTCATTAGTTTAGATCACTATAACATGATAATAAAGTAACTTACCCATATCTTCTGGATCTGACCAGACAAGGTCACAAAAGGCACCTTTATGGGGAATTTCAACATTTCTATTAATCGTCCGGATCTGATCCAGCGTCTTTACTTCAGGACTCAAGCCACCATGCACGCATAGAATAGATTCATCGATTATTGCAGCAATTGTAAGCAAGTCAAAGACTCTACAACAAGCTTTCCAAGCATTAACATTTCCATATTTTGTCAGACATTCATCATAAAATCCATAGACCTTTGTAATCTGTCTTGATTCATGATTTCCTCGAAGTAAAGTAATACGACCTGGATATCGTGCCTTTAAAGTCAGCAGACGAGTGAATGTTTCTAAACTGTAATATCCTCGATCCACAAAATCGCCCATAAAAATATAATTCGTATCAGGAATTTGTCCACCGCATCTAAATAGCTCCTCGAGATCATAGAACTGTCCATGAATGTCACCGCATACTGTTACTGGAAGATCTACTGGATGAATATTGCTTTCTTCTGTTAAATAGTCACAAACTATGTCACACAGCTGCTTCAGATCATTCTCCGGTAAATATTTGCACTCTTTTGCGATCTCTATCCACTTATCTAGGTCAGCCATCTCTATTAATTACGTTAAATTGACTAAAACTGATCACTTTAATTTTTTTATTTTTATTATTTTTTTTTTACAAAAAGGTGTCAGAAACTCTGAAAGGTGTGGGAAAAATTTGAAAAGTAAAAAACCGTTCCTTTTTTTTAAAAAAATTTATTCATTCAAGTAGATATCGAAAATTTTAACATAGACTTATTTGATTAAACGTTTTTGCTGTCTCAATCGATATATATCATTTGCAGGTGGGTTTGCTGCATTTTCATCATCTGAATCATCTCCACCGCCTGGCAAAATTCGACGTCTCTTCATACCTTCATTTGTGTATTGATGACTTTCGTCTACAATCCAATGGACTGATTTGGCTAAATCAAACAACTTCGTGTCTAACCCATTCTCAGCAACAGGAACTGGAGCTTTAAATTGATCGAATTAATAGAGAATCGAAAAATAATAAGAATATACGTACTGTCAATTTTGATCTGATTAAAGACATCAATGAGCTTATCAACAGACACAAATGGTCCTCTGTAGCATACAGGAGGTGGTATAATAGCACATAATGCAGCCAAAGCTGGTGGTTGTGGAAATGTGCCGCCTCCCATTGGATGTTCTCCATTATAAGCATTAGCTTTTGGTTTAAAAGGAATCATTTGAGAGAAATCAGGTCGCGGCAAGACCTTTTGTGATTCCTCTTCCTCTGGATTTTGCTGAACAACTTTTTGACCTGTACTGATTGACGAGATTTCATGATATCCAACAGATTTAAGCTCTGGCTGAGTACATGGAAATAAATCTAGGAACTTATATCGATCAATCAATTGTGCTGTCTCTTTGCCTTCATATTCTTTCAAGTTCTCTAAAACAGCACTTCGACGACGCTCTACTTTAACAATTGATGACAAATCGCCAATATTTGATTCAAACTCTAAGAACTTGTTCCAGATCTGGACAGACAATTGATTTGTAAGCCCTCCACTGGATAGAACTCTCTCAAATAGAACTCGTGTATTATTATCCTCATTTAAATGCGATAAGTAGTCGATGTAGCACAAGACATATTCAGGACTGCCCCCAAATCTCTTCAGACCTAGCTCGAAAATTCTAAATGCTATGTCCTTATCCTTACTACAATAATATTCCATTAAAGCAGCAGCCACAAAGACATGATAACGTGATCGAACATCTTCTCTTGCTTTCTTAAAAACTCCACGTGCTGTCTTGATTCCTTCGGCTCGTCTTGTGAATTTCATGTATTGGATGTAAATCTAGTAGATTAAAAAGGAACTTTAATGGATATTGAGGCACTTTAGATAAGTTTAAGCTTACCAAAGTAGGATCAATATCAGGAATTGATAAGAACTTGTTGTACATTTGATGGACTTTTTCGTACTTTAATCGACCTTCCTCAAAATCAGCAAATATGAAATAAATCAAAGCATTTTTGACCATAACTCCATTTATGGCTCTTTCTAAGATATTTGAAACTTCATCGTAAAATATTTTTGCTGCATTTGTGTCCTAAATTGTTGTAGAAAATACATTTTCAAGGTTTACAAAGTTCAAAGCAGTCGAGGGATATGTTTTAAGCAAGTTAGACTATGTTGAATAAGTAAAACACAATTTGTGAAGGTTTTGAGAAATTGATGATGAACTAGATTTCTTTTAAAGCTTAGGACATGCAGTAGTACATATTTAAGCTATGAGCCTTATAAATCAGAACCAACTAAAATCATGTCTATAAAACTGCTATAATCTTGCTATAATCCTCAAACTGAGCCTATTAGCTCACACAAAACTAGCTAGCTTCAAGAAATAGTTCATCAAAATTTCAGTGACCTTCAAATTGACAAGAAAAAAGACAATTGGAGGTTTCGACTTTGCAACTTGATTCCATCAAAATGATGAATTTATTGCACATTCACTAATATTTTTTTTTTATCATCACAGATCATCAACTTATCACAGATGCTGTAAAGGAAAGAAATATCTTGGCATTAATATCATTTATACATACGGCTTTTTCGGTCAAGTGCTTTGCAGTTATGTCCAAATATTGCGCTGCCATGATCCAGAAGCTGCAATGAAAGTCATTAGTTTTGTTTTTGAGGATTTAACAGTCAATAATTTACGAAGGATGATGACACATAACTAGCAAGCACTGTTCTGTCGCAAACATGACACGCCGGGAAACTAGTGCTGTATCTTCACTTCTGAGCGGATTTGACTTTTCAAAATTGATGAACTTTCTCCACAATTCAGCCTAATATAGGAACAAATTGTTAATGATACAATCTGACATTTTTAAGCATCAATTCATACCTGTTTAAATTCTTCTTTCAACAATGTTGGTGGAACAGCTGGTAAGTTCCTATTTAAGCCTTTTGTGATATTTTCAAGTTCCTTAGCGACACGTCGAGCATTCATATAGTCTCGCGATCTTTCCAAGCTCATTTTCTCAGAAATGACTGGATTGATGTTGTGCTCAAATTGAATGTATTCCTTCCAAAGCACTTCTATACCAATAATTGGTGTCAAAACTGCTTTCTGATAAACTTTGCGGATTGCAGTGATTTTTTGATTCTCAGCAAAACTTCCAATTGGCTCGAAACTCTTTAAAAAGTTGATGTAATCAGACCAGATTGAGAAAGAATGAAGATCCATTCCTATTTTCTCGAGAGCAAAGTCATAGGCTTGTGCAAGCTTTTCCCTGTTAATTATAGAATAACATTGGTAACTGCTTATTGGGATATTAATTAACTTACTTGTGTGTACTTAGTCCTGCCTTATTTTCCTTAACATAAGTAAGATAAAGTTTCCACAAATCAAGGTTTAGAATTTTCACAAGACATCGCTGGAAAAGCTTCTCAACTCTTTCAAAATTCTTTGATTTCATTTCCTGCTCAATGTATATCTTCCAGTAACGAGCAGTTGTTGGGAAAATAGCCACAAGTGATTCATAAAGCGACCGAACTTCATTACAATTTCGTGATTGTGCTTCTCTCAGTAATATAGACCAGCTTTCAATGTCGTATGGACGCAATTCAACTGTTTGCTGAGCTCTTACTAGCCTTTCGTGTCCCCATTCCTGAAAAATAAGATTCAATAGTTAACTGGATGTTTGGAATTTTATAAATTTTGAGTATTGATGACTTTTTTTATGATATTAAGACATATCCAGCAATGCAATTAGCAGGAATGTATAATGATTTAAGAAAATGTGTTAATCAGACTCACAATATCAATTTTAATTAAATTTTCTCCCATAATTTAGCCGAACTTGAAATTAACATGCAATTATCAGGTTTTTCACTGCACAATTTACTCTATGCTGTTTACCGTAGTTGATTTTACTTGATGAAATACTTATAGACTTAGTTAAACTTGATTTTACGTGGTAAAATTAAGAAAATTAATTTTGATAAAAACAATGCAAAAAGTACAGTGTAACTTGCTTCAATCTTAACCTTTTTAATTTTAAAAAAGTATGCAGCAACTCTATAATTTCAATTCCTGATCCTTGAATGTTTTTAATTGCTTTAGTTTATTCCTTTGTAATGATATTTACAAGAACTTATTTACAAGAACTTAATTTAAAATTGTAAATTTCCTTTGTTATTAATCTTTAAACATGCTCAAAATTGCTTAAAATAACGAGCAGAAGTTATTTAAATTTTTAACGGTAATTCAAAATTCAAATATTATTCAAGAGCAGCATACAAAAACATTTGAGTCGTTATTTATTCAAATATATTTTGACAGTTAATATTTTAAAATTTATTTCAATTTAGTTGTTTGAAAGTGAAAAGTGCGCTAAACAGCCACAAAACCTCTTTAATTTCAATTTCCTGCGCCTGGATATTGATTTTTAAGAAATTTTCAAGAAGATAAGAAATTTAAAGAAAAACTTAATTTCATAAATTTGTGTGCATCATTTAATATTCTAATATCGTCAATTTACACCATAATTCACCGATATAGTGTATAAAGCTCACAGAATTATCATAAAAGTCATACGAAGGAAAAACAGCCAGCATCAGACCGAGAAAAAAAGAAGTAAACATTTTCATATCATTTTAATAAAAGCAGACAACATAAATCATGGTAAATATTATCAACAAGCCTTATCGTATGTGCTATTTGAAAGTAATTTGTTAATTCCGCTCTTGTTTATATCATAAGATGAATTACATCTCTTGAATAGCACATACGTAATCTATCTATTGGAATTTTCATTGTTTTAAATTTCTCAACTCATTCCTCTTTCCATATTTTACAGGATAAAGTCATTGGATTATTGTCAAAAGCAAACCCAAATCAAGCAAATCAGCCGGACGATGGAACTCCATGGTATTTTAAATATGGATCACGAGCATTAGGAATAATTGGAGCATTCTGTACGTGGCAAAAAAGTTTAATAGTTTAATTCACATTTAAAAACTTTCCCTGACTGACTGACTCATTTACTAGCTTGTTAATTGGCTTCATTTCCGAATCATATCATTTTTCATACGTTACTTATGTATGCTTGTCTCTTCTATCACTCTAGTCTGTATTCTCTTCGGTCTTTGGAACTGCCTGTCTATCCTTGTAGGAAATGTATCATGTCTAGTTTCGGGTATTCTACAAGTTTGTGTGGGATTCGCTGTTATGGGAGTCGAAGCACCGTTCTGTTGTATGTTCATTGATCATGTACAAACGATTTCAAAGAAGGTCGACGAGAAGCCAGTGTGGATTCGAGGTGCTCTGTATTGCATGTAAGTTCATTGATTTTCCTTAATATATTTGCATAAGTTCCTAATTTCAATAATAATGTGGCATAATTTGTCCTTTTTTAGACTTGCTATTATTCCAGTAGTTTTGTGCCCAGGCCTCGGAAGTCTTTTTGCGTGCGGTCTCGTTTTCGGATGTGGTGTGATTTACGGAATGATGGGACTCGGCAAGAAGTAAGTACTACCTTAACATCAATATATTGATTTTCAGTTCAATGTTCATGTCAAACGATTGCTGTCTTTATTATTTTTTTTACTTTCTGTTCCTTGATATTAAATTTATAATTATAAATTAATAACATGAAGTGAAGTTTTTTTTTGTGACTCATATGGTGTGTGACTACTACTTTTTCTTGTTTCTTTTTTTCTTTCTCTTCTAATCGATGCTAACAAAATTAATTGAACTATGTACATAAAAAATCCTTTGTTATAAATTGTCATTAAAAAAAACTTGTGCGATGACTATCCAAAAAAGGGGTACACGTGAAGACATGGCCGCAGTAGCATCACCAACATCACAAATGCCAACGAATGATCAACACAATATACTCATTGAAGATCCAGATGTCTGGAGATCTTAAAATGTGTTCAACGATAACGATAATAATGATTAACGATACAATACAAAAAAATATATAACAAAAAAAAATCATCCTATAATATCCTCAAAAAAAATGCATAACAATTAAATACCTAATACCTAATGATAAGTTTACGTTTAAAGTCCCCTCGATCATTTCCTCACATCATTGGACTCATTTTAAAATGGTTTTAATTCATAAAAATAATACTCATGATTAACTGGCAAAAAAAAAGCATCATAATCCAATAATCTACCTACTTAAACGACTTATTGTAGTATTCAGCATGATAATCAAAGGCAAATATTCATTTACTCATTTTTAATGTAGGATCGAACATAATTTTAGTGTCTAAAATGCTTTAGTTTTTTGGGTTTATTGTTTTTTGTTTGCATGTTGTACTTGTGATGTTGTGAGCATAATGGGATATTTCCAGTCTGTTAATTTCGAGTCTTCATCGTTTTTATGGGATTCAGGCTCTAACATAGCATTATCGATGATTGACCAATATTTTGCACTAGATGTGCCGCGATACCAAAGATTCCACTATGCTTCGACACAACAGTCCTTAAAATTATTCAATTTTATTTATTTTTTTAATTGTCATTCACTAATTTATGCTTTAACTTCATTTCCACCAAATCATCTCGTCAATCGAATGTTAATTAATGGAACAACAGAGCAAGTCGTGAAGAAATGGCAGCAGCTGCGGCAGCACAGCAACAACAAGGTAGTAAAACAGCACCAGGAGTTAATTTAGTCAGTAATGCTCAACCAATAGCTCATTCAAATCCACCATTTGTCAATACTGTGTAAGTTGATGATTGATTGAAAATCTGTGAGAGTGAATCAAGCGAATGGTTTTAATTATATTATTATTATATGTTAGATAATATTTTATTATTATTATTTTGGAAAGAAACATGAAAACATTCTGTTATGAAAAGAACTGTGACATAAGTGAAAAGATTCGCTAATTATTTTGAGGGAAATTCTGTTGTAGAATTATAAATTTTGAATCGATTTGCATCTTTTATCAAATGGTTCATCTCGAGGCTGCTTATAGCTACTTACAAGACTTAATTGACTAAATTTGTAAAAATTCACACTTAACGGTTAAAATAAATTCAAATATTATGAACATTTTTGAAAAATTCAAAAATTATTCTACCGTTATTTTTTGAATTTTAAATATTCGTTAGACAATCCAGAGTATAAAAGTCGCATAAGCAGTAATTGACTAGATTTTTATTTGAACCATTCGTTGGCATTTAATTAAATTTAAGAAAAAAATTTTAGACCTTGATTTGCCAATTTTGTGAGAGATGTGAATTGAAATAAATTATGTGAGTGGATGACAATGAGTCCATTATCAATTAATCTACTTTATAACTTAACATTAAAAATACATATTGATCGTGTATTATAAATTATATTATTGAATAATTAAAATTTTCTACAGAATTAATTCATTTCGCGGTTTCCTTTAAAAATCAACTTTGAATTGATTCTTTAGATTAATTGTTAATTCTTAAACCAATTTCAAGTTTGAAACACAAAATAATTGCAAAAAAGACAAAAATTATTAATTACGTTTGGGCATTTTTTAAGTTTTTTACGCTTTCATGAGTTCTTTTAAGCCTAACAAAAGAAGTTATGTTGAATGGCTATAACATGCTTTAAAGTAAAATGATAAATTATTTTCTTCGTAGAGGAGAAAGATAAGCAGACTTAGATGCATACATATACATAAATACTGACAAAATATTACTTAGAAAAGTTTCGTTATTTTATTTCACTGGAGATCGATAGACATCACGTACATTTTTAGCCAAGATAATGATGGGATTTGTAATGAAAATCATCTTTAATGAGAATCAATCACACGAGATTCTTTTTTTTTGTAGACAAACTTTTTTCTGGACGTGACTGTTTAGTCAAAATGTTTAAGATATCAAATAGTTTCGGGCTGATCTGAAAAGTTTTTGGATATTGATTTATACATCTTTAACTTCAAGTATTAGTCATATGCTCCTACTGAGTCAAGGAAGATTCATCAGATTGAGATTTGAATCCACGCTTTATGAGCTTTGCTCAGCATAAGTTTGAAGAACTAGACTTTTACCCATACAACGCCTTATTGAAATCAATGGCGAATTATTATTTATAAGTGCACTCTTTCATGGTTTATCGTTGACAGGTTACTATATGAAATAGCAATTCTAACAGCAAGTTGTAATGCTAGCCCAAAAAGTCGATTGAATGCTTTTTTAAATGTAATTTGATACTGAACGTATCTTAAATCAAGTCATTAAAACCTCTAATATTACCTACAGTATTCTTGTTAACACCATTTGGCATTTAATCTTGTCCTTATGAGTTCAAACCTTTGAAATTCGAGCATTGTAATTATTGTTCAATAAGCTCCGTTTGAGGTCTGAGTTCTAAAATTTGAAATCAGCTAAAGTTGAATCTACTCGAATATAGTTGATTCTAAAATTAAACTGGACTCGACTGACTCTAAAGTATGTATAGATAATTTTAAAAAATACCAAAATATTCTCAAAAAGATAGAAATATTCAAAACAAATCCTATTGAAGTCGACACAAGTAAATAAAGTTCATAGATGAAGAATCAGCCAACATAAAATAACATATTCAAAAACATAAACATAAAAAGTATTCTGAATGACCACTTTTAACAAGAAATATATTAACATAAATGCATAAAAAAGATATTTAATTAATGAAGAAAAAAAAATGTTGAATTATTTACAAAATAAAAAAAAAAATGTTCATTGCAATAAATAAACTATAATGCAGTACGAAAAAAAGCTATAAAAAGTGAAAAAAAATCATAACTAGAAAATAGGAATACAAAAAAAACGTATTTTAGTAAAAATTAAGCTGTTAAAATAAAGAAGAAAGTTAAAATAAATAAATAAATCCCGACGAAGAATAAAGTAATAAAAATTTATAGATGTTGTGAATGTTTACATGAAAAATCTAAAAAATCAAGCAAATTTCATGCATTTTGAAAACGAAAATAAAAAAAAAAGTTTAAAAAATTAGATCAAAATTTAAATTCAATGAAAAAAAAAAATTAATAAACTTATCCTTCCGATCTTTATGTGAAAAAAGAATATAAAATCATTATTTAGGTAAATTATTGGAGTTCTTTTTTCTCAATTATGCTGTCTCATTGGCAATAAATCATGCAAAATTCTTTTGACCTCGACATTATGTTCTGTTTAATCGCGTTCTTATTTGAATGTGCTAGCTATGCACACGAGATAAGAAATCTCATTGAAGCTCAAATCCAGTTCAGTGGTTTTTTTTATCTCTAGTCGACTAGCATGTAACATAGATGTTAAGATTCTTAAAATTGATTTTTAAAGAATTTGTTCAATTTTTTTATTGATTGTCAAGTTTTATTGGTCTGATGACTGTCTGTCTTCGTTGTGACTTTTTTTTTGATTCAATGCCAGTTTGTTGACAATAAATTCATGGATTGTCTCCAAATCTTCTGGGTTCTCATTTCTATTGACAACCAGATCAATTTAAAGCTAATGTAGATTTCTCATACTCAACTTTAATCTTACAAATTCCAAAGATCTACTCTGTAATCTAAAGTTGCTCATTCTAAGACTATTACATCAAACAGTTTGAGATTTAAGGTTATTTAAGAGGAATGTCAAAGATGCTTGACTTCCTTTCTAGATAAACTCCTTATCTTCAAGTTCAAACTTAGTTCAATTCTTCATCGATTGCCTCAAACTATTCAGAGATGTTTTTAAAATGCAAAAAAATGATAAAATTGCCATTGAGACACGACTATACTTTCCATCTTTGTTACTATCCTATTTTCTATTTCTAAAATCAAAGGAATATCGTAAATAAAAAATAATGACAATTACATATCGATATAAAAAGAAAATTGAGAAATAGCAGAATAATGTTATCGAATCAACAATGTTTTCTTGGTTATCTTCTTGTAATCAATATTTATACTTTGCTTTCTTTCTTTATCTTATTCTTTTATTATTATTTAATGCATGTATAATTGAAACAAAAGAATTATATACATAACTAATGTAATAATGATATTTCCATGAAAAACAAAGAAAAACAATGAATAAAGAAAAGAAGAGTGAAATTAAAAATGCTCAAGGCTTAGTTTGTACTTCTTTCGAGGAATTCTTTAGGTTTTCATTAGAATTTGCTCTGGTTTAGCTGGAATTGAAGTAATTTCTCACATTTATAGCTGTAATGTAGAAAGTAGGAGTGGATATTTAATTAATTGTCCAGGAAATTCTATTGCTTGCCAATTAATTCTGTTGTCCCTCAGGCTTATTACTTAATTATGGCTTTAAAAGATCATTGATCGATGCTATCAGAGAAATTTATGTGATTTTTAAGTTATTCAGCTTTCTGAACGGCTCAAACTACGAATCGTTTTTGTTTTAAATTTGAAAAAACCATTGAATTTTAAACATTAATTTCAATTTTCACAACTAGTTAAAAACTGAAATTATACTGATTTTAAGGAAGAACACCAAATAATTTGTTTTCAAAAACTTAGTTTTTCATATTTTTTATTTTATTTATTTCTTTTTGTGCATTTTACAAAATAAGAAAATTTTTATTCTATTAAAATTAATTATCAGTAAGTAAATTTATTAATTTATTGTCAATCTCTATAAGAAGTTTCTGATTGATTCATTTTATTTTTCATATATCAGGTTAAATAATCACAAGGCAATTGCATAAAAAATTCTCAATCGAAAAACTCCATAGAAAGTGTTTTCATTTCATTAAGTTTAAATTGTTAACTATTTTTTTGTGTCTTTACTCCACTTATCATAAATTATATAAAATTTTTAAATTCTTTTTCCATTTTTTGCATAATTTTCATTTTGAAATGCTTCACAGAAGATTTGAATACCTTAAAGTATATAAAACTTAGTATATTTCGCATTATAATCGAATTTTAGGATAAAATTAACTACGATCTAATGCCTATCGTGAATGCCACGAGACTAATTTGCAGCTTTTAGCCTTGTCGACATCATAATTAAGATTTCCTGAGTAAAATTTTAAATTTTGGCGGGAAATGTTAAAAAATCTTAAAAGTTCCCTTAAAATTAACCTCAATGTAAGCTACATGATAAGATCTTCTCAAATTAACCCACATTCAACGTTAATTACATGCTGACAAGGCCTATTTTATTAAAATTATGCAAAAAATGAAAAAAGCTTCAGGACAAAAAAAATCTTCTTGTTAATTTAAAATATTATTTTTTTATCTTTCATTCAGCAGAAAATAAAATCGTCTTTTTTTGTTGTAGTTTAATAAATAACTTAACTACTAAAAATACTATTTCAAAGGACTCATTCTGAGAATATTCTTTAAAGTTTAAAAAAATCATCTCAGAAGAAATTAAAAAAATTTTAATTTAAAATTTAATTGCAGGCTTTTTTCTGTTTCATCTTCTTACTTACTCGACGTTGTCTTTTGTAAATGCTTCTCTATTGAAAGTTAATAAATTAAGTATTATGCAAGTTTTAAGGCATCATTTTAGGTGGTGACATCCATTTCTTAGTAAAGTAACAGAATAGTGTGCAGAGGTATACGAAGACCATCAAAGCACATGTTATTGCAAGAGCAAGAACTGATGTTTTTGTGGGACATGGCTCAATGATTGTAACGGTTTTATCTGCGTTTCATTTCATGTGGGAAAAAAAGAGAAATTTTTTTACAATTATTATTATTATTTATGCATATTTCCATGTGTACTGCATAGCATTTAAAATACAATAGTTATTACCTCTTCCGAAGTCGGTGCTTGGATCGGAACTTCTAAGGAAATCTTTGTTGTTCTCGTCACCAAAATCAAGAACGAGAATTTCTTGTGAAATCATGTTCATCTCTTCATTATTCTCTGTCTCATTGCCAACGGAACGACGTTTTCTGCCCCATGATTCCATTGAATCTCTTCCCCATTCACAGACGGCTGGCTCACATGGTCCTAAACAGTATTTAACATTACATTGGAAAATGACACCATAACTCTCCGTGAAACGGAAAGCTTCATAGACTGACTGTAGTGCATTGCCGTCTGGTGTGAATCCTGGGAAGATGAGTTGATCAACTGGACATCTGTATTGGATATTTCAAGTATTAGAAGAAGTTTGAAACATGCTAGAAAAGCTTTATCTTACCCGTCGTCATCAATAATTTGGAATGTACTCTTCGAGTCTTTAGCCATGGCGACACATGATCGTGCAAAGATGCCGTATGGGGCTAAATAGAGAAAGAAGAAATAAGAGATAAATAAGTATGTAAATTTCTATAACAATATGAATAGACTTACTATCTTCTGGAATTTCAATTCTGAATGTCAAACGATCTCCAATACGAACAGTTTCAACCTCACGATTTCGTGCATCCAAAATGCGAATTCTTGGTGGTGGAGCTTCAGGCGATGAGTTGATATGAATCATTTCTTGATCACGAATTGGCATCATGCCGAATGTAATGTTCTTAGAGCTCATATCGTATGTACATTTAACCTTGTAGATTTTATCAGCTTTTGTCATAACGACACTATGATGTTGTAAGACGACGGTATTAGTATAGACACCAGTGATTTGTTGTGTATTACAGTCTTGTCCGCCCATTGTCAAATCAAGACGGAAAGTGTCGGAGTTAATAACATCAATATTACATGTTTCTGAACGCCCTAAAGCATAGATTCTACCGTTGAATGGCTTATTGGTGCGAACTTGTACAGCGATTCTTGTATCCTTGCAGTGAACTGACACATCATAGCATGTACCAGTCTTATCGCAATTCACATCAGTTCTTGTCAAATTGTTAAGGGTTGGATCTTCAGTGGCATCAAAATGGACGGGAAGCGTGTTTTCAGTTGAGGACGGTGACGTTTCTATAATTAGCGAGTAAAATTAAGATTTAAATCAATTTAGTTCCATGACTATGGATGCCTTACTTTCACAGAAATTTTCCATATATGTTCCAGTCGGTTCACCAACATCAATCAATGGACGTTCAAGATTAAGATAAGTTGATGGTCCGTCTGGGAGTGTCTTATGATCGAGATGATACAATCGGCAATTGTATTGCTGTCCAATTGGATGACCGAGATACAAGAATGAACGACATAAGAATTCATTTTCGATTTCACATGCTAATTTACAGGCAGCCTCAGAGGTAACTTGTAATTCTTTGTCGGTATAGTAATGAAGTCCAACATATTGTGCAACTTTATCTTCCGATACACCAAAACGTGGAGCTTGAATCACGCGATTGTACTTGCATGCATTATTCGACTTTAGACAGAGATTCTCGAAATAGTCTACACCTTGCGCGTCGACAAGTTGAACATATTGTCCCGTTGTACGACGATCGGCATCACTGAGCACACATTTCATGTTGTTATAATCATATTCGACTGATCGGCATATGAAATTTCTCTAAATAATAATAACGGCAAATTTGAATAAGCAATAGGTATCGCTTTTGTCTTGTATTTTGTTCTGTACTTACCTCATTAAGACATGCTGACAAGCAAGCTTCTTTTGTACTCGTATAAATGAGAGCATTGTCCAAGCCACGAATAACTTTATTTGGTACTCTTTCAAATGACCATGGTCTCATGCAGACATTCTCTGATCGAATATTTAATTTAACCATGTAATATGTGCTGTATGATCGTTGAGGTGTTGCTGTTGGATCAAAAGCTGTCGTTGTATTTTGTAATTGACAATTCGTCTCCTGTTCTGGTGTTAGTGGATTGAGTGCAAAACTAAAGAACGCTGCTACGCATTCCGGCTCTTGATTACACCATCCTTGACATTCATATAATGATAAATTCTTTACACTGTAATACGTTGTGCCAGGAAAATCATAGTCTGTGAGCTTTTCAAAGGCAATTTTACCAAAAGCGGTAGCTATTTGTACTAGGAATATTAATAGAATTGTCTTCATCTCTTCTTATTTTATTATATGCTATTCTGCAAATAGATAGAGATAATAAAAGCAAATTAGTTTCAGTTCTCTAGCGGAAGCATGAACAAAAAAGAATCATTGAGGCAATTACTACAGATGATGATTGAATTTGTTTCGCATAACTTCTCGAATGATTGATTCTGATTGATACTTTATTGCAATATAGATTTCTTATTGCTGCTGCTGCCAATGGCTAATGTCGAGTTTAATGTTTATTTTGTAATTGGATTTAAAGTGCATTTTCTGCAGCTGAACAGAAGCTCCTATACCGTATACCCGGTGAATACAAAGTTCTATTTGGAAGAATTACTGAGTTTGTAGTTCATCACTTGCATTCTAGTTGCTGCTCTCGAGATATAACTTTATAAACCTAAGAATTGAGATCCAGTCTGTCTAGGATATTGACAGTTGGCTTGGATCACTCAGATAAGTATCAAAATCACTCAACAACCCAAGTGTTTCACCTCTATTTGACAACTATACCTTCATACACAACAAAACAAGCCCCATCCTTAGACCTGCCTTAGATCTCACCTTTCCATATCTTACAAAGATTGGAATATCTTTTAAGCTTTATAATAGACATAGATTATCAAAAATGCTTGAGGACATCAAGCTTTCAACAGACAATGAAGATTTTAGACACTTTCAATTCAGATCAGCCTACAAGTAGATGCACAGACACTCTCCAAAAGTGAAAGCAAATAAAAATCTGCAAACATTTTTCGCACAGCACAGCTAACTTAAATACATAGCAGGATGGCATTAAAGAATTTTCTATTTGAAAGCAAAATTATCTTTGAATAGCCAGGTACAATACCTGATGAGAAAGTCATGACAAGAGCAACTGGATAATTAGATTTAATTCTATACAATGTCAATTGGACATGGTTTGTGTTCTGTATTTCAATCACTTCTGATTCTTCTGTTTAAAATGAAGCATGAATCTATTCTTAACCATCCATGGATTTATTTCACACACAAAATTATTTTTAAAGTAGAGAAAGTGTCCAAGGAACTAGTCACGGCCGCAATAAAATGAAGAATTCATTTCTTTTTAATTGCTACCGTACCTTCCTGCCATTGTGCTTATTTAAAGCTGCATTAAAGATTCATTAAATTTAACTTAAGGGAAATTTCCGAGATCAACGTGTTGCTACATCCATTATATACTATTATTCATAATTAAGTCATAAAATGTGCTTAGATTCATCAAATAAGAGTGCATTGAAGTCGATCAATTACTTTTATATAAAGCAACTTAAAAAAGAGAAAAGAAGTAGAAATTGAGAGCATAACTGGATCAATATTCAATAAATATTATGATGAATGTGAATTGCACTGTAATGAATAATGAGCATGCAACGTAGGCTGTTCGTGTGGTCTAATTTCTCAGCAGGTTCTTTCGCCGTATATACACACATACTCATCAAATTGTAAGAGAAGAAGCATTTCATTATATTTATTTATAAGCAGAGATAAACGGCATCATTGGAACTGCAGTTATGATGCTCGATGGCTCTTTTGCATGATTTTTTGATTCGATGGACGTATTTAAAGAAGAAGGTAAGCACGAAGGTATTTTTATGTCAATAAGCTCATCAAGATTTTATTATGTTCTATTATGAGCCTATTGTAAGCTTTAGACTCGGGAAAATTTCCTTTAAATATGCAAAACTATTCAAATAAGAAGTTTAGATAATTTAACTTCTGTTGTGCATTCTTATTCAAAAAAAAAAGCTAGTCATAAAATATACGTACATTGAGAATTGAATGCCATAAAGTAACAAAACCTATTAAATGAAGCATGCAAAACTTCATGCATGAAACCAATTTCATTAGCATTACAATGGTACAGGAAAGTTCTTTCACGTCTCTTAAGTGAATAGCCACTTTACCCTTATTTTAAATAGCAACAGCAGCATAGAACATAGAGATAGAAAAGAATAAGAAAAATGAGATTCACATTACGGACTGACTTTAAGTTATGCAAAAGCAATAGAAACATTTCAACATAAAAATAAATAAATGTTCTGGAGATAAAATTTGAAAAATCGAGGAAAGCTGAAGATGTTATTTAGGTATGTTGAGGAAAAGGCGCATGTAGATTTGTGCACCAATTTTGAAGACGTAAGGATTGCATTCATGCGTTTTTGGCAATTCTTGAGTTGGAATTTGATTTTATGTTGGTTGCTGTCATTCGAGTGCTGAATATGGCATTGGATATCGATCTCAGTATTAGATCTTTGAGAAACGTGGGGATTTATTAAAAACCACCATTTTGTGTCTCTTTAGTGCTAGGTATGCAAGTTTAGTAGAAGTATTGCTTAGTTTGCTGATTAGATTTATTTTTTTGCCAAGTTTACAACTTCAAATACCAAATTTATTGAAACCAGCAATTGCAGATCTTTAAAAATCTTATTAACATTCTTAGCATATCCAAAACTGTCCGCATTCTTAGAATCGACTCAAAATGCTAAATAAATACTCTAGAATAGAATTATACCAGCATAAAGTTGTCTAAAGCTATCACTTATAGCTCCCAGCAACAGCTTCTAACACTTCTTAGATGATCTGCTACATTCCATAAAGTGCTATTAATAACCACTTCTTCGTCAGTACAATAATCAAGTGTAAAAATATTTACAGAACGGAATTAGACGAAGCAATTCATTATTTTGTAAAGTAAAAAATCACGACATAAATTAAGTCAACAGTAAAAGGTTCAACGGCATAAAAGAAGCATATGCTTATTTTTTTGCAGAGCAACTGGTGATGATGATTTGTAGAGTGTTAAATTAGATTTATTGGACGACCTCAGCCGTAATTATAATCATTTATTATTTCGTTATGTGCTGGTTGTTGAATTTCAAACGGTTTTGTTGATGATACATAAATTAAATGAATGGGAAGGAGGGGAGGGAATGAGACAGAATAAGAAGCATGGGAATAGAAAGCACGCAAACTTGACACTCTCTCTTCTGTTTAGTACTTAATTTATGTCTTTAGCTTGTTCATTAAAAAATAGTTTTATTTGACACTTTTTTTTCACTTTCTGTGACTTGCAATGCATGCTCTTCCTCATTCTTTTCTTACTCTATCTTATATTTAAGTATGTATAATGACATGTTACAATCTCATCAACACCTGTTCATTTAAATAATTTTAAAAGATGTAAAATGGAATGAAATATCAAAGAAAGTACATTGTTAATGGAAAGTATCACGGAAGAACAATAATAACAAATGATTATGGACATAATAATGATAGAAAGAAAGCTTCACATTTTTTTTATTTCAAGAATATTTAATGAACCTGTCATAATCATCAACAAAAATAACTTTTAAATGTAATTCATTATTCAAGACTTGAAACTTCACTCAGTCCATAAATTATGGAAAAACTGCTGGTCGGGAAATGAGAATTAAAGTTTTTATGACAATTTTCAAGCTTTTATTGCGCTGCTTCATTTCAAATGCTAATCATACATATTGTTACTCTTATGATAGACTGCAACTGTGCAATTACTTTAGATGATCTTTCTGGTTTAGGATTTTTAAAAAAATTCTAGCCTTTGGCTATGTCTAATTACTGTTCTTACAATCTAAGTTATGAGTTTTGTGAAATGTTATATTCTTTAAACTTTTCTTGATTATTTATGCTGTTTAAGAACTGTAAATAGTTTTTTGTACAAATTTTATTAGTTGCTAGCAACATTTTAATAGTTTACCATCTAAAGATTAGCACTTAGAATACAGTGTGATGCACAATGGGAAATATCTGTTGTTATGAAACAATAATCAATTGATAATCACTGCTAAAGCAAACTTTATGACCTTGAAACTCATTTAAAGCTGCATCAAGTCAAAATCACTTTAGATTGAGATTTGGGATTGATTAGGTTTTGGATCTGATAGCAACCAAAGTTGGTTCAATATCTCAGATGACAAAATGGTTAAATAATCAAACCAAATATCAAAGAAGTTGTTCTTTTTAAGAACTAGGTTTGAATTTCACTTTGATGAACCTGGTTTAGTTTGTGATCATCAAAGACTTATCTAGAATCTTTAGCATAGCTCTTTAAGACATGAATTGACTCAGTTTTTTTTTCAGTCAACTTGAACTAAGTTGATTTCCAGTTCTGATCTCGAATTGTGACGGCGTTCAGAAAAATCAGTAGCTCAAAAAATCAGTAGCTCAATCTTTGAAGTTGTCACATGAATGTTATGCAGCAGATAACATTAACCAGAACTATTTTGTCCATTTGAGCAACTTCAGACTATATTTGAATTGTATCAATCAAATAAATAGCTTCCCATACTGACTACTTTTGATAGAAAATTAAACAAAAAGCTTTTCGATAAAATTTGTAGCACAAAGCCAGCAATAATCTTGCAGTTAGCAGTAAACATCAATAAAATACACTACTTTAATAATTACAAACACGCTATTCTTCCAGTTATTACTGTTTAACTTTAATAAAGAGTAAATAAAAATTAACAATCTACAAACCAAGCTCAAAATGATATCAAGCACATGCATAAATAAGAACTAAGAGAATTAAATTCCGTTCTCTGAAATACAATTTTTTTGGGGATCTAAAACTGTAAAATTTCCAACCCAAAAATATACGCGATATTTGATACCATATGTGCTTACTTAATTTACAATAAATTTTAAATTCAAGATGATTTTCCAAAATGCCTAATAACTGTGCATGATTCACCCAAAAAAATAGTAATAAATTGCTAGTAAATACAGCACTTTTAAGCACACAATAACTCAACAAAAATCAACACACGATTCTTTGTGTTTTCAAAATTCGCACATTCCAGATTTTCGAAGTGTAATCTTCATCATGACCCAAATACAAAAGTGGTCAATTGACTTTATACGAAACAGAGGAAATAAAATGTTTATTTTTCTCATGTTAGAAGTTGCAGGGGTGCGTTCGTAAATGATCTGGTTATGAATTGAATGTTTGTGGTCTTACTCGTTTACATTTTGTAATCCTTGAAGTCAAGGAAGCATAACAGAATTGCAGACCATCCTTATTCCCAGAAATGCTAGATGTCAGTTGCTCATGGACATCATAGGACATCATCAATGAACAAACCCTCTGCAAATCAATTAACTTCTCAAGAAGTTCTCATTCTTTCTCAGCAGGAGCTACATAATTAATGCTTCTCATCCTCTCCAGAATCATATGTTAATTCACATCTTACTGATAGATTTACATTCATAAAGGAAGTCAATTATGACTTAAAGTTCAATGATCGACAAAAAATTTAATTTTTTTCAATTTAACAGAATTAACATTCCGTAAAGGCATGGAAATCTATGTCTCGTGAAATTAATAAAACAAACTAAATGTAAAGCTACAAACTAATCAAGAAATGAATAAAAAGTTTAATGGGAAAGAATGCTTTAGTCATAAATGGATGTAATTGTGCCTTCAAAACATAATAAAACATTAAAAACAGCATGTTAGTTGATTATTATACTTTGCTAATTAATTTTTCACACGCTTCATAATTTGTTTAAGGCAGAGAAGAAGAATAACATTCAGCAAGGCTAAAAGAGAATGTGCGTAAATCTCTGGATGTTTGCGGATGGAAGCAAACAGAGCTGAAGAAAACCAACAGTGAAGAGGAAAAAGTGCATGTCATGTAACCGTTATGATAGTAAAAACAATTCAAAATAGCAATGATCACATGCCATGCTCCGTGGAGTTCTTTCTTCTTTAATTTTTATTTTATTTTTGTTTTATGATTGCTGGATGTCATCATTAGTGTCACATTTTATTCTTTTGTGTATTTGAGAACCGAATGAGTAAATAATAAATTACAGCAACAACTTATTTTGATCTTTTTTTTATGTGCCATCTGATGCTCTTAATTCAGACGTAAAGTTAATGGATTGTTGTAGACTCTTTTGGGTATTAATGTCTTTGGAAAGTATCCATGTTAAGCAGTCGGGAACATAAAAACTGACACTGATCGTCATACTTTAGAGTTTTGTTAACAAAGTAAGGCATAAAGTCAGCATACTAAGAACCATGAGGCAAAATTGTAAGATCGACCTGAATTTGAACTTAAAACCCTTAAGGATATCACTGACTGTCCATAAAATTCGTTATTTTGGTAACTAAGGTATAAATCCGGAATAACAGATGCACGAAAAAACTTCCATAATTCCATTTTGTCCATAAAACTTCGTCCATAAACTTAAACTTAAAAATCTCTAATCTGACAATGCACTCTATCCATAAATTCACTCATAATTCCCAAACAGCCATCCCAAAACCATCATGCATGCTATGCTATAATAAAACACACATAAAGTCACGAACATAATTATGATGTAACCCTTGCATGGTTTTATGTGTTAGCATTAAATGTGTCAACATGATTTGGGTTCAGTGATTAATGCCTGACTTACACTTAAACCTTTTAGGCTATTTGTCTTAATATTCGCTTTCCATGCTTAAAGTGCTTCTGTGAATCTTTTACTTCTCCTTTCACCTCAAATTTATCAAAAGAATTGCCTTAAGTTATAAAATTTCTTTCCAATTCATTGGAAATACTTTTTGGCTAATGACTATTTGACTACTTTTCGAACAGTCAGCAAGCACAAAATTAGCTCATTAATGTCTATGGGAGTGAGAATGTCAGTAATCAGTTGGATTGTTTCTTTCAAAAATTAAGCACAAAATAATTTCCAATTTGAAGTTCTCATACATGATGAATAGAACATCCAACATCCAGCATGTTTATCTTCAATTGTTTCTGTTTTGTGCATCTGGAGCGTCAAGATTCTCACCGTCGTTACTTCTTTTATTAAAACGAGACCACCGCCAAATGAATAGGAAAAAGTTGTAAGATAAAGATCTATACGCTGGCTGCTGCTGCTACTAATGTCTTAAGTTTGCCCTTTGACATCATTTTTTATTCAAATTGCCTCTTTTCACTTCTTTTTCGGAGTCGAGTGACCATGAAAAGGTGAATTTATTACACCTGTTGTGGATGTTTCTGTGCTGATTAATGGAAATAATGGAAGTACTTGCGAATAAGATCTTTGTGGCTGGATTTATTTACTCAAAATATTTTGGGAGATTTAAAAGAGGAAGGAACCGTCGAAAATAGTGTAAATATCACTCATGTTCTGTTGCTTCCATTGTTCTTCTTCATTTTATGTCCAACAATTTTTAAGCTGTCAAAAACTCGACATTCTGAAGTTCTCTTTTAATGCCAAACAATCAGACGAGAAGTTTCGCTTTTAAGTATTTTATGGACAGCACTGACCTAAATTTGATTCTTTTCTGGATCATTAAGTGACTTTTTGGACTTACCCCAATTTGATAATCTTATCGATTTAATTTTAATGGATTAATAATGAAGATGACAGGAAGGAAGTTGACAAAGTGCTTCTACTGGTTCTTCTTCCTCGTTTTCTGTAAATAGAAAGAAATAAAAGATCCAATTTAAGTCAATATCATTAATGGAAGTGTGGCAATGCCCTGGATTTAATTAAAAAGTAACTGATATCGGCAATTTCCATTTCTTTTTAATTTCTGAATGAAAAATGAGAAGTTTGCGTTTCCAGCACAGATTAAAAAACTCATTTTTAATAATTAAAGATATTATGCGGTTCCGATATTGGATGTAGCTTCAAATAATTCAAAATTAAAAATTCACAAATAAAAAAGCAGTAAATTAGTCTTTTTGACTTAGAAGCTTACATAAATTAAGACTCTTAATTATCACAACTGGCACTGACTATAATGAGGAATATTCATGAACCAACGGCACTTTTGCTATCGATTTACAGCATTTAAAAGGCAGATAAGAGTAATAGAATCAGCAATGAGAAGTTTGACAAGAGACACAGTCCAAAAAACTATAATGATGGATTAATAAGTGCCTTTTAGTGAGCATCTTCCGCTCATCTTTCCATTTTGACTTAATGCCTTTAAATTGACGATGATTTTTGAGAATTAAAGAATTTTTAAGCATCTCACTTAACTCATTAATCATGCGACCTCATTACATACAACTCATGCAGTTTTTAGCCAGCCTGAACAATTCTCACATGTTGTTCAAGTTCAAGTTTGCAGTTCCTTTCTCTTTTCTTTGCTTCTTCTTATTTACAATTTTTATTATTATCTGTATTTGCATTTATTATTAAGGAATGAATAAAGTTGCAGCTATTGAGAAGATTTCTTCTTTTTATGGATGTTTATGGCTTTTCGAAATTGAATAGAAAATGAAATTCTTGTTCCATTAAAAATGCTCAAGCATGCTGTATGCTGTATGTGTGAGATCCAATAAAATAGAAAGAATAAGATCCATGGATGTGAAGATGAACAATTTATCAATTAAGAACAAAGAAGAGATTTTCTTTCATTCTGTCTTGACTTGACTTGACTTGACTTAAGACTTTAGATTTATCTTGTTTTTGCTTTAAACTGCCTTCTGGCAAGCTGAAAATGAGAAGTAAAAGTAAAATTTCTGGTCAATTGAAAACGAAATTTATGTTAACTATTTTTAGTGTCGACACACATGTAGCAGTTCCTCTCTCGAGTTTCTTTTTCCTATACTTAATACTTAACAGACAACAACGAATGGACAATTCTAAATTGAAGCTGCAGTGATGAAATTGCTGCTAATGAAAATGGAAGAAGAAGTTGAGACAAAAATGTTGTTGGAAGTAGACGAAGGAGGTCGCAATAATTGAAATGACGAAGTGATGGAAAGTAAGACTTAGTCTTTGTGATGTTCTATTTCTACTTAAGCCATAAAAATCGTCAGCAGTTCTAAAAGCCGTCAATTTATTGCAACTGACGCTTTCATTCTCTTTTCATCTATCAATGAGATTGCCATTGCTATTGACTTGGTTATTCTCATATATAAAATAAAAGTAATTGGATGTAAATTGCTTTTACAGTCAGCCGCTCTTGTTTCTGTTCCTCATTTTTCCTTAATAATGATCATAAAAATTCATTTTGGAATTAAAAATGCCGTGAGCTGTAAGAATTGAATTTTAATTAATCGCCTGCTTGATCTTCTTACTGCCTTTATGACTGACTACTTTTATAGCTACTCACATTTTTTAAGGTTTGTGAATTAATTGAGAATTTCAATTTTAGTTCTTTTATTGCTTTTTTAATGCACGCGTGAAAAGGAACAAATGAGAATTCATGTTCAAGTGCTTAATTCCTCTGCTTCTTTTGTTTCCACAGCAGTAGAGTTAAAAACAAAATTCAAATTCCTTTTAATGACTGATTGATGATCATAAACTTGTTGACTAGTTTTGTCATTTTTCTGTTCCTATATAATCAATCTATGCTGCACATCTTCATGACATAAATATTTTATTACAAAAGCATTAAAATAATCAATATTACAAGCTTTTGGTACATAATTAATTAGAAATTTTCATAATCACCATTAATTATGGATATACGCAAGCATGTATGTAGCTGTGGATATTTATTGTTATTATGACAGTAGAATGTGTGCATCAAGATGTAGAAAAAACGAATAAATCAATCAAAATAGACTGGACATAATAGTCAGTCGAGTGCAGATGAATCAAATAAAATTAGTAAATCAGTGGGACGCATGCAGCATACAGCATTAAAATAAACATAATGAGATATAATAAAAATGTTATTTCTATACAAAAGATGAGGAATTTTTAGCTGCAATTGCTTTGTGCCTGTCCCTGGCAATGAAGTTTGGTAGAATTGATCTTGAGATTTCCCAGAACTTTCCCAGTTCTGCTTGGTTTCTTAAATATTCTAAGAATCTCAAATTTTCTGCTTCTGGATTTTAATGCAAGCTTCTGTGGGCATATAACAATGTCTGACAAATCAACCGCAAAGGTCTATTGACTATTGAAAGCCCACACAACGAAAATCTTTTGTACTTAATTCCTCAAAATTTACTTTTCCCAGCTTAAATAATTTTATGTTGTTTACATTTTCTCAATAGTCAATGCGATGCTAGTTCTGTTGATGCTACTGATGATGATGACTATAAATGATATATCAAAGCACATAGAGCATAGAGGCAGGCAAACAACATAACAACATATCTATCTGTTGAGCATGAGATAGAATAAAGAGAGATGAATTGGAGATGGGATTTTGAGGAATAAAGAAGAAATAATGAAGGAACAAGAAGAACTAAGAAATGGAATTTACCGTTGATCTAATGAAATGTTTCACATCGAAAGCCAAAGTCAATAATTTCATTTTTAATGCTGTTTTGTAGCTGAATGAATTAAATCCACAAAGCATCACTTTGCCTTCATGCTTCATTGCACAGACAGCAATATTATGTATTAATTTTCAATTACATGAAGCGCCAAATGTGCACTCTTACTGCTGGTTTATCTCTCAATCCACTAATGTATGTTAAGATCCCCATAAGTTCCATAATGCACACTTAACTTACACATTATAATCATCATCATTTAAAGATTTAATGCTTTTAATCATAGACATAGGCAACAACTTATAATCTTTCCTTCCTTTTGGGATATTTTATAATGAATAAGAATGAAGTCTTAACATTTTGTTTCTATTCCTTCAAAGAGAATTGCGAGAACTTTAATTGAATTTCAACCTCAAAAGGTAGAAGCTGTGAAGGCTGGATTTCAGTTCTTAAAATAGATGAAAAATGCGGAAATAATTAAAATGTTGCCTATTGTTATTCTTTTTATCTATATCGCTCTCTTTCCCTCCTTAAATTGGTGCAATCGAGTGCGAAAAATAGAATTTCATGTCCCGCATCAAGCACCTCATTTTATACTTGATTTACGTCATCAATGAATGCATAAAAATGTGCATTAAATTCCACAATCGTTACTGCTGCTGTTAATGTTATTTTGGTTTAGAAAGTATCAAGCATGTTGACTGTGATACCCGCAAATTGCTGAGTATTGTCGAGTTCTAGTTACACAGTAACAAAAAAATAAGAGTTTCTTGAGGCATTTTTGAGTGGATGTACTTGCATATAAATTGAAACTGTTCAATTGGATCTCCTTCACCTCATTATTAAAGTCGCCGTTGCTTAGTGCTGTTTCTTTTTGTTGCTGCTGTTAGTCGCAATGGGAAACTATCGGATATATCAAATTTTTCTAATCTATGTTATGGTTAGAAATTTATGCAGCATAGAATATGAGAGAATGAGAAGAACATGGTAAAATATGTACATAACAACAGCATTTGCAGGCACAAGAAAGTCCACAAAAACTGCCGATTGTTTTCATTCAATTCTATTCATTCAGTCGAAGCAATGACGACGGCACTTAATGGTAATAATATAAAGCATATTTATGGAGGTACAAAAAAAAATCTAAACTTTAAAAGTCAGTCGTCGATTTCGAGAAGGTAGAAGGAAAATGCTCCAGCATTGAATGTTAAACATGGTAAATTGCTTTTTAGGCCACATAACGGGTGCTCAATTTTCATCGAACAGCATCGAAAAAACTTTGTTCCGAGCACCAATCTTGGGAATGAATGAAAAACTCTTTTTACTTTACTTCTACTTCCACTCATTTCGATTTTATCGATTTGTAATTATTTTCATTATTTCTATGTCATTAATAAATGTGCAATTTGTAGCATTTAAAGCTGTTCCAATACTTTCTTATATTTCAGCCGATCATGTAGATCAAAGTGAAGTCTCTTCATGGTGTGAGTTTATTGATTCCATTTTTCACCCTTTGTTTAATTCGCGGAAGTCGTGAAGATCATCATTGCTAATTTTGATCGATCTTTGTACCTTTTTTGAGCTATTAGGTAGAAGATTTGTGTAATTTGTAGGATTATTGGGCTTTGTTTATTCTTGTGCTTGTTGTTTTTGATGCTTAAACACATTTACAGCTTATTTAATGGATAAGATCAGATTTAGATGGTTAAAACTTGAACTCAAGATCTACTTTGAAGAGTTCAGTCTAAACCTTTTCAATGATAAGCATCTCAAAAAACTAATTCCTTGTCTAGCAATAAATCACATTAATTACTGGATCCAGTGAGCAGAAAATAGAACATTTTGGGTGATTAATCTATTTGGACACACAAAATGACACATTTTTCTGAAGTACTCAACACAAAGTATGTCCGAAAAGAAATGGAAATCTTTTTTGAGTAATTAGATCATGTGAATTATTCCACAGAGCTTGAATTAGAAATGAATGGAAAGATTAAAAGTCACAGAAGAAGATGATCGCTATTAAAAGTAAAAATTAAGCAGCAGCAGCAGCAGTGCTGAGGAAGTAAGATTAAGGTCGTTTAATGTGTTAAATTAAAAGCTAATTTCATCGTCAATAGCCTTTTCAATGATAATCAAGTCTTGATGGAAGTAAAAATTTTCTCATTAACAATTTAGATCCATCATGTCGTGCATTTAAAACTTATCTCTCGCCTGCCTTTTTCACCGATTA